AACAGTTACATATAACTACTACATAGCCGTTACATTTACAATAAAAATCCTTCATTGAATTTTTAAGTATGCTTGACTTCATCAACATAGTGAACATAAAATCATCAAAGCTTTATTGTTATGACACAATAAAAAAATAAAATAGTGTGCTTTGTCTAAACAGTGATAAGTCTATTTACTTTGGCATTTACATTGTCATTTTACTCCAGAAATCCTCTCAAGCGCAAGAAAATAATGTTATTTTACTCTCAACATGTTTTTAGTGCTCATATTCATTATACTTAAAATAGGAATATAAGCATTAGTAATACATGTCTTTCTAATATAAAACTCTTGACATGGTGATGGCATGTTTACACAGCCTTGATAAAGGGTCATTCTGGTATTTTTAAACCTACATATTCTGGGACAGAGACAGATCTTTTTGTTAAAGAGTAAGGTGACTTGCTGACGTGTTTCCACCGGCATCTTCCTGCAAATATTTATCTCCCGTGAGATTTCAGAGCAGGACTTCTCCTTGTGAGAGTTTTGTAGTTAAACAAAAAGGATCTTTCTCTTTAACATAAGGTCTCTCTCTGTAGGGATCCTTTCCAGACACTTAGAAAAACAATCTGAGCCTTCTCAGCAGCAAAAACAAGCACTTTTAGTAGATGTACTTATGATGAGTGCAAATGATCACGTTGTAGCCATTACAGCCTGTTTCGTGGTTGCCGGCTGAGACAATCTACTGGACCAATTCCAAAACCTTTGAATGCAAAAATATTAAAAATACTGGAATTACCAATTAAGCTAATGTTTAATATTCTCTGTTTTACAGTCTTAAATTCCTATCAGCTGGCTAATGAGAAAGTATACATTTATTCTGATGGTACACTCCAGTCTTCACAGTCAAAGGCTTTTATGGGTACCTAAACGAAGATTTGCTGCATTTATGTAACCAGACACTTAAACAACTCAAAGTTGGTGCATTACAAAGTCACATATCTCTCACCTCTACATCACATATAGATGGAGAAAGAAAAGTATACTCGAACAGCGGCCCAGCCTTAGGTGACCTCCCACAGGCCACGGCGTACATTACTTCATTAAGAGTCTGGTTTCAAATGTCCAGCAGGAACAAAAATAAAGATGCTTGATCTTGATGCAAGTGAGGTCTATTGTTGGAGCTCAATGTAAACAGCAAAGCCTGCACTGACCCGTGCACCAGACCAATTTAAATAACCTGGCACTGCAGATGTATAAATTTGATTTACTGGGCAAGCAGTGATCCAGAATTATGGAGCTGAAATACACGTATGCCCGACTGACTCATTGAATTCCTCTTAAGCTGATGATACACAGAGCAACTTTTAGAGCAATCGTGCAGGGCAACGTTGCCTTCAGTGGTTATGAGTAAAGATTACTACCATAATCCCCTCCCCCCACCACTCCGCCACCCGCCCCACACCGCCGCTATCTGTTCAAAACATAGTCGGACTTGCCACCAGCAACATTGCTCAAAAAGTTGCCCTGTGTATCATCAGCTTTAGTGTAACTGAATTCATCTCCCATACACTTGACTAGCAAGTTGTCAAAGCATTATACCAGAGATAATTAGTGCTTACATCTCTCATTATCTCTTAATTTGACTGTAGTAAAATGAAAACTCGCAGAGGAACATAGAATGGCATTAACCACTAGACATAAGGACAAAGAGACTGAGAATGAAAACACAGTTTAGACTATTTACAGTGTCTTATCACGTCATCGCTGCTAGACAATAAAATAATGGACTTTAAACTGTCATTGATAGAATACCTATACTATTTGTACTTACTGTAACTACAGCTCGACAATAAAAAAAAAACCAACTGAACTGTTGTTGATATAATACCTTCACTATGCGAAATTACTGTATGTAATCTAGACACATGTTAAGTATGCATGTAGCTGCTGCAGAGCATTAAAGCAGCTGTCCTTCTAAACAAGACAAAGTTTTTCCTCCACTACTTGAACGCCTCTGTAGTACAACTATTTTATGGCATGGTTTTAATAAGTTAATGTTTCTTTTTCTCACCAGTGGGATGGAACTGTACAAACTCCAAGTCCTGGCAGGGCAGGCCAGCTCTGGTCACCATTGCATTTCCATCTCCTGTACTAGTGTGGGCAGATGTGCAGCTGAAAAACGTTCTTCCATAACCCCTGAAAGGAAAGATATAACTTATTTATAAACATTCATAAACTTTTGGTACAGTTAAAGAAATGCTTGTGTCCCATGTATACTCTCAAAATGGTAGTTAGTTAACTAGAGTTATAAATTAATTATTTTTCCTGTTTTTGCAAACAGTTTGCGTGATACCTACCCAGTAGCAATGACGGTATTCTGGGATCTGAAGCGGTGAATGGATCCGTCCTCCATGCAGAGAGCAATCACTCCTTTACACTCTCCATTTTCCATCAGCAGGTCGAGGGCAAAGTACTCCACAAAGTAACTGGTGTCATAACGAAGCGACTGAACAGAAGGGCAGACAAACACAAGAAATATGGTACAGATTGGCTTCCTATGTATGGGCTGAATGAAAACAAAGATGGAGAACAAGTGTGTGGACTTACTCGTCCATAAAGTGTATGCAGTAGTGAGTGTCCTGTCCTGTCTGCTACACAGCAGCAGCGGTGAGCCTGGCCTCCCTTCCCATACTTGAGACTCTGACCTCCAAATGCCCTCTGGTAGATCTTCCCATCGTCTGTGCGGCTGAATGGCATCCCGAAGTTCTCCAGCTGGCAAAGAGGCACAGCAACATGAGGTCCAGATTTGCTGTTGTGTCATATATGCATGTGGAATGAGCCAGTTTGATGGTGTGATGCAAAACTGACATTACACCATGCTGGTGTCGATGACTTGTGAAAATATTATTTTGACTCTAAATATGTGAAATAATAATTCAATTTTTTTATATGTTATATTTTTACACCTAATCTAAATAGGATAAATGGGGCAACTGTTTCCCCAAAATGTTATGTGTGCATATTCTAACGGAACGACTTACATTCTCTGGAATTCCTCCTTTGGTGCCAAAAAGCCAATAATTGTCAGCCAACATAACCACGTGTGCGTGTGTAAGGTCTTACCTCCACTACAGCTGCAGGAGCCTGTTCTGTCATGTAGTGGATTGCGTCCTGGTCTCCCAGCCAATCAGATCCCTTCACTGTGTCGTAGAAATGCCACCTCCAGTCATCCGTCTCCATGTTCCCCAGAGCTGCATTGATCCCACCCTGCCAACCAGGTAAATATTTAAACATTCAATAACAGCGCTACCATCAATTGTATTCACATGAAGCTTTGAATTTGCACAACACATCTTTATTGTGATTTGTTAAATCTCAGTCTAACGAGCGCAGCAGGATTTGAGTAGGATGAAAGTTTGGAGAAAAATAAACATATATCCTCAATGAAAATATAAAATATGGTGCTTTACCTGTGCAGCAACAGTGTGAGACCTAGTGGGGAAGAGCTTGGTGATGCAGGCAGTGTTGAAGCCAGCCTCTGACAGGCCAAACGCTGCCCTAAGTCCTGCTCCTCCAGCTCCTACCACCACAGCATCAAACTCATGATCCACAACTGGGTACTGGGTAGAGATCTGCAAACAATGATGGAGAGAAGTTACTGTAAACCTTCCAATAATAAACAGCCTGCACACAGTGGAAACTGAATTTCTCACAATCGTGAGGGAGTGCGGTGAGAATGCATAGTTCAACACTAGTCTGAGGCCATTATTGTTGATTATTAAAAAGGTAGTAACTTTGACATTAACACCTGATGCTCCAATGATGAGTATGTACAGAGAGTACAGTATCCTATCATACATGCACACTAATAAGCATATTAAATGCTGATCTACAAAAAAAAGAAAAGAATCAAAAAAACAAGAGTATAACATAACTCACTTCATCTGATACTTTGGCATTTTTCTTCTTGCCATAGATGGAGAAGTGAAAGTTCCTGGAAGCCTGAACTGCAGCAGCAGGAACCTGGTAGGAAACAAAGAAGTACATCAGCGGAGAATTCAAACAAAAGCAGGACCATTGTTAAAATGGGTAACATTAACCACACTGATGGCTGCTTACCTGTAAAACATACTGTGCTAATAAGCATATATTGTTATTTAGTCACATACTGAAAGCAGCTTCAAATGTTCTAGTCCTCCTGATGTAACACTTCCATAACAATGCACAATAAAGCATTAGTTAAAAACCGTAATCACTGATCACTGTGGAAATGTTATTCGCTTAATGGTGGTTTTTAATTACCTATGGTATCATTATAAGATTACTTTAGACTAAAATATTTGCATTGCATCCCTAAACATTTTGCTAGCTGGCTAACACAAAGGAGCTAAACGGTTTTCCACAAGGGCATCAGACTTATCTGTTATAAGTTAAAGCCCTTGGAATAACATCAGTGAGGCTGACAGTTTACTGAAAACAGATCCCTCTATGAAGGGTGTAAAACAAACAGAGATAGTATGGCTAGATATAACATCTTGTGGGACCCGCAAAATATCTTCTTCATGGATGGTGTCACATTGAAACACCCAGAGCTACATAACACAAGTTAAGTAACGCCACGCAAGGCAGAACCTGTCGATTACGAAAGAGAGCAGAACCAGTCTTAATTTCAGCGCTGAAAAGACAACGCGCGCACACACAAATACACCACATATAGATGATGAAACGTACAATTTCCAATTATTACTACTTACTGCTTTTGTTTTAGACAGCACCCTCTTAGAGAGGAGACGGGACGCGACTTGAATACTCGCCATGTTGTGAGTTGAAGGACCGTTTGAGAAGCACGGGGAAGGTTCAGATGTTGAACCGGACCAAACCACTCTCAAAAAACGGGGGTGTCACTTATGTCACAGATGATGGTCATCCTCTAAAAACAGTTCGTAACGTGTTTCAGCAGTAACGGAAACTATTTTAATATGGAAATAAATCCAAATGAATACAAACAGACTTTAATTTGAACACCCGATGGGACTTTTATATAAGTGAATTCCTATCAATTACCCCCGGTCGGTATAGCTGGACTGCTAACGCGTAAAAATTGTATAACCTGGATGTGCTGGAACAAATGTATAAGTGACCTACACTTTTCATTCAAGGTGAGACACATCACCATATTTAATAATAGCCATACACTTACTTGTCGTCGAGCACTCAAAACTATTATGACCAGTGTTATGTTTGTATGAAATACTCTAGCGAGCATGAGCCCGCAAGCTAAAACGTAAGTTAGCATGTTAGCTCATAGCTAGCCTCGTTTGGGGTTAGCTGGGCTGTCAAACATCCAAATCATGCCAGATTGCTGTTGCTGCCTGTTGCAGTGTTTTGGTGAATGCAAACATGCTAATTCCTAACGAACTTTCTCATCTTTTGCTTATTTGCAACACAATTTTAGCAGTGACGCACTCCTCAGACATATTAATGTTTTTAAATAGCTTATTAGTGAATATCAAGCAATGAATTGCTGCTAACGTTTAACGTTACTGCAGCCACGGGCAGCCCTTGTGGGTTCATGAAAAGACATTGCAGCTTCAGGAGAACCCTTCAGTTTGTGTTGCTAAATTTGGACAATTAACTTGTATATTTTGTCAATCCATATTTTAATTGTATATATATATAAAATAGGTTTTAATATTTGTTGTTATTCACCTTATCGCCAAAACAAATTCCTTGTATGTGTATTAGCTACTTGGTGATAAAGCCGATTCTGATTCTGTTATCACCTTTGTTGTGGTCTGTCCTGTTTGGATGTGACAGCAGCCTCCATGAACAACTTGAATGACCCACCCAGGTGGAACATCCAACCAGACCCTAGAGGAAGGGGGGCGGGGGCCGGGGATGGGAACCAATGGAACTACGCCCTGCTGGTCCCCATGCTGGGACTGGCTGCATTTCGTAAGTTACACAAGGAGATGTGTTTGTTGATGAGGTGATCGACACAGGAGAACATGTTATGTGGGTTGTGGAAGGTATAAGCAAGTTGATTTTGTGTAAGATGCACTCTTTAACTCTGTAATGTTTTTTATTCTCTTGTCATGTTAGAATGACAGATGAGATTGGTAGAAATGTATTAGTTATTGTACGCAGAATCTGGAAACAACACCAGACCAAGGATTAAAAACCACCTTGTGTGATATGGCAAAAAAACAATATTTGCTAATATTTCTTTGGTAATATCTATGTAATTAGCTTAATTTTAAAGGTACAAGGAAGATTTATTTGTCACATTACAACAGGTTGTAAAGTGAAATTGAGTTCGCAATTCTCTTCTGCTACTTAGCAGACAATATACAGTAATATAAAAGCAATAATAAAAATGATAAACAGAAATAAACTATATTCAGTGGAGCAGTACTGAGGATGAATTTGAGTTTTAGTGTCTGATAGCTTGGGTGGGAAAGCTGCTCTGCAATCCGGATGTGTGGCAGCTGAAACTTTTATATCTCTTCCCAGAAGGCATCAGGGTGAACAGGGTGTGGCTGGAGAGGGTACTTTCCTTTAGTATCCTTTTGGCTCTGCATAGGCACCTCACCGACTGCACTGATGCTCAGGAGATGGGTACCAATGATACATTTTAAGGTTTAATTGATAAATCCAATTGAGTACAGACATTTAGTTTACAAAAGACAGTTCTGTATCAGATCTCAACTAGACTAGAGTCAGTTTTTATTACTTAGTGAGTCTTACTTGTTTTTTGTCTGTCTTTCAAATCCACGCTCATGTATTTGTTCGTTATCATGTTAACTTTTCTAACCCTCTCAAACGTGAAAGACAAGCAGGTACATTGGCGCAACAGTTCTGGGCTTCAGGAAGTTCAGTTGTTTGGGATAGCGTGCCTTAAGATCATGACAGTATACGTTAAATATCTTCTCTATCCTGTGTCTTGTCTCCCACCGTGCCTTCAGGTTGGATCTGGACCAAGGAGTCTCAGAGGGAGATCCAGAAGGTCAAAGCCCAGTATGACAAGGATGTGTCCACAATAAAAAGTGAGATGGAGGCACAATACCGGGAGACACTGACAGAGAGGCGCAGGGCAGCAGCTACACTGGAGCTGGAGCTGGAGAAGGAGAGACAGAGGGTTAAAGGCTACAAGCAGGCCCTGATCTCACAGAGCCAGCAGCTGATGGAAGAACGGAAACGGTTACAGCAGGTGAAGATGTAACCCTCTCTATGGTCTGCATCTAGGCTGCTCAAGGGCCTTTATAGGGCTTCCAAGGCCACTGAGCAGAACAAATGTCTTATTCCCATTTTCATGCATGTTTTCTTATTTCTCTCCTTACCCGCTACTCATCTGCCTCTCCTTCTGATTCTTTTCTTTGTCTTGCTCCCACTTTGACTGGCCCTGCATTTCTGCTATTGTGTATGGTTCCCTTCACACATGTAGCCTCTCCTCCATAACTCAAAAAATAACTGTTCTCTACCTTACAAGGAGCGCGATGCCCTGGAGGAAGAGAAGCAAAGGGTGGTAAAGTCCGGCACTGCAGGGGCAGTGCTGCATCAAGCCCTGGAACGAGAGAACAACTGGTACCAGCGAGCCACCACCACTCTGAAAGAGCTAGAGCGTCAGCTTGTGGAGCGCCAGAATGCCTACTGTTCCCTCATCCAACCTCGAGATCAGCGGCTGGAGATGGAGAAGAACATGCTGCTTAAGGTCGTCAAAGAACCCATCGGGCAAGAACTGGATCTAGAGTCTGATCTGAAGGATATTTTCAAGAGAGATAAGCACTGTGCGGACCTGCTAAACATGGACAAAAGGAAGAATGGAAGCCTCATGTGGGTGTACCTCAAGTACTGGCAGCTGCAGCTCACTGTCCAGAAACACAAGAGAGCTGAAGAAGCCATATTTGGAGGGAATGTTGAGTCTCACACAAAGTGACAAAAGACAAACACAAGCTAGTGTTTCTCATGTGACTTTGAAGAATGTGGATCAGGAATGGAAAATGCATGCATTTTTCACTCTGTGCAATTATCTTTACTTGATAGGCATGTTATGGAAACACAGAAGAGCAAATCTCAACAAGCTAATCTGAAAGTTCCTTCCTTGACCTCAGAGTTTTGAAAAGAAAGGATATATTGTCAGGGTTTCAAGCATTCTGTAATACAATATTACTATAACTTCAAATGCCCCAATTTAGACTCATTAGCTTTAAATTAACCGTGTGAAAACTGATGAAATGATTTTTAAAACATGCACTAGAATCATTCAGGTGTCAATTTAACTCATTCTCTGAGTGCCATGAATTACTGGAATATTTAGTTCCTCTATCTTGGGTATGAATTTAGGACTCCCAGAAACTGTTCCCAGAGTGATGTGATAATACACACACATCTTCTGAGGGGAAAAAAATCATAATCACACTAAAAACCGTGTTGACACCATGCAGTAATATGTGTTTGCTAACCCTAAACTATCAGTGAGAAAGGACACTGAAGGTGCATGTGAATCTTAATAAGGGAACAGAGCTCAAAGTAGTGCTCAGTACATAACACAATACTGCAGCACACCAGTCAAACAGCATCCTTTTGTGTCCCACTGCACCCCTGTAATGAAAGGTTTAACTAAAGCTGTAGCATTTTTATTGCTTTCCAAGCCTCTCCGCACTCTGTTTTGACCATAACGTGGTGAAGAACAGCTGTATATAATGACATACATTCTAGTGTACTGACTCCAACCACTCTGTGAAATCCTCCTAATAAATTTTTAGTTTAACTTTAACTGTTCTTGTTTTCTCATTAGAATCTCGGAAGTACTGCTGTATTTAGTGTAATGGATCAGCTCACTGATTTGCAATTTTGTTGTCTTACCACAGGGGGGTGCTGCCACTGTATTTGTATATTTAAGAATGTAATACTTTAAAACAATAGCTCAGTGGAAGCTCCTAATGCATACATTAAAAAAAGTTAACAGTATGCAACAGGAATATGTGGAGAGCTTTTCTCTAGCAGGACAGTCATGTTAACTTAAGTCAGACAGAAGGCAAAATGAGGTTCCAGACACTGAAGCTTCATGAAGCTTTGGTAGACATACATGGAAATCACTGACTATGACAGAAGTGTAATTTCTTCCTGGAATCTAGTAACACTGTACAGAGTCCGTGTGAGAATGTGATCATATCTTCAATGCAGTATACCATTACATTTTAAAATAGCATATCATTTATGAGTCCTTCAATTCAATAGTATGTCACATTATTCAAAGATAATACATTTGTAATTTAATTAGGAGAAAATAAATCCAGGGAATCTTCATTAAAATAAGTTAGCACTCCTCACAAAAGAGGTTATTCCATTTAAGTATTTTGTTTGCATGATAATTAAAATGTTAAAAGTTATTTAACAGATGAGATATCTATCAGTCATATGATTAAAAAATTACTTGTGAGGCATTTTATCAGGAGGCAGTATTCACAGTTACAGTACATTTTAATTTACTAATACCTGAATGTAAATTACAATAAGAGGCTATGTTATATTTTCTGAACTGTTTAAAAACCCTCCCCCTTCTTGCTTCACTCCCTCCTCTGCACCCGATGAGAGATTTCTCTTGGTGAGGACATCAGGCTTGAAGCTCTGAAGTTCCCGCTGGCTGGCTTGCTGAGTTCCCGAGTTATGGCAGTCACTTCCTGCCTATCAACTCCAGCCTTTCTTAGTACAGCTGGCTGTTGCTCTGCGCACTCATGATGAACGTCCCTGCTGGTGTTGAAGAAGGGTAGCTGGTGCCCTGTCATGGTTCCGCTGTTGCTGCCCAGCCTCAGTGTCTGGCTGGGACTCCTCTCAACCATGAAGTGCACCACCTGCTGCTGCTTGTAACTCTCTTTGCGAATGCTGTCTGTCTCTGACACTGTCAGCCTGGAACACATTACACAATAAATGGTTTTTAATCCACTCTCTCTTAACACACTGACGTACAGGGGTGCTGTGATCATCATATCTGTTTCAAATAGCTTATAGACTTTAGGTTAATCCACATGGAATCACTCAAGAAGAAAACTGCTGCTTCACTGCTCCTTGGTTAGACTTTGGTTGCACCACATTATATATTACAGGTGTATTCTTTTCGTGGTTACAGGCAGCATACCTGCAATGACATCACTGATCAGGACGTGCAAATTGGGCAGTGCAGCAGCAGTTTTCAGCTCTACTGTGTGTGCATCACTGCGGATTTTAACCTCTCATGCTGCTCATGGTGTTCTATTGTGCCTTATCCTCTGTCCTGCTGTGTGTCACAACGCCATACTGAGCAATACACCATATAAATCTATAAATACTTAACAAAGTTCACATTCACATTACAAGAGAATACAGTAGTATGGTACATGTGTTGATTCATACAAGACGTAGGGATCTAGAATAAAGCAGAATTTCAAACCAGGCGTAGAACAACCTACTTGTATTGTGGTCTGGTTTCAAGGACCAGGCTCAGCCAACATGCTTGGTAGCTCTCCTTCTTATACTGGTTGTCCTCCTGGAGATCACAGTAGGAGTTCACCAGGTAGCAGCCTCCTCTGCTCACACAGTGCATTGTGTGTTCGTGTGTCACGAGTGTGATAGACTTCAGTGTAAAACGCCGGTATTGTGCCAAAACAAACGTCCTCTTTCACTTGTGTCTGATTTGGCTGGCACAAAACTCAAGGGAAACACATACAACGAGCGGTTGAATCATGTGTCATCATCAATGTGTGTATCTCTGTTTGTGTCAAGTAGCCTGAGATGTGTGTGTGTGTGTGTGTTGTCTTAAATATCCAGTCCTGTTTCTATTTTTACTCCTCTGCATCACTTTGTAGTGAATGTCTTCACTTCAGGCATCCCGGAGGATAGTTTTCATTTGAAAATGAGCTTTAGCTCGTTCCATGACGTGAGTCAACCAGATAAATCCAGATGAAAGTTGAAAGTGAACCCTAACTAATTTCACTTATTGATCATATTTGTATCATGTACCTGTAGATAAAAAGCCATCCAACAATTGTTTTAAAATATTTTGGTTTGGGTTTGACTGTGTGCATGTGAGTATAGGTTTATGGAGACCTGTGTTCACGTCCGTACCATAAGCACGCGTGTGTTTACTGATCTGTTTGAATGATGTGGACCCAGGGTTTATCCCATCAGGTCAAAGAAAATATCCTCCCACTCCTCAGATGTCTCTCACATAGTCCACGTGTCGCAGGAAGGAAACAGCTGAGAGGCAATCAGATCACTGAATGACAGGCAGAATCTAAGTCATTAATCCGCAGCTATACGTCAGCTACTTGGCCAAAATCATGTTAAAGACTGCAAAAGTAATGTTTGTGAACGACTGATTTTTAGAGATGTTCTCTTGTGACCATCATTTATCTGCATTTATCTGTAAATGTGGGATAATGACAAAGTGTGATGGAGAGTGAGAGGTGACAATGAAAGAGTTCAATAGATCTCAGTATCCTTTTATTCCAGACATGATGGATGGATATGAAAAAGGGTTGGGATGCCTTGCTCGATATACACTAAATGCTTACCAGGACAGATAAACATAGCGGGATTAGAGCTCCAGCACCATGCAAATAAAGCTATCTAGACTTGTGTGTGTGTAACTAGTAACAAAGATTCGAGGAAACATTCTTCCACACAACACTATGTTTTATGACTTTCTCAAACAGCAGCTCCAGCAAGTGAATTGCTTGTTAATTCAATGCTCTGTGAATATTTGAAGCTAATTGACAGAAAATCACTTTTAAAGCCTGACTGCTTGTGCTGTCATGGGAGTGTTGGCAACCCCAGTTTCTTCAAACCGTTGGGGTGAAACTGAATCAGAGGGCGTATGAAGGTGTGACTGAGGCAGTGGAAGGCATGCTGGACTCAGCCCAGCAAAAACAGTCAACCTCAACCTCAAGTATTACATGACTTCAGTTTGATGCTGGATCCTGGCTAATAGACTTTGCTGTGGCAACACAAACGCACATTCAAAAACAAAACCCAGCACCGCTTCAAGTTTAGAAGTGGCAATTAGTTTTCCATCATAATTAGGCAACCATACAGCCAAACCATTTAATGCAGGAGGAAAATATTTAATACGAATGAATGTTATGACACTTGTATACGTGTAGTCATGATTTGTCATGTATTTTACATGAAATGTTTGAAATCAATCAGATTTCACGTACTTTCTCCATCTTTGACTATATTTAAGACCGAATCATATTGTGTCACTAATAAACAGATGGTGAACATCTATTTTTCATCCATTAGTTTAATCAGAGTGACAGAAGTGATGATAAAAGGAGGTTATAGAGATTTCTAACACCTCTGATATTATCTTGCTGTTTGTGATGGTGTCATGAAGTAGAAGCAGTTCCCTCAAGAGTTAAAATATATATAAAACTAAGACTTGCTTAGCTAATGCAATAAATCACCCTGTTCTTAACATTGCATGGTTTAATTTTTGTTTTTTTAAATAACAGATACATAAGAATATTCTTTCAAATAATGACTTTATTGTCAAACATGTCAAATATACAGTAACTTTCTCACAGCTGAAAATATGACTTCTGTGTGATCCCTAAAGACTTGTTCTACCCACACATCAATGCTACAGTACAGTATGTTCACAGAGGTGAGTGAAAAGATGTCTGATGTACCAGTATTTATTCAAAACCTGCTGTTTACTATATCAAATAAAACATCAGCGTGTATCTGACCAGACCTGTGTCAAACTCAAGATATGTATCGCACACAACCATAACATCTGAGCATCTTTAGCTGAACCAGGCAGGCCTCTTCCTTGCCCTCTCCACAATCCTCTTGTCTTTGTCCAGCTGGCTTGGAGTCTCACCCTCATACAGGACGACAGTCTCCACAGCCGGGGCACGCAGCGGGCCGCCCTCCATTCCTTGAATCTGTTGACGAATCTGAGCAGTCTCCCTGCACACCTTAGCATAACAGAAGCCACACATGATGTGTTTCTGCTTCAGGTGGCCACACTCTGGACACGGCTCGATGTTGTTCTGAGAGAGGGAGACAGAGAATGAGACAGACCGTGGAGACTTTTCAGTTTTTAAATTACATATCTTTTGGCATTTTATGTACTATGTCTTGTTAGTAACTGGCCAAGATATTTACCATATCACACACGTGTTGATATTTGTGTGTGATCAGATAATATCAGCCACCTCTACTGGAGATATTTCTTTAAAATGATGTCATCAGGCTTGTACACTGAAGAACAGAGATTTGAAAAGAGATCTGTGCCCCTTGTTATTACCAGTTATTTCCATATATGCTGAGATAAGAACTTCTTGAGCAACTTTAGTTCAAAAAAGAAAAGTCCTCAATAAAACTGGTTAAGATAAAATATGCAGATGATTGTGATTAGAGGTACTGATACCATTCGTCTGAACCAACGCATATGCGTACTAAGTACTCATTAAGTGGATTTTAATTTGTGATAGATTGGTGGGCTGATTAAACAGGCAGATATGTGGCATTTTGAGATAATGGGCATCTGCAGATAACGGCACTCACAGTGCAGATATATCATCCTAAATGACAGCAGATCTAATCTAACACCATTACTGGGTAACTTCAAAAATATATTGACATATTGTAGAGAATAATGCAGTTGAATGACGTCACTTCTAAATAAACAAAAACAAACATATCCTACTCTCACCAGCCACGTTCCGAAAACTACAGCATAGCCCAATGTATTTTTCTATTTCATTCATTAATAAAGACTCCATCTAAAACAACACGTTACTGGATAAGATAACCATGTAGTATATTAAATTTGACTCTGCATGGAAAAATGGAATTATACATGACTTTTCTTTCTTTTGATATCAACATTATATTTCACCCATCGGCCACCCTGCTCTCTATATATCAGCATCGGCCACTGAAAAAAACATGTCGGTCGACCACTAATAATAATTATTACTGAGGAATATTAAATTTGTAATTCCCTAAATTGAACATAATTGAAATGATATTAAACCTAAATTAAACAACAGGAGATCCTAAACATACCAGCTGTTAAATTGCATTTATTTGTGAGTTCTCCAAACCTTTGCTAGCCACTCCCAATCAATCAATACAGGTAGGTAGAACTCTGTGTTATGGTTGTGTTCTGGGGTGAAATGACCCTTGAGAGGATCCAGGGGCGGCCCCTCTCGTGGCCCTCTCGCTGTACCTTGACTTTTAGGAGTTTGCCTTCAGCTCGCCTCCTGGTGCGGTTGACCTCTATAGTGCGTCTCTTCTTGGGTGCTGCCATCCACAGGATGCTGTCTAGGAGGCCAGGGGGCTGCTCCGGGCTCTGCTGCTCCTCCAGCTCACCCTTCTGGTCGAGCTGCGGCAGGAGCCTGGGGCCACTCACAGCCAGCGCTGGAGCTGCACACAGGAAAAACACTGTTCACTTCTAATCGCTGCAACCCTGATCAATCAGTTCAGTACGACCAGATAAAGGATGCACAGAGACAGCTGAGGTAAGATGACATTAAAGACAGGTGGCAGGCAAAGGTAGCGAGTTTAAACTTTGGACGAAATCAAATTGAGAGAAAGACACAGAAATAGACACAGTGTGTGTTGTTAGCTGCTGTCAGCTGCCGTCCCGAGCTCGTATCGGTAAACCCACCCAGGTCTCTGTCCAGTCCGGCAGACTGCAGAAGTCTGCTTTCAATGTGTAGCAAAGAGCACCTGAGACTGTGCACTAACGCGGACAAATTCATCATTTTTGCTGTCAGCACGCTTCCTCAACATGCCAAACAGCTCACGGTCACTGACATTCACTGCGTCATCGAACAGCGACAACAAACGTCTTCTTCTTCTGGTTAATTTCCGGCGGACAAGACAGATTTAGACGCTTTACTGCAGATTAGCGGTCAACTTTCTAACCTGCACTCCAGAGTTAAGTTCATAAAACGTGGTGACGCTTTCCAAATTAATTCTCCACACCAGTCCAAATCTGTCCTCTGTGAGATAGTCTGAACTAAACATAATGTTCATCTCCAGTTACAGATTGTGTGTGATTTCAATTAGAAGACAGAAAAACAGTTTACTAGAAATATAGGCTGCATGGTCTCTCACTCCACAAACTTGGTTTTATAATATTTTATAATTGCTATATCTAAATATTGTTTGTAGGTCAACAACCCAAAAATATTCATGGTATCAAATAATCTTTCTTTAAAAAAAATTACTCAGACTGATTCATCGATTATCTAAATAGTTGGCTATTAATTTAATAGTCGACAATTAATCGATTATTCGATTAAACATTGCAGCTCTAATAGACTGTTTGTGTAGACTGTATAAAATGTACTTATCAGTGTTTATAGGTGGCAGTATACACCCTCAGGTGGATTTGTTAACTCTCCAGTCAACTCTGAGCAGAAGAAGAAGAACAAGATGGCGGAACGAGGTTACAGTTTCTCCCTCACCACATTTAGGTAAACTTTGTCAAAATACTCCTGAAATTTGACAAGTGCGTTACACTTGCAGCATGCAGATGTTTCTTTTGAATTTTAGTTTGACAAAGTATATCCACGGTTTTCCATTTTGATGTGTAAAGAGGGTTTTGAGAACCGTTGTAATCGATGCACTGTCATTGCCGGGTAATGAATCGGCTAACGTTAACTGTTAGCATGTCGGCTAACATGCTTTTATTTTAAATAGTCAAGCGAGTTTTTGCTTCTGATGTCGATAATATAAATCTGCTAAAACGGTCTATTTATGAGCCTATAACCAAATTGACCGAAACAGGTCATTTTTACACAATAATCATCCACAGACTAGCTTAGCTAAATTAGCTCAAATGAGTCAGTTATTTTAGCTTTTACTTTCACTTTCATCTTTGTTCGGCTTTACCTTAACGTAAATATAAATTTAAAACTACAGTCGTTGCTGTGTCTGTAGTTTCGGTTAGTTTTCCTTCACCTCGTAGCATCTTAATGCAGCACCGTGTGTTTCTTCCTGCAGCCCCTCTGGTAAACTGGTCCAGATTGAATATGCCCTGGCAGCTGTAGCAGCCGGAGCTCCCTCGGTTGGCATCAAAGGTACAGTAGAAACGTGTGGAGCATATTTACCTGGTTTTTGACGCAAAACTTGACCAGATTATTGTATTGTTGATAAGTGAAGTGCTTAAAGATGAAATGGGAATAATTTAATGTCTCGCTGTAATCAGAGGATGCAACAAAGCTCTTTCTTGAAAGTTGTATACATTCATTGGTAAAGGATAGTGTAACACACAAAAAAAGAAAGAATGGATGTAAACAGTTTCTGAAATGTTGCCACTCTTGAGTGTAATTTCTCCTGATTTTAATGTGGAATACAGCGAGGGCAGTGTGTCTTCAGGCTAAATGTGACTGAGGTGAACAATTAGTTGTTTTTTTTTCTTCTATTAACCCTTAAAACAAATAGAATGGTTTGGATAAATCTGCTACAGCATGGAAAAGTAATACCACGCTGTAATTTTGCCTTGCAGTCTGTAATCTTTTCTCATAATGGTGAAGGATGTGCTATTTAGACGTCTATGAAGATTCTCAGTCATCCAGGTCATAGTTATCCGACGAAGGTTAAAATCAAGGGCAACTTCACTGGATCTTCAACCAAGTCCAGTTGCCCTTGATTTTAACCTTCGTTGGATATTTAGTTAGACAATCAGCACACAGTAACAGACACTGGTGCACTGTCTTTAAAGGCTCTGCATGACATTACATAGTGGAAACGGGAGATCATTGGTGAGGATTTGTGATGACACTAATTGTGATATTGTCTTTGATTTTCAGCTTCCAATGGAGTTGTCCTGGCAACAGAGAAGAAACAAAAGTCTATTTTGTACGATGAGCAGAGCGTCCACAAAGTGGAGCCCATCACTAAACACATAGGCATGGTCTACAGCGGCATGGGGCCTGACTACAGGTGGCGATTCTCTCTGTGTTTGGAAGGAAACGCCAGCATCTTGGGTTTCTTTCCTAACTTTAGTATCTTTCTGTGTGATGTCCAACAGCTTCCAAATGCACTATAGGGGGGAAATAATGTGAAAGTAGGCTGCACTTTGTTAATTAGAAGCTAAAGCCACAATGTTCCTGTCAATATCCAGTCTATTTTTATTGGATGTTTTGCATGTTTCAATTCTTTTAACACATTTAATATAGTTTACACAGTCAACCAATTTGCAAAGCACACCATAAACACTGTTTCCACTAGGATTTTTGTCAGTTGCGGGGGCAGGCCAACAAGTTGGATCCAATCTTTCTCCTTACTTGTCTCTCCCTGCTTCTCCTGGGATGAGTGTCTGCGTTCCGCCGACATGTCTTCACTGTCGTGTCAAACTAAAACCTTTTGCAGAGTCGTGTAATTGCGATTTCATAAAATACTGAAGCAACAGCGGCAATAATTTTGTACATAGCGGAAATCTTGATAAGGTCTCTGATAACTGAGATTTTAGCTCACTTCACTTGCTGAAAAGCAACATTTGTAATATAAGAAACCAAACAACTTGGTGGAGTCCAGTTTGTCACAATTGACAGCCTTAAGTGTTTCTTGTGGGATTTTTCTCAAGTGATAATTGTTCTTTCAGTGTTGTGTTTAGTTTAAAGCTAGCGGGATGCCTTGTGCACAACAATATTTAGAGTCCAGACGAAAGTTTCATTCTTCGTGGTTCTGGCACATATCCACATCTTGTGTAAACAACATATAAAAAAAGATGATTCAGGACTTTGTTTGCTCGCTATGTGAGAAATTAAAAACACGCCACCAGATTTCTGCCTCTTAAAAGGAAGTTTTTCCTTGCCTCTGTCGCCTAGTGCTTGCTCTTGGTGGGAACTGTTGGGCTTCTGTAAATAACATCACAGAGTACGGTCTAGACCTGCTCTTTTATGAAAAGCGCTGTGAGATAACTGTTGTTGTGATTTGGCGCTATATAAATAAAATTGAATTGACAGAGTTAGTCTGATTACTGAACCTCACATGCACAGAAAGATTAATGAGTTGTATCGTCCTTGCAGGGTTTTAGTGCGACGAGCCCGGAAGTTGGCACAACAGTACTTCTTGGTTTACCAGGAGCCAATCCCCACAGGCCAGCTTGTCCAGAGAGTGGCCTCTGTAATGCAGGAGTACACACAGTCTGGGTGGGTATACACAAAGACACACTAATCCACACAACTTTTAGACACATCACCTTTGTATTTGAGCGGTAAGATATTTAGAATGTTTAGATTTAACCGGTCTTGTTTTTACCTCCAGTGGAGTGCGTCCGTTTGGCGTTTCATTGCTGATAGCTGGATGGGATGAAGACCACCCGTACCTGTTCCAGTCCGACCCCTCTGTATGTTGTATTACTTGCTTTCATATCTGTTGAAAAACTACATCTTCAATTATGCTGCTCTTTCCTGTTCAAAGTTTAATAATTGTTTTATTTGGATTAATCCTTGACTGTAGACTAATTCTGCTTTGCAGTAGTAATAATAATAATTCTGCTCATTAATTGCCTTGCATAAACTAATAATTTCATATTACACTTTAGTTCTTTTAAGTATATGTTCAGTGCTGTTGACCTCCCCCAATACCTGTTAACAGTTGTACCCTGTCTCACTCTCAGTCTGCAGAGACTCTATATAATATACTCTGTCAGAAGCATAATTTATTGCTGGATTTTTATTCATTATCTTTCTGACTGGCAGGGTGCATATTTTGCATGGAAAGCCACAGCCATGGGAAAGAACTACGTTAATGGAAAAACATTCCTTGAAAAAAGGTAAGATTTTACAATTAAAGGCTTCTTTTTTCTTTTTTTTTGAATACCATAATGTATAGACAGATACGACTCTATGAGATAAGATGTCTATCCCACCCTTCCCGCTAGAAAGCCAATCATTTGCTATTAACAGCTAAAGTGGGAAACATATTTCAGCCAATCGTGTGGTTCCACTGACGTAAGTGTCTGTCTTGCTTTTACTGCGCACTTGTGGAAATGGTGACGTATGCCTAGTAGAAGTAGTATAACCAGTCGGGAAAAATGCTTTTTAAGCCTTATTTTGGGGCAAAGTAATCAAACTATTTCAGTGATTTTTTTTTTAAATTTATTTATTTTTTATCTGATTTTAATGCTGATTCTATTCATGTAGTTTTTATGTCCCGGTGACCAGTGAAACTGCAGTTCTGGCTCTCTCCCATTCATTCAAATAGGAACCTGGTCTTGTTAGTCCAAAATAGCTGCCCGGAGGTGTTGCCAAGATGGCGGCCGAGTGGCATGACTTGCCTATAAGGACTTTGTTTAAACAGAGATGTAAAGTATTTGCTGTGGTATAGTCTGAATGAATACAAGTGATTTGTAAGATATTTGTACAGTTTGAGATACTTTAAATGTCAGTGCAGAGAGAATTGAAGCCCGAGGTTAATATTTAAAAAAAAAAAGAGTGTGGTTGACCTTACTATCCGATTAAAGGTGAAGTTGGCACATAGGAAAGATGAGCCAGGATGATATTTGTGTCACTACCATTCCAGAAAAGTAAATGAAGTGCTAGATGACCACTTTGATTTTGTTCTCCAGGTATAACAATGATCTGGAACTGGAAGATGCCATCCACACAGCCATCTTGACGTTGAAGGTATGTTGTTTCTTCTAAAAATACTTAAGGTATGGAATCTGTCTTCACTGTTTGTCCTTTTTATTCTCACTCATTTACTCTCCCCCATCTTTGTTTCAGGAGAGTTTTGAGGGGCAGATGACAGAGGAGAACATTGAAGTGGGGATCTGCAATGAGGCTGGCTTCAAAAGACTCACCCCAGCGGAGGTGAAAGACTACCTGGCAGCCATTGCGTGAACACACCCTCCCTGGTGATGGGGCTTTCAGGCCACATTTCAAGACAAAGACATAACTGCATAGTAGCCAACGGTCTCATGACACATTTTTTTTTTAAACCACTGTCATTCAGATAGTTTGGCCACATTTTGTTATGGTCAAACAGATTCAGCCCCAAAAAATAGGAGAGGATGCCCGCCTTAACTTTATGCCCAGATCTATTTGAATAAAGTGACAGCCTTTGTGTGTGTGCGCAGCTAATGTGGCTGTCACTCGAATCACAACTACATTGACCAAACTCCTGTAAGTGGCTGTGAGATGGTAGACTCTTGTTATCACATAACTAATTGGCTTTGTTGTCAAACGCAAACACTGGTGCTGTGAAGTGAGATGGTTGGCTACTGTGCATATGAAAAGGAATGTGGGCTCTGAGTGAAATCTCAAGTCTTCCATTGAATCCTTCAGTTTTCTTTTTTTTTCCTCATTTCTGCTGCAAAGGCAAAGTAATCGGTTTACAGTTGCTTGAGCGTTTGTTCAGAATTCGATTGCTTGTAACCGGTGTGAGAAAATGGCTACTGGTTGCACTAAAAGTACTAAAAATCTCTGGTAATGAGGCAAAGAGTCATTTGAGACTATAAAGACGTTGGTCTTTGGGTGATTTATTCAGTGACATTTTTCCCATTATACTCCTGACTGCACTTCATCCCTCAAACACACTAGGAAGGAAGATCTGCAAAAGCTAGCAAGTAGGGAGGGTGCAATGGAAAGTTTTGAGATTTTACAGTCAGTATGTAGTTGCCTGTACAGCAGTTTTACACAATGTACTCTTTTTTTTTTTTTTTTTTCAGGCTAGAAACAAGTCTAGAGTTTGTATTTTCTCTTCTGGTATCTGTCACTTATTCCAATAAAAGATGATGAGCTGATGTTGTCTCCGTGTATTAAATTAATATGCTAATGTTTGCAACATGAATATGCTGCTGTCAGTACATGGTTTGTGTACTTAATGAGCGCGCGTTTGGTTAGTACGCAGTTTGGAGCAGCAGAGCGCGCTCTAACATCAACCGGAACACTTTTTGAAATTGGATGCATATCCCTCCGCCTATATTATGTTTAAACAAGTGCTACGACTGGTCTAGAAACGACAACAACATTGACCAGTAAATTGCGCTGCGTCTTAGGTGTGGGGAATGCAAAATTTCTGTTAACGTTTGACTTAATTACAATTTTGCTAAGAGACCTATTTTTCCTGGCGGCAGCTCATTATCTACTTACCTCATAACGTCTGATGACGTTTATGGCGCCAGAAATCAAGGGTTTAGTGAGCGGCCCGTGCATGTCAGTTGGCGGATCTTATCTGTGCCATGTTGGCGTTACCGTAAACGTTAGACAAGGCAGAATAGTGGCTGATTATCCGTCGTCGACGCTCGTATAAGGTTTGTTTGGAGTCAAGATGGTGATGCTACGCAAGGGTGGCACCTCCGGAGCGGAGCCGGTAGCAGCGACTCCGAAGAGGAGGTCGGTGGAGCTGGATACAAGCTCCGAGTTTCTGTCGCTACTTCCCGCGTCGCAGAGAAAGTCCGCCCGGCTGACCCGGTCCTCCCAGGCCCAGGATGACAGCTTCAGCAGCCCCGAAAACACCACAGCCAATGTGAGCATGTACACCCAGACCTTGTTAGACAACTACAGCACCACTTACTAGATTATATATTATCCATGAACGCAACTTTGCTCTCCTAGTTTTGTTAGCTTGCTAAGCTAAGGCGCTACAGTGTCAGGTTACTGATAAAGTACCTGACCCCGCAGAGTTAGTCTCTCCTAACATTTAACTAAACTCTGTTGGACAATGTGTTGATTGATCGTGTGTAATGGCCATTTATAAATCATACAGTCAAACTTACGAAGTTAATAAATAAAACAAGCTGAATGTTTTGTTCTGTGTTGTGTTTAATGGACTTGTAAAAATATTTTAAGTTTACTAGACCAGAATTTGACGTAGCTTAATGTCCCAGATGTCATAAGTTAATTGTCTTAATTGGTGTGTTTTTAGTAAATGTTGTTGTGGAGGGGGTCTGTTCATTCATTAATGAATTCTTACATTAACTCAGTGATTCATTAAGCTTTATCTCAGACTTATCTGTTACTTCATAAAAGAAATTAAATGACTAAGTGTGCTTAATAGTATGTACCCTAAATTGTCACAGAGGCAGCACTATTTTGTAAAAACAGACTGCAGAGCAGGTAGGATTAACTTTGAATGCAGTTTTAAAAACCTGTGCTCATAAACTATTTAAGTATATTCTGAGAGTAAACAGATTTTGCTTACTTTATGGATTAGAAATTAGGTCCTCAAACAACCCACCCTTTGAGATGCATATAAAACATTTCAACAAAGTGTCTGCAGAGATTGTGGCCAGCAGTAGCAACCACAGGGCAGATTGTGAATGAAGATATTGTCCCATGAGAAGCAAGGCTGTAGCTTTCTGCCATCTAGCAGTCTGCTGTAGACGGTCACATTTTTTCATCTATTAAAGGACAAAAAAATGTAATTTATAATCCACAAATGTTCCTTTAAGGAGTTTATGCTTAAAATGTATGGATGTTTGTGAATTGTACGAACATTTATAAATTGTAAAATTATTTCAAACCCAACATACTAAAGCCGGCACAAATGAACAGAAATAAATGAGGTTACTGAAAATGTCACATGTAAATAGTGAAGAGCTCACACAGTTTGCTCCACACTCCTTTTGGCTCAGTAAACATTGCAAAGCAGAGAGTCATAGTGGTTTTTTTGCACAGACTTGCACAAGTTAATCAAGAAAAATTTATCATGCCGGCCCATGATTAATTAGAATTTTTAATCCAATTGAGCAGACAATCATTTTCTTTTTTTATATGCTGTAATCTATAAACTCGTAATGTCACTGTGCCAGGGACATTCTGATATGAAGCAGGATGAAGGAAGTGGTTTCCATCACTCTCTGAGGACCCGAGGACAGAGAGTGAAACTGGAGGTCTCTTTTGCTGACATGGAACCAAAGACCAGCTCCCCTGCGAATGAAGACAAAACTGGAGGATGCTGCACCAGGTAACAGGCCCACCCATTTTAATATTAATGGTAATTGTGCACGTTGACTGCCAACCTCTTGGCAATAAATTCTATAAATATATGCTTTCCATATGTAATGTGATGGAGAAATTGGTGGTAATGGTAAAATATAAAGTGACGTGATTAACTCATGTTTGGTTTTATCTGTCCTTCATCTCTTTAGGAAATCTTCCAGGCTGCAGAGAGAGGGAAATGCATCCAGTGGCAAGCAGCAAGCAGGTACAGTTTCAGTGTCATTTCTTTAAAGCTAATGCTGAAACCTTAAAATAAATTACTCACAAAGCATGCTGAGAAGCATTCGGTTTTTAGGAGGGTCTGTACTACTAGTAAGCTAATAAAACTGTTCTGTTTTGTGCCCCAGATGTTCCAGATGAAGTGGAGGGGTCGTCCACTCCCAAGAGGAGCCGCTTTAATCTACAGGATGAAGAGGAGGACCGCTCAGTGCGACGTAGTTCCCGAATCACCAGATACAAACTGAATTCCCGTAACCAGTCAGTGCTCTACGACCGCCTCATCACCAAGTGAGTTCAGCAACGTTCACTCCAAGTTCTTTGGGTTCCTTCCTCACCGCTTCTAAGCTGATCCACCACCTCACGTAGTATCTAACAAATAAATGATCATACACAGTGTGCTTTAGGTATAAATGATAATGTAACAAATAATTAGATTAGAGATAAACTTTGATAAAAGGTTCTCCATTTGATTGTCCCTCAGCACAGCTGAAGCTGTCCTCCAGAAGATGGACGACATGAAGAAGATGAGACGGCGACTGAGGAGCAGAGATAGAGAGACTAAAGAAGAGGTAATGACCCTCAGACAGTTTCACTTATTTATTTCCACCTCTCATTGTATCGTATAATACTGTTGACAGCGAGTTGTTTTGGTGTTTGATAATGTGTAACGAGACCTGTTTCCTCCGAGCAGCTCGGTGTGTACACCAGAGGCAGAATGAGAAGCTCTCTGAGGACGAATGTGGAGAGCAAAGACACTGAAGAGGAGAACCAAGGTGAGATGGATTAGGTTTAATAAATACCTCAGGCACATATCCGGGGAATACTGTATAATGCATGCTTGTCTGGGTCCATCCAGTTCTGGAGAAAACTTATTTTTTATACATCAGTGTTGCCAAAACTGCATTCTATAATAACAGAATTAGCAGTGCCACTGAAATTATTTTCCACTGTTAAAGCGCTACTAAATCCTCCTCCACCACCCACAAACTTGTCTGCTGATACCTTTGCTGCCTTCTTCACAGGCAAAGTGGCGGCTATAACTAGCCAATTCTCTGAAACATTCAAACTCAACCATTGTAGCAGTCCTACTACATCTTTTCCTCTGCCCTCCCAGGTCAGTGGTTCTTCACTCTCCTCGTTTACTCTTCTCACAGAGAGCAAAGTACCAGAACTCTTGACCTGTAGCCATCCGACTACATGCCCACTGGACCTGATTCCTACGAATCTCCTCCAAGCCATATCTCCTACCGTGGTCCCGACAATCATTTATGTGATAAATACTTCTCTGGCTTCGGGAACCTTCCCGACCACTTTCAAAAGGGCCCGGGTTACACCCTTGCTCAAAAAGCCCTCACTCGACCCACCTCAAGTTGAGAACTATCGACCAGTGTCTCTTCTACCATTTTTATCCAAAACTATTGAACGGGCAGTATTCAAACAGGTCTCAGAATTCCTCTCACAGAATGACCTCCTAGATTCATATCAGTCTGGTTTTAAGAGTGGCCACTCTACTGAAACGGCTCTTCTGTCTGTAACAGAAGCCCTAAGGTCAGTGAAAGCTGCAGCCCAATCCTCGGTTCTTATCCTGCTTATCCGCTCTCTCAGCAATGGGCATTTCGAGGAAAGCGTTCCTACAATGTTTTGTGGCAAGGACAATTATCCTCCTCCCACTGCCTCTCCACAGGGGTGCCCCAAGGCTCAGTGCTTGGGCCCCTTCTCTTCTCAATTTATAGCACCTCATTGGGGCCGATCATTCACTCGCATGGCTTCTCTTACCACTGACAGACGCAGACGATACGCAACTCTACCTATCCTTCCCGCCAGGCGATCCCACCGTCTCGGCGCAGATCACGGACTGTCTCTCGGCCATATCTGCATGGATGAAGGCTTGCCACCTTCAGCTAAACCTCTCTAAGACTGAACTCTTGGTCATTCCAGCCAAGCAATCTATCCACCATAACATCACACTACAAATTGACTCCTCAACTATCACTCCAACCAAGGTGGTGAGAAACTTGGGTGTCATGTTTGATGACCAGCTGTCCTTTTCAGACCATGTTGCTGCTGTCTCTCGGTCATGCCGCTTTGCTCTATACAACATAAGGAAAATCAGGCCCTACCTCACTCAGTACGCCACCCAGCTTCTGGTACAGGCCATGGTTATCTCCCGCCTCGACTATTGCAATGCCCTCCTAGCAGGTCTTCCAGCTTGTGCAGTGAAACCCTTACAAATGGTTCAGAACGCAGCAGCACGTCCGGTTTTTGATCAGCCCAAAAAGACTGATGTCACTTCATTACTCAGTGACCTCCACTGGCTCCTCGTGGCCTCCAGAATCAAATTCAAGTCACTAATGCTTGCATACAGAGTGACTACTGGGTCTGCACCCATCTACCTAAACTCCATAATACAAACTTGCGTTCCTTCTCTGCCGCTACGCTCCTCCAACGAACGCCGCCTGGCTTTGCCATCCCTTCACACAAAGCAGTCCCAGGGAGAAACACCCTAATCCGTGTATCATTTGTTCTTTTTTCAATTGGGAATTCAAAATCAGATATGAATATGAGCTTAGTTAAAAGTCTTCACTTGTCTATACAGATAAATTTGGATTGTGTGCGGCAAATTGAGCCTTGTTTTCTATTTCCCAAAACTTACGTTTATATGTTTCTCATACTCTTTACATTAAATGTGGTAGTGTCGCCAACTTCCTGGTTACACACGTTTCCTATTTTGACTTAAGCATAAATTTGAAGTAAAAACAAGCCCCCTCGACCCTGTACGCAGGATAAGTGGTTGATGGATGAATGGATGGATGAAAAAACAAGCCGTTATGTTTTGTGTTTGATTCATAAATAGCAAATTGTTTTGTAATTGTCCAACGTTGTATTCCCTATTGAATAACACAAGAACAAATGATACACTGAGTCATCTGCGTACACAAGTGTTTTCTTCATCAACTTCTGTAGGCTGTGTCTATTGTTATAGCAGAATTGTTTACGTTTTTTTTTTTTTTTTTAAATAATTCTGTCCTAGAACAGATGCTTTTTACCTGCTGTAGAAACCTACACATAGATGGAAACTCAGTGTGTGTGTGTTTACTTAACAATTTATTTATTCTAATTCACAGGTGTGAATGAGGACGATCACGATGAAGAGGAGGAAGAAGATGGAGAAAATGATGAGGAGGAGGAGGAGGAGGAGGAAGATGAAGATGACGATGAAGATGGCGAGGATGAGGAGGAAGAAGAAAATCAGAGGCGTTATGACTTCAGACAGCGAAAGACTGTTGTTCGCTACCAGGCCCCACAAGACGGTACTGCTTTGTTCAACCTGATCATTTGTTTAAATGGCAGCATGTGAAAGGCTTGAAACAAATTAGGCCTAAATTCTAATTTAGAACTAATTTCCACCATTTTTTTAGTTTTGAACCACACTATTAACTCACAGCTCTCACTTTGGTTTCAGTTACTTTAGTGAAGATCTTAGCAAACCTTTACTTGTCAGGTTACTCTACTATGAAGTTCACCCATGCCAAAACTGGATGGTGTATTAAAGCAGATTTGGCATATGAGAAAAAAGATAAATGACAATAAATACTCAAGGTCGAGTCATATTCATAACCTAGTTGAATGTTTTGGAAAAGCCGTATTCTTGTTATAAACTTGTTAAATACTGTACTTCTTAAGCCCCTGTTAGGATTTCGTAGCGTTAAATGAGTTTGCTCTTGTTTTCTTAGAACCCAGAGAGCCCAGGAAGCGCGGTATGTACTTCAAGGACCACTCATCTCCCACGAGACGCAGGTTTAGATTCAGCTCCACGGCCCCCAGGAGTCCCTACAACAGAAGAACCAACAGGTTAGTGTGACGGCTCAGCCTCATCAAGGGATCGGTTTTCTCAGTAACACGTGATGGTCTGATTAATGGCTTGTGAAATACTGTTAGAACTGTAGAAGTCAGCAACAGTGGTTTGACTAATACAGTATCCAGAACAAGATCACACACCTAATCATTCTGAAATGTTTAAATACAGAATACACATTTTATTACTGAAACAACCAGGGCACGCTTTAGTAATAACACTGGGATGGATACTTCACAATTTGACCTCTGTTGCAAAGAAAAATCCTCTTTATCCTGTTTCCCCCCCCCCCCCCCCCCGTCTTCATCCCACCTTCAGGAGTAGTTCTGAGAGGTAAGACCCTCCCTCACTACTTGTTGTGTTTATTGTTTAGTCTGTGTGTTTTTTGGGGTGCTGTCTGTTTGCCACTGTGTTTGTTGATAGTGTGGCACATTCGGGTGGCACTTTATTGGTGTAATGTGTGTAGACAGTGAACCAAACTTCACCAGAACTTAAGTATTGTTTAACTTGTGACCATTGTTTGAAACCGTTTCTGTTATCCAGCTTTGATTTTATTTTATGTGCGTCCAGTTACAAGATTTTTAAAAGGGTTTGGGGGGGGGGGGTTTGAATATTGTGTGCTTTTATTTTTTTCACATTGAGCTTTTAAGGTGGGTTCTGCAGTCGAGCCCTCTTTGTGTGTTGTTGAGGAGGTGTGTTAATCAGATGTCATGCATGGTATCATTTGAAGTGCTTGGTTGAGCATTATTAAGGTTTAAACGGTAGTACTAATTACTCAGTGGTAATGGTGTATTGTGTTTGTTTTAACTGTGTGTGTTTGGTTAAAGTTAGATTAAATTACTTCACTTAGCATCAAATTCTTTTGCTGACAAATCTTTTTGTAGCTTATCTCAATAAATAATAAACATTAATAATCTCAACCTAAATGTGGTTAGGATTATTTGATGTTAAGCTTGATAGTTTTAATGATACAGACAAGCATCATCTGCCTTTTGCAGAAGGAGACATGCCATCCACAGTAGTGACTCCACTTCGTCATCGTCTGACGACGAGCAATTTCAGAGACGGAGAAGTAAGAACAGGAGCAGGTCAGTCAACAGGTGAGAGAATCAGTACAGGTAGACAACTGCTGTGTTCTTCAGCAGGTGGGTGGAACACAAAGACAGAAGGATTAAATAAATGCATATCGTGGCTGAACATCTTACTGTGAAAAACATCATACTGCACATTGGGGCCAATGATGTTGTGAAGCAACAGTCTGAAGTCTTGAAAGAGAATTTTAATAATCTGTTGAACACAGTCAGCTCTTTGAAAGCTGAGGTGTTTATCAGTATCTATACCGCCAATCAGAAGAGGAGCTGAGAGATTCAGCAGATTGATGGCATTGAACACGTGGCTCTCAACGGCATGTACTGTCCATTCAGTGCATTTGTAAAAATATTTTTACTTTCTGTGGGACCGCAGACATCTTTTTTTTAAGGCAGATGGACTTTGCCTTAACAAGTCAGGAGTAAAATTGTTCAGCTCCAACCTGTTTTACTTTCTGCGTCACTCATCCGTTCCCTCTGCCAAGGACAAGAGACAAGAGGAATCTAAACAAGAAGAAGACATAACACAACATGCCAGAAACCTTGAAGGAGAGCCACCTCAGCCCCCGCCGGAAGAGAGCTCTGATCACGGGAGACAACTGAGCCAAGAGGAAGAGCCTCCACCTCCCTCACTGAAAACCAACAGTGAGGATTCACCATCTCTACCCCCCCTGAATGTTAGTTTCTGTTTGAGCACTTAGGCTCAGTGTATGAATGTGTGTGACTGGTGAATGCAGATGTAGTGTAAAAGCGCTTTGAGTGGTCGCTCCACTCCCATTTTCTCCACCTTAAACCCCCCTCACCATCCACCTCCACCACTGGTTCTATGTCCTCCAGGTTTGACACGTGTCACAAATACAGCGCACAACCCGCCTTCCCGCTTCGCAATGGCGAAGAATCCCAGTAAGACTGATGACTGATATGTGCTGGGTCCAGGCTACAAGGAAAATAGCACTCATGACTCTTGCCAGGACAAGCCGGGGCCCAGTGTGCTGGTAGTCTTCTCCATCCCTGTCTTGATAGGTAACAGAAAAAGCATGGTGAATGCGTTAAGAAACAGGAAGCACTCAACATATTTTGCAAATTTAATATTAATTCCTCGTCAGCCGCAGCCTGTCGAAAAAAGTGGGCCAGATAATGTTTTTAACACACTAAATTTAACTTTGTTAAACGTTAGGTCTTTGGCAGGAAAAAACATTTTTAATCAATGATTTTATAACTACTGACAATCTTAATTTCTTGTTTTTAACTGAAACTTGACCAAGATAACAGTGCAGCTGTCCTTATCGAGTCTACCCCTCCCAACTACAGTTTTATGAGTGAGGCTAGAGTGCATAAGAGAGTGTTTAATGACTCCCTCCAATGCAAAAAGATGTCTTATGGGAATTTTGCTTCTTTTGAATATGTGGCTCTTCAGCTGAATTCCTCTTCTCTGGCTATTTTTCTAAATATCTACAGGCCCCCTAAAATACTATGCAAACTTTTTTGATGACTTTGGTGAACTGCTGTCTGTAATCTATATTGACTTTGACTGTGTAGTTATTGTTGGTGATTTTAACACCCATGTTGAAAACCCCCAGGACAGAGGGACTAAAGAACTGTGTTGTGTTCTTGATAATTATGGACTGACCCAACATGTGACAGAGCCCACACACAATAAGGGGCACACTTTGGACTTAGTCACCTCCAAGGGTCTAGACATTTCCAAGGTTGTGGTGACTAATGTTGCTCTCTCTGATCATTTGAGTGCTATCTGCGTGCACACAAATGTACAAACAGAGGTAATCACAAAACGGCGTATCACTTAAAACACTAGTGAAATATTTATTCAGGCTTTCTCTTCGACACCCGCCCTCTCATGGGTCTCAGTGAATGAGCTTGTAGATAATTTCAGTTCTAAAATTACAAATGTTATTGATGCCATTGCACCAGCCAAGGTGAAGGTGGTCTCTGGTAAGAGAAGATCTCCATGGAGAAATGCCACGCTGGTTAGAACTCAAAAAAGAGAGTGTCGAAAAGCTGAACGCAGGTGGCGGAAAACAAATCTCCAGGTTCATTATGACATCTATAAAGAGAGACTTCGCATTTATAATTTAGAACTGAGAAATGCAAGGCGGTCTTTCTTCTCTGACATCATCACCGAAATAACACTAATAATGCACGTGGCCTGTTTGCTACTGTTGACAGGCTAACCAACCCTCCTGTGTCTGTAGCCTCTGAACTTCTATCTACCAGGGCCTGCAATGAATTTGCCTCCTTTTTCACAGACAAAATTCAAACAATTAGACAAGCAATCAGTTTCTCCATATCAGTTACAGGATATGTCTTGTCCCTGTGTCCACTTAAAAGCAATTCATATAGCATGAGACAATTTGATTCTATTAACCATAAAAACCTGGAGGACATAATACAACATCTGAAATCCTCCTCTTGCTGCCTTGATATTCTGCCAACAGGTTTTTTCAAAAATGTGTCTAAATGCATGGCCTCAGATTTACTACAAATTGTCAACATGTCTCTCCTCTCAGGTTTTTTCCCACAGGCCCTGAAAACTGCAGTCATTAAGCCACTCAAATAGAGCAATCTAGACAGTTCACTAATGAGCAATTACAGGCCCATATCAAATCTCCCATTTTTAAGTAAAATCATTGAAAAGGCTGTTTATTCAACAGCTTAGTGCTTTCTTGGCACTAAATAACTGTTTTGATGTCTTCCAGTCAGGTTTTCGACCACACCACAGCACTGAGACAGCTCTTGTTAAGGTCTTAAATGACATCCATTTAAACACTGACAGTGGCAGAATTTCAGTCTTAGTATTATTGGATCTCAGTGCTGCATTCGACACGGTCGACCACAACATATTACTAGACAGACTTGAAAACTGGGTTGGACTTTCTGGCACAGTACTAAAATGGTTTGAATCCTACTTAAAGGACAGAGACTACTTTGTGTCTATAGGTAATCACACATCTGAGCTGACAAAAATGACACATGGAGTTCCCCAAGGCTCCATTCTGGGACCTCTTTTGTTTAACATTTACATGCTTCCACTGGCTCAGATTGTCAAAAACAACTAAATGTTTGTAGATAGATTAAGTGTACTTCTCTGCTTCTCTACTTTATTCTCTTTTCAAAATAATTGTAACTCAATTATTTGCTCAACCCCTCAACCTGTTTTTATTTTCCATTTAAGTCTTTTAACCCTGATTGTACACTGCACTGTAACTTTATTTTTAATGTATATTTAAAAAATGTTCCTATGTTGCTTTTATGTTTTATGTAAAGCACTTTGAATTACCTTGTTGTTGAAATGTGCTATACAAATAAACTTGCCTAACGATTGTATAATTACAATAGGTCAAAATGTACAACTTTCAATCAATAAAAGGTTTGTCACTGTTTTGTTAATTTATCTCAAGTCATGTAGAGGTGGATAAACAGGAATCTCTTTAAAGCAATAAATCATATTTGTTTACTTTTGCAACCTCTTAGTGATAGGACGGTGGGTGGCAGAAATATGTAAAATCCTGTTATTTAATGATGATAATAGCTTATGTGGGGAGAAGTGGGATTAATGCCTTAATGTTTAATACAGTATGTTCTTATTGTAAACACCCCTTATGAAAGTCTAAAATGTTTTAACAAAGTAAAACTGCCAGAAAATGAATCTGAAAGGTGTTTTCTATGTTTTTCTTGCAGATGTCTGCCTATGAACTTTGTGAAAGACGACCTGCTGGGGATCCACAAGGACAGGATGAAGATTGGAGCCAGCCTCGCTGACGTGGACCCCATGCACATAGACAAGACGGTAAGCTGCATTGATCAATGGATAGACGCAAACACAGTCTAGTAGTCTGATATACAGGAACGTGATGGTTAATGTTACTGTATTGACTAAATATATCACTTCAAGGTGTTTTTAAATGCATTATCACAAAGACAATATGGATGAATAGCTGATTTGACAGTTTGTAGGTCAGAGATAGTGATGAAACATTAATCGGGCTGTAGTAGTATTAAGAGCAAACAATCTAAACACAACACTATTTGTCATCCAGGTTCGGTTTGAAAGCATTGGAGGTTTGAGCAGACACATCTCAGCGCTGAAGGAGATGGTGGTCTTCCCTCTCCTCTACCCAGAAGTGTTTGAGAGGTTCAAGATACAGCCTCCCAGGTTAACGGTGCATGTTTTGTTGAAAAGATAAAATGTGGTTAATGGTTTAGCATTCATTTTATACTGTGACTCAATAAATGTCATTTACTTTAAGTGTTCTTGTAAGGAACAGCCAGAAAGAAGAGGCTTATGCTGTGAAAGAAGTTAAATACATCCCAGAGTGGGGAGAGAGCTTTGTCAAAATATTTCAATTCAAACGAACAGGCTTATACAACTTCATATCAGTCCTTTAGTACTGTATACTCTTCTGTATTAGACAGCACCTTGAGTATAGATTTTTTTTTAAATATAAGACGCAGTCAGGATTTGTTTTTGTAGACCCAAAGCATCTTAAGTCCCATAGATTAAATTGTCTCTAAATTTTAGTATACATTTTTGGATTGTAATGCTATTGAAACCATAATAATAATATTAATAATAATAACTAGAACTGCAAGCAGTTGAAAATGGGGTCCAAGCCGCCCCCCTCGCCCTGCGGAGGGCGCGCAAGTGAACGTGGCTTCGGGGGGCCCGTGGCGAACAAACTAGAGTTTGAAATTAAAAGGACTTGTGGTTACGGATATAAAATGAATGTACGTCTGTGGAAGTGGTATTTTATATACGATTAATAGCGCCACCAAGAGGTCAATTGACGCCAAATTTCACACAGCCCTTTGGGAGGGCGTGCCAGATGAGGTCCCCGAGTTTGGTGTAGATCGGACGTTGCAAACCTAAGATATGACATCCCATCCTGTTTTAAGCATTTTGTCGAACATTTGTTAGCTTATAATTGTGCCATTTTTTCCCGTATCAAAATTCCCTCTACAAACTTTTATCGGCTTGGTCCAGAGATTGTCCGTGCAAAGTTTGGTGCCGATCGGAGTTGCCACTTCGGAGGAGTTAAATATAGTATGTTTTTCAGTTCTTGCGAATTAGCGAAATGAAAACGTCATCACACAAAGGCGTGTCTTATACTATAATATTCGGTAGCATCCCCCCAACACGTATGATGTACTGTCTCTTAGTTATGAGGCAAAATGTCTTGTTTTGAAAATGCCATTCAAATGAATGGGATTTTGCCATGGTATTTGAGCTTCGATTATAGCGCCACCTAAAGGCCGAATTGGATGAAATCTTTCAGGTGTCATCAGGGGCCCCAAATTTTAGATCGATGCGACTTGTGGTTGTGGAGGAACAGATAATTGCTGTTATACAGCGCCACCTAGGAGGTAATTTCATCAAATTTTGCACGGCCCCTCGAGGAGACATGAGATATTAGGGCTCCAAGTTTGGTGTTGATTGGCCGTTCCAAACCTATGATATGAAATCACTTCCTGATTTTTAGCGTTTTTCACAAAGATTTGTTAGCTTATAATTAGGAAATTTAGTCGCGAATCAGAAAAAAACGGCTTCGTCCATAGATGGTCCGTGCCAAGTTTGGTTTTCGAATGGACTTGCGGCTTCAGAGGAGTAATCAAAATATTTTTTTTTAGTTATCGCAATGTAGCGAAGTCTAGGCGGAAATGGGCGTGGCCTATACCAGGAGATTCAGCTCGATCCCCTGAACACGTGGCTATAACAGGGTGTCCGCGGGGTCTTAAAGTCTTAAAAGGTGATAAATCAAGGTATTGCATTTTGAAGATATTTTTGCCAATGTGAAAATCCTGTTTGTCCAAAAGTTTGTTTGCTAAAAGTGTAGGTGAAAGTATTTATTTATAATGCATAGCCAAAAATACTAGACAGGCAGTGAGTAGCGACTGTGTGATTCGTCTTTGTAACGTTAGGTGCAGGGATCTACCGTGTGCCTATTTCACTCTGAAACGCTTTAAAAAATAGATCCGTGCGAACCGGAAAATGATTTACGAATACAAACGACCGTAATCTCCCACCCTGCCGGACCCGCAATGCTAATCGTCCAAAAGGTAGTAGGAGTGGCAGGAGTAACGGGATTCACCTGGTTGGTAGGTCGCTCTATGGCCAATTGAACAGCCCCATTCCTGGTGGTCGATGAAAGTTATCACACATATCATTGCAGGCAAGCTCACATTAGCTAGTTTAAACCAACTAAAACATAAAATTACACTGTTTCACATGATTTGCTGTAATGATGCGTACATAAACGTCATAGCCTATGTAAGATCGCAGGAAATCTGACCGGTCCCGTCCTTCACATAGAAAACTGTTGGCCCATTCAGGCTGTTATAGGCAACTGAGAAAGTTGGTGAATGCCTCAATTTTGAAAAAAATGACACATAGGAAATTAATTTGTTATACATATATTTAAATTCCTTTTAAAAACTCAAATGTCCCTTTTTAAAGGTTTGTGTGGCTGATTTTAATCGGTTACAGCTCAAAGTGGCGCGGCAGTCTTAAAATATGTTGAAAAGGTCTTAAAAAGGTATTGAATTTAACTTCAGGATTCCTGTGTATATACCCTGTATAAGGTTTTTGATATGCGCCTTCGTATGCAGGAATTACAGTGATTTGAAAGTGCAAAACTTTGGATGTTGCTTGTAGTGCCCCCTAAGGGTAGAAGTGAGCGAATCTCATGTGTCTGAACCTACCCTGTGAGTTTGTAGTCTGTAGCATTTACCGTCTAGGCTGCCGTATTTAAATTTGGCAAAAACGTACGGAAAAATAAAAACGAGAACGATTCCAATAGGGTTCCCAGCTCCACTGGTACTGGGAATCCCAGACCACACGGGCTTGGACCAATAATAATAATAATTGTTGTCATATTTTCTCTTTAGGGGCTGTCTATTTTACGGTCCTCCGGGCACAGGGAAAACCCTCGTAGCCAGAGCGTTGGCCAATGAGTGCAGTCAGGGGGAAAGAAAGGTGTCTTTCTTTATGAGGAAAGGAGCTGACTGTCTCAGTAAGTGGGTGGGTGAATCCGAGAGACAGCTACGACTGCTTTTTGATCAGGTAAACCAAACTCCTCATCAACATACACCATACTATTTGGGATAGATGGAGATTGTCCGTTTATGTTGCAAGTGCGATTGATTGATTCCTCTTTAACAAAAGATAATCTGATCAACAAAGAATATCAGATAACATATATTGTAAAAGCTAGCGCTATATTTTTATACACTATATTGCAACATGTTAACTTGTAGATTTGAATAAAAGGCCTGCACATCATCTAGTATCGGGTCTAAAGATAATGCAATCTGTAGCTGATTGAATTCCTATTGAATTGTTTGTAGGCTTACCAGATGCGTCCGTCCATCATCTTCTTTGATGAGATTGATGGTTTGGCTCCAGTCAGGTCCAGCCGTCAGGACCAGATACACAGGTGAGAAGCCTTCCTGTTCTTATTTTGTACAGTACATGTGTGGTGATTGTACTGAAGTTAGAGTGTAAAATGTACAGAGTGGGTTGCCAGATATAGTTTAACATTTCTCTAAAATACATTTTTTTTCTTAAATCAGCATTTAGCTTTGACCGTCATCCTAATTCATGCTTCACTTGAGAAGAATCACAGTTAAGTTCATAACCAACATTACATAATTGCCGCCAGAATGGTGCAGCTGTCACAAGTCATATTTAATGTTGGGCACCACCTGAAATTTGATAAGACCTGGATGCAGCTGCAGCTACACAAATATATCTCACTCAGAATTGAAAACAAAGAAGGTATACAACCCTTGAATCTCTTGTCTGTCCCAACGTTATTGTGAAAACATCGCATGCAGAAAACATTTATGGCTTGACTTTTGAGGCAGTTGGTGGCCAAACAGAAAATAAAGTTTCTTTAAGAATGGAAATAGTTTTGAATGACTGAACAATAATTGAATCCGAATTCCTCCATTAGATAAAAGAAAGTAGCTACATCAGATTTTTCAATAAGGAAATAGGGTCTTTTTTTCAAGGGTACTATGAAACTGTCCTTGAAAAAGACGTGTTGCTGTTGCAAAGACCAAATCTGTGACCTTGATATAGTACAATCCGACATGATTAGTTTGTCTCCGTGAACTGCAGTTACATCCTCTTTGTTACCGGGACATGGCTTTGACCATTTAGAAAACATAGTCTTTTTCTGTCTCTGTAGTTCCATTGTGTCGACCCTGTTGGCTCTTATGGATGGATTAGATGCTAGAGGAGAGGTTGTTGTGATAGGTGCTACAAACAGACTGGATTCCATCGACCCAGCTCTGAGAAGACCAGGGCGCTTCGACAGAGAGTTCCTCTTCGGCCTGCCGGACAGAGAGGTGAGAACCTGTAGATGCCCTTTGATGCTCGGTAGAGACAATAAAAGAGAAAATTGACACGTGGGTTGTGGTCAAATCTGAGTGCACTCAAATGATTTTGGGCTGAAACTGTAGAAGGCTGTCAGATCGCAAATGTTGGACCTGAACTTGAAATGCTGTGATCTTTTTTTGTATGGCAGGCGAGAAAGGACATTCTGAAGATCCACACCAGACAGTGGACTCCACCACCTTCTGACACTTTCCTGGAAGAATTGGCAGATAAATGCGTTGGTATGTTTAAATTTAATGATGCAAAGACAGCAGTACCTTACAGCTTAAAATATAAACATCTTTCTAAACTTTCCCAGTACAGATCACACTTTAATGTGATTTAAAAATGTCAATCTTGGGTGTTCAATTGCACCATCTACCGGTACAAAACCTGTGTCTCAGAACCATTATCTCCGGTCAGATCATTTGCACAGAATACTTTGTTTTGCAGACCTTCAACCACACACTGGATAGTGAATGTCTTACTGAGCGTTATATCAGTCGGTCTCTCTTTGCTTGCCAGGTTATTGCGGAGCAGACATCAAGGCAGTGTGTTCAGAGGCTGCCCTGTGTGCGCTGCGGCGTCGCTACCCACAAATCTACTCCTCATCGCAGAAACTGGTGCTTGATGTCAACTCCATCGCTATCACAAGCAAAGACTTTATGTCAGCCGTGTCCAAGATGGTGCCTGCTGCCCAGAGGTATAAACAAAATAACTGTTCTAATGTAAACATTTCCAGTGCCACACACCTTGCTTGTGGTTCTTAAGTAAATGTGGTGCTGATCTTGATTTTTAGGGCAGTGGTGTCACCAGCCAAGGCCCTGATACCCGCCATTCATCCTCTGCTGAGTGCCACTCTGCAGAACATCCTCCACGCAGTCAGCAGGGTGTTCCCGCATGCCGAACAGGGCTTAAAGAGGAAGAGAGAACAAGGTGCAGTCTTGCTTCATCTTTTTCTTAGTTTTGCATTCATTTATTCTTGCACTCATTTGTTCTTTTCATGGTCCTGTATTCTTTTCACTTAATTTAACATTCATTTCCATTTCGTCCATAAGTAATCCCAAAAGAGAACACACTTCATTTGTTCTTTTGCCAACCTCTTCTGAGACACCAGGAGTAACTGCTGTACTGTGTTTGTGTGCATGTGTTTATTTCCAGATATGGCCTGTGGTTTGTCTGAGGATGATCTGATGTTCAGTGATGAGGACTCAGAAGTCCTTTCCAGTGGACAGACCTCTCACTCCCAACCCAAAACACCTGCTGCTAAAGGACTTCTCAACCTCAACAGGTTGGTTTACCATTATGCAGGAAGGACTGTTATACATTTGTCTCCTTATTCTCTCAGATAATGTTAATAAATATTATTGCACATAATTTCTCAATCAAAATCTTAGTCTTAGTTTTTTATATTGGAAAATACTGATGATGTACCTTTGGGAGTTAACACTGCTTTACTTAAGACTTCAGTAAGTTGTCTGTCCCAGTGACCCAAATATTTTAGGCAAATTAATGGGCCCTTGAAAAGTTAACCTAAATGTTCCTACAACTTTACTCATCTCAGCGTCTTCTCTCCTTGTGTAGGAGTGTGCTGAGCCACCCAACTTCATACCGTCCGAGGCTGCTGTTGGAGGGCAGACCAGGCTCAGGTCAGAGCGCCCACCTGGCCCCTGCTGTCCTCCACGCTCTGGAGAAATTCACTGTGTACACACTGGACATGGCTGTACTGTTTGGAGCCAGTGCAACTGCACCGGAGGAGACTTGTGCTCAGGTAGAAGAGATGCCACTATGCAAAATAAAAATACCTGTAAATGGTCATTTATGTGCACATTCAGTGACTTAAAGTAATTCAGATCCAACATCCCTGATATCAGGCCTCGCACAGAACCGGGATAAACTAGACAACTTAACTTTTGCAGCCTTGTCAAATTCAGTGTGTTCTTTTCAATGGACTTCACTGGCCAAAATGGCTGCCACAGTAACTGTAGTTCATGGGCCCCACCTCCTTCCGCCATGGGCAGTGGGGATAAATATGTACTACAGACAGATACTCATATGAATGAGCAATGATGGTGGCAGGGGTGAAGGAGCTGTCACGTTACCAAAAGTAATATCTGGAAGTTTCATATTTGTCAAAAAAACAAAAGTATTCAATTTACAGTGAGGTGAAATGGTTTTGAGAGAGGCTTTAACCTGGAAATTTTGTTTCCTGCATTAGTTTAATGCCACTGTATAATTTCTAATCCTCTTTTTAATGTTGTCATCATGCCCTTTCATTTATGCATTTAGTCTTTATCACCCCGTCATATTGATCCCCATCTTATGTTCTGTGAAAGTGCCACTGTTGTGAATGCTCGTCTGTAGATTTACATCCAGTTTTTATTCATATCCATACCATATATTAATGTTCGAATGTTCTGCAGATCTTTGTTGAAGCGAAGCGAACCTCTCCCAGCATCCTGTACATCCCTCACATCGGACAGTGGTGGGAGACAGTGGGTCCGGCCTTAAGAGCCACCTTCCTCAGCCTGCTCAGCTCCATCCCTGCCTTTGCTCCTATACTACTTCTGGCTACGTGCAGCCTGCAATATGACCAACTAAGCATGGAGGTATGGAAAGAAAGACTGATAAAGTAGTGTTGATACATTAGAGCATAGCGTTTAAAGGGGACCTATTATTATGCTAATTTGCAGCTCTATATTTTTATTCTGCAACTCCACTGGAGCTTTGCATGATTCATATTCAAAGAATCCTTTTTTATACTGGCCCTTTATGCAGTCCCTCAGTTCATCTGCAACAAGCTGATAGCTTCTGTCTCTTTTAAAAACCTCCTCCCTAAAAGCCTTCTTTTTTCTGAATGTCCAACTCCTGAAAGCCTACAGAGGGGCAGCACCTGGTCCCTGTGCACCCTTCGCACTACAGTAACTTACCCCATTGGTAAGCGATACTGTTTGTCAGACCACAAATGACTCAAGAATTAGGTTGGAAAAACGATAGACATCCTATTAGCTTAGTTGACTCAGCCTGTACTGGGAGGTCGTAGGCCTAAATGAGTGTTGGTTAGGGTGCATCACATTTGAATGGGAAATTTTAATTTCATCAATCATCATCAATTTGGCTGGCATTGCATTTTGTTCCAATTAACATAAAAATGAATTTTGCAAAGTTTTGAGGAATTCCATTGAGATTTAGGGGTGCCACCTAACACATGAACTTTGGCGAAATTTCGAAAAATGTGCAATTTTTAGTCTAATTGCCAAAAGGTTGGCCTGGAAATGTTGAGTACGGTGAACTTTTACAGTAACATGTTCTATAGGGTTATCAAAGTAAAATTTGTTTGTTTGCCCTTTGGGCAACTTGGGCATTTCTCAGAATTCAACTTTCAAGATTCTCCATTCATTTGTCCTAAAGACAAAATGAATGGAGGTCAATGGGACACGTTCACGTGGCCTTACGCTGAATTTTGTGCGGCAGTGATGGATGTCGGACACACATATAAAGTTTAATTGACTTATTGTTAAACACAAGGGCCGATACTGACACACTTAAAAGAACAAACCCTCTCTAGTGGCTAACTCACTGGCAACTTACAGGGCCTAATGGTAAGAGCTGACATTAACTAAACTTCAAACTTAATTGCTCAGTCTGTGCCAGAGTCTGCTCTATTGAGCAACATCACCAGGGAGAAAGAGAGAGGAAATGGAACCGGAACTCTGAACCTAGCCAGTGCATCTCCCCCCAGATATGTCCACCCAAGAGTAACCGTCCTAATCAGGAATTGGCTTGCGTTTGCAGCGGCGAAGGTTTGGCTGTTGGTTGCAGTCATGTTCAACTGCCTGCAGCACATTCTGCAGGTGCTACTCCTTCCTTGCCACTGCAATGAAGTCGGATGTGAGCTTGACGCCACGCTCGGCACAGTCATTGACCACGTACATTGACCTCACTTTTTTTTAACCGCAGCATTGGTCACCCATTCCTTCACATCGAGAGACGTAAATTCTGGATCAATGTGCAGCTGGTGCATCCCAAACCAGCAACCCTTATTGGTGAGGTCAGCCAAGCTGGTGGTTGGCAAGAGGGTGGGGAACTTTGGCTTGCCAAAGCCAGTGACAACGCGCTGCTCAGGGACGTGCATGGGGAGATCAGCGGGCTTGTGCTCCAAGATCGCTCTGGCAAGTGCATGCTTGTCATTATTGGGCACCTTGCTGCTGAAGAGAGCCAGGGGTAGCATCTCACCTGTCAGGTACCAGCGATGCCTCTCCACCGCCTTGATCGATGATGTTGCAATGCCCTCATCTACAGCCTTGTATACCTGCAGGTGGTGGTAGAGTGTCAGGTCATTCCAAGCAGCATCCGATGTGAAGCTCCATCAAAGCCAGCTTGAGAGTATAGAGCAGCTTGGCCATCCATTGTGCCTTGTGGAGCGCTCCCGGTCATTGGAAGGTCACTGCAGTCTGCTCTTCACCATCTGCATCCAGAAACACAAGACACAGCTGCACAAACTCATGGTAGTCACCTTGCTTTTGGTCAGTGACTTCTTTTGCACCCCTGACAAGTTCAGCACGTAAATTGCCCAGGAGTAGTTACTCTGTGTTGCCAGGAATGTAGCGGGACCATTGGCTGCTTGATTCTTGTGGCAACAGGTTCCATTTCTCTCTCAGACGTGTGAACAAGGTAACCTCTGGCGAGCGTGATGACTCCACCTACAGGTCTGTGAAAACCTGGTTCAGGAGGATCTCACCAATGTGGTGCCGGCCGCCAGACCAAAGCAGTGGTCGGCCCATTGAGAGCTGTATGGCAATGCAGGCTGCTGTGAGATGGCTGGTGTTTGACGCAGTGGTGTCAAATGCCATTGTTGACAACCTGGTCAGCGCAGCACCAGTCCTGCTGCAACTTGCATGTCAACCGGGCAATGATCACTCCACATGCCTCATTGGTCTGCTTCTTATACGCTGGGACACCAAGCAGTTTCAGCCGCTCTGCATCTCCAACCACCAGTGTAAGACGCTCCTCCAACTGGCGCACATTGCTGAGCATTGGTGTTAACCTCAGATCTCCATGGCGACCATTGAGCACTGTTAACCATTTTATCCAACAAAAACAGATGTGCGGTGGCACCCCTAAATCATCATGTACTGGAAAAATATTTTGCATGTGTTGTTTCTACATATATTGGAACACTTTTAGCACCCAGCCATATCAAAATTAAAGAATTGTGTTTTTTGATGCACCCTAGTGTTGGTGTTTACACCACAAGCATAGGAGCTTTGAGGGTTTTCAGGCCCGGACTCCGAGCTCCTAGTCCAGGCAGAGTCCGTTAACGGTAGCTAGTTAGCAGTAGTGAGCAGTTTCTTAGCAGCACGTAAAATAATCTGTCCATCAAGAAATGAACTTTCCGTCACAACCATAAAAAGCACTTTCTGTGAGACATACTGAACAACCTCCAAACAAACGTCATCAGTAGTCCTGAGCACAGTGGTCAAAAAACTGAGATAGACTGAGCATGTGAATAGGCACGTCCCTGTACTTTGTGGGTGTGCTGTGCCTGAGCACTGGGGTTACTTTTGGGATTACTTTTACATTTGTTTACCTCATTATTTCAAACGTTTGTGCATCTAATTTTCTTGAGCATAAAAGGATTCTCTCAGACAGAAACACAACCCATCTCTTACCTTTCTTTTCTCAGGTGCAGGAGTTGTTTCGGGTGGAGTACGGAGAGGTTTTCCATGTTCAGGTCCCCACCATCAGAGAAAGAAGAAATTTCTTTGAGGATCTAATCCTGAATCAGGCTTCCAAGGCCCCCGCCTCAAAAAAAAAAGCTGGTGAGAAATAGGAGTGTAGTAATAAAATACAGATCTTAAGGGCTGTAGTGCTTCTTAAATTCAGTGAATGCTATGCTAACATAGCGTTTTTCAGGGTTCATAGTTCAAGTTGCTGGTGTTCACATCCACGCTTCAAGTGGAGAAGGTTGGAGCATTAATACAGAGAGGAAGGATGTCTGATCACTAAAAGTCTATGTGATATTAATGTTGTGAGAATAAATGTATTACTTATTTTTAGTAAGTGTGAGTGAAACAGTGTAAAATCCTAGTAGGTGTAGAAGAATCTCTTCACTCGTGTGAAATGGACAGTTTGAGTGGAAATCCTGTTAAATGATCTAACTTCTGTTTAGTTGGTGGTACAGTGTGGTGTTGCTCATCTTCTCTGATTTGTCAGCTGCAGACTAAAAATGAATGTTACCAAGATAAATATATATAATGGAGCAAGACTTTCACTTCCTTCAGTGCTCCATGCTTTGGAAGTGCTTCCTATCGCTCCTCCGCCTCCCCCACGTCAGCTGTCAAAGGAGGAGATCCAACGATTGGAGGAGCAGGAGGAAGATACCCTGAGGGAGCTTCGCCTCTTCCTGCGTGATGTCACCAACCGCCTGTCCCAAGATAAACGCTTCAAAGCATTTACAAAGCCTGTTGATTTAGAAGAGGTAGTTGTTCCATTATATTTTATTGACTCATATTACCTGATAACGCATTACTTGAGACTGATTCATTGTTTGGCCAACTTAGAATAATGTCTCAACTCCAGCAGTTTGTTGTACTGTCTTACATCATCCATCATTATATCCAGTGTTTAGTTTGATACATTTTCCCCATATTGTAGTCACAGCAGCGTCTTTGTCATGTGATTTAGGTGCCAGATTATGCTGAGGTGATTAAGAAGCCTATGGACCTGTCAACCGTTCTCTCTAAGGTCGACCTTCATCAGTATGGGTCGGTCAAAGAGTTCCTCCAAGACGTGGATCTCATCTGGCAGAATGCCCTTGAATACAACCCAGACAGGGACCCCTCAGGTACACACATCGTGAACAGTAAAAACACACTCTGCTCGAAGAGAACATATTTTGTATTAATACTTAGAGTAACCAATTACTATAATGCATCTGTTTGTAACATAAAATTTGCATTCTTGCTAATTTGAATGTGTGTGTTTCCTGCAGACCGTCAGATCCGACACAGAGCATGTGCACTGAAAGACACCGTCCATGCTATCATCAGAGATGAACTGGATGAAGATTTTGAGAAGATTTGTGAAGAGATCAAAGTGTCACGCAGCACAAGAGGTGAATGCTTTATGCATGAGTGTTTACATCCAAATAGTTAGTTTGGGGATGCACCGAAAGTTAAGACGGTAAGTTAGGCTAGCTGTTGTAGACTCAGGGATTACACTGAGATTCTGTGTGAGCCCAGTTTCTAAAATATTAACCAGTATCGATATTAACGTTCAGTGACTAAAAACATTTACTGGCTAATTTTGAAAAGCTTCTTATGAAGCATCCTGCACTAAGCTTATGCTTTAAATTTGATGCTTTGTTCCATTTTCATTCCCGTATTCACCTATTTTGTCATTTAAGTCACTCACTCTCACAGTAATAACTTTAGCTTGTGCATTTTTCAAATTTCAGAATACATAGCTTGTTTAGGTGTACAAAAACAGTTTTTTACAAGTGTGTAAAATGACCAAAAAATCATTGTGCTGTCTTTGTTTGACTACCTCAGATTGCTCCACTGTCCAGTTTGCTCCCTCCTTCTACCATGTCCTTCCCAAACAGTCCAAACCCCCTGCTGAGGTGGACATGACCCAGCAAAGAGAGCTGGCTGGAGCCACAGCTGCAGTTACTCCCACTATAGGTGCCTCTGCTGTTACAATGCCTAAAATCTTAGGTAAAGATGGCACTGTACTGAAGATAACAAAAATTAAATCATATACTTCACAATTAACTAAATCCTTCTCCCCTTGTGTTTCTCCAGCCCAGAAGAAGAAAAGGCGGAAGAGTCGCTGGTCCGCTGGCGTCTTTGCAAAGAAGAAATCTTCCTCCTCTCCTCACACGTCCAGAGATGACGCGCACTTGGGATCGGATGAGGAAGAGGAAGATGGGGATGATGAGGAGGAGGAGGAGGTTGGGAAGGGGGGAGGAGGAGCAGAGTGTGATGGGCGGACCGAAGGAGAGGAGGATCAGATGACGGTCGATGTAGAGTCAGGGACCACACCAGCTCAGGAAGGTAGTTTGGGGCCCACTGCGAAGGAGCAGGACAGTCAGGAGGGAAGAGAGGAGAGGAGTCAAGCTGCTGAAGACAAAGTTATCTTGTGTGAAACAGGGAACCCAGAAAATGATGAGCAGACACAGAACGAGCAAAAAAAGGTGGATAAAGCTGTCAAAGATCAACCACGAAAGTCGGAGGAAAACCAAGTGTTGACAAAGGCAGGAAACAAGAACAGCGAAACCATTTCAGTGAACACTAACAAGGACAGCCATACTCGGACAGAGGGATTTACCCAGGGACAATTCAACACAGAGAAGAGTGGTGAAACTAAAAGCGAAATGCTGACAGAAACTGAGACCGACAAATGGCAAACTGTTACGCAGGCAGACAACAGGAACAACAAGGTAGAGACTGTAGAGGAGGCAGAGCAGAACAGCCATGCTGAACCGATGGAGGTGGAAGCAACAGACACCTCAGCCACAGACGCCTCTGCAGCTGCCAGAGGAGAGGACGACACAGGCACAGGTTTGATACTAGCAAAGCCTGGCTCTTTAAGTGGAGAGAAAATATCAAGAGAAACTCGGATCTTAAATCCTTAACTAAAGAAAGTTTTCTAGAGAGTACAAGGTGCATTTACAATGTTTCAGCAGACTGTCATCCATTTCTTTTGTGTCTCAGAGCGGAGCGAGAGGCGCATGACTCGCTCTCTAAAGAACGCTGTTCTGCAGCAGCAGAAATTCGATGTGGACAAAGCTCTGCAGATCCTGGACCAGGAAACTCCTCCTCTGGTGGTAGACGGAGAAAAACTAAAGGTGTGTGGGATACTCTGGGCGTCAGGCTTATTCTCCAGTCTTCTGTTGTCACTGGTCAGACAGGTTTTCTGCATTTTGACTTTACTCAAGCCCTAAAAAAACTCCCTGCAAGAAGTTTGACCACTCCTCTGTACTTTTCTCATTGGGTCAAAGATGTTACATATTTCTAAAAATGAAATGCACTCAAACATTTAAGATATGGAGGCCCTTTCTGTATTTTTGACTCTACAAGAACGTCTTGATAAATAGTAGGAACCCATAAATGTCCCATTGCAATTATTTGATTAGCAGATTATATTGTTCCCTTCTTCACCTAAAATGTTACCTGTAATGCGATGGGTGTGTAGAGTGATAGGAATGGAGATTTCAATTTGGCAACATATTTGGTGAATAGTGCGTCTTTGTATTTGGGGATAAGTAGGTGAATTGAAGTGAAATATGCAGTAAATATATTAGTAAATGTTTTGCATTTTTTATTTTGTGTTGTCCTTCCGCCATCTTATACTCTTTTTCTCCACAGTAGAGTTTGACTCAAACTCAAAATGTAATCTGCATGTCATTCATTGTTCTCTCGGCTTTCTTCCTTGTTTCTTCAGGAGTTGTTGGAGAGAGTAGTGACCAAGACTGAAGGCTACGAGGTGTACAAGCTGGAGAAACTGTATGCGCTGCTCTGCCAGAGCATCTATAGACACAGACGAGACTACAACAAAACAGCACTTATACAGGTTAGTATTGGACTGTGCTGATGTGACTGCAGATATCTGACGTGTCATGGCAAAGGTTTAACTTGCAACTTGCAACCTAAACAATGGCTAGTTGAGAACTAGTAAAGCCTAGTTCACACTACACGATTTTTAGCCCGATTTGCCCCTCGGTGACCGTCAGGCTGTGATCGGGAGTAAATCAGCGGTCGATCGGTGGTCACCAGTCATTATGTGTGAACTACTCAATGACGCGTCAAAACGGCTCCCCGACACATCATCACCACATCGCTGACGTCTGCCAGATATCTAGCATGCCAAATATCTGGAAGAGTCGGCCAACTCGACATCCACGTCTAGCCAATGTGAGCTGGCAGAGCAGGCAGATACTTTTTTCTCTGCAAAACACTTTTTACTCACCTCCAGCTCTCTCTGTAGCTCAAGAAATCCCTGATACCTGCGTGTGCTAATCCATTCTTTCACCCAGATTCTTTATCTTTATAATTTCAGTCTTTATAATAACAAACAGCTGTTTCATGTGTAGGATCGCGTCATTTCCCATTTCCTGTGTTTTCTTGACAAAATGTGGTTTAGAGACCAGCGTGGGGTGACCCAGCTGCTGTCAGCTCGTGTAGTCTGTGACCCTCTATCACCGATCAGTCACGTAGTGTGAACGCCACAACGACTTCAAGACTCCCGTCACAAGAAGGCCGATGCTGAAAGTCGTGTAGTCTGCACGAACCTTAAGGCATGCCTGTGAGCCCAACAGCAGAATCTTGACACACCTCATCGTTAACATTATTAGTGCTGCTCCTGCTGAGCCAAAACGTCTGCTGTAAAGGAGGCTTTTGATATTTTTGTAGCCATAAAAGTATTTTTAAACCTGGGCCCTATTTTTAAAATTAGGTAAACACAAAATGCTTCTTTTTGCCACCAGCAAGCAAGTGACTCCTGGAAATCTCATGAGAGGCGAGTTGTTGGGGGGGAAAATGTTATTCCAACACAACAAACTCATCTCTCCAACTCTGACTCGTTTCCACCATCATCTTCGTGTAACTCCTCACCTGTCATGAGGTTTCACAGCGAGGATTGTCTTTGAGCGAGACTTCTGTTTCTTGTTAAAGACAAAGGGTGTCTCTGGGAGTCCCTCATAGCCATCTACTGCATGGATTCCAAAACATTTCGTACATTGCCAGTGTTACGTAATGTTAATTGAATTTGTTGATGTTCTTAACATACAGAAGATGGTACTTTAATGTTTCTAATCTATTGTCCTTTCCTGGTCTTCTGGTTTGATTAGGAGTTGGAGCAAGAGATTGAAGACTTCTGTTGACTTTTCTACAGGAACATTGTGTACTTTTTTTTTTTTTATCATCATCCTCTTAGCTGTGTAAATATACAGATATTGGTTCTATTTTCATAGAAACCTACAGGCACCTCTGTGCATTAACTAAATCTTTGTATTACCTCCTTTTGTTTATATTTAATTAAATGGCTTTCCTCTCCATATCATTGTGTGCCTTTTTTGAGTGCTCAAGATTTAAACTGAAAGTATTGTATTAGAAATTATTGTTTTCACTGTTTTCCCCAATAGTTATTTTGTTACATGCTGTACTTGACTTTAAAAACACACTTGTAATGGAAATGTTGATTATTTGAAGCCTGGTCTGGCTGAGAAAACCTCAGTGAAGAAAATCCATCCCTGTCTTGGGTCCCAAAATTAAGGATTTTATTAAAACTAAAATCAGTTTACTGTTCAAGAGCAGGTCTACACAAAGTGTGAAAACGGTTGTATGATGTTGTCTGTGGATGATTTTTATTTTTTTTAGCTCTGGCCACAGACTGTATATTAAGATCTGTGGGTCTGACCCAGTGCATAATCTTTGACAATTTTATTTTAATCTAACAACACCTCGACTTTATCAAATGCAATACTAAATTGTTAAATTTCTGTAGAATACAAGGTTAAATAATTGTAACTTTAACTCACCTGTGATAGCTGCTGTACTCAAACTGTACACAAGGTGTGCGATGTGTGTAAATCACACTTCCAGCCATTATCAGTTTTAATGTGCTGGGTTTAATTTATACCATTGTAATTGGAATAATAACAGTATTTATAATAAGTGCTCTATAAATTAAGCTAATCAAGTAGTACAAAGTGCTTTCGCAGAAAGATAAAAACATTAAAATCATAGCAGTTAATAAGAGACAACAATAAAATGACAAAATGCACAAATTAAAGTCCGATAAAAACAATAAAAGAACTAGCGGATCAGATAAACCCATTTGTCGTTCTCCTGTGCTAGTCGTTTATGGCAATGGTAGCGTGATGATTTTACTGTGAAATGATGCATTTTATTTTCGCACAGGTATGAATATATAATAATGCGTTTGCGCAGCAGCTTATCATAAACGAGATGCACCATGCAGTGTCGCCAAATTAAAACAGCGTCGAAGTAGTTGGAATAACGAACAGTACAGCAACACAAGACACGATCAAGTGTAGTGAAAGGAAACTGCAGCGTGTCCTCAAGTAGCTTCTCATCCTGCCCTGACAGGTCATGTAAGGACAGTTTGGCAGACAGCCGGGTCGGGAAAACAAATAGTTTAGGGCCCGTTTTATTTATGATTAATATATTTTTTTCTGGATAACGGATAACTAAATCCACCCCACAAAGAGTGTAATGTAGAGGCAAATTATTGTGCATTTTTGCTAAGTTTTTTAAATTGTTAGAGCACCGAGAGTCGCTGAGGAATGACGTCAGGACGTATCACATTGAATGATGACGCCGTTTGATCATTAAAAAAAAATCTGCCGTTAAAAAATATCAGAGAATTAGGTCAGCAAACTAACACAGTTACCAACGCCCACGGTATGAATGTAAACTACAGCGTTTTTGATTATGTAACTTTTAAAGAAGCGCGACCTGAGCGTGAAATAACCTGCGCCGACGAGGAGAGAGATGTCCGGTGTTTTCAGCATCTGCACACGGGGGCCGTAGCCGTTAACTGTTAACACCGGTCCGTCTGGCTGGCTTCGGGAGACCCTGCAAGCCCACATAACGTTAACGCTACCGTAGTCCCGGGCCGGGCTGGGGCTGGATGGTGAGCCGGGGGAAGGAGAGACACCAGCAGACAGAGCCTGGAGGCTGATCTGCAGAGACCCAGGAAATTACTTCTCGCCTCGTCTCGACAGCCTGGTAGCAACAGTGCACGTTTCAGTAGTTCCAGTAAGTTTACCGCCAGACATGATCAATAATAATGACTGCCCCGGCTAACACTGGCTAGTTGGCCCTCCTCTGTACATGCTAGATGCTGCAGAGCTAAGTCCGATGCCGTTTTGCACTTTACCCACTTTAATAATAACGAATTAACGAGCTCACGCCTCCACATTATTATCGAGGTGCTAACGTTAACTGTTAATGCAAATGATCCCATGATGGTGGATTGCAGCACAGATTACGTTATTGTTCACGCTGTGCAATCTTTTTAACTTTACCAGCAGTAAGTCACGATCAGTTGGCTCCGGGCATGTTGCAGTGGTGTCTCAGAAGTGGACAACACAACTGCACGTTTGCAACACCTCAATCACAGTGAATGACCTTGTCGTAAATAAGGCGGTAACCATCAAGTCAAAGGATGTCGTGCTGCAAGAGAGCACCATTATCAACAAATCAAAATTCAAATATTAGAAGTAACCAGGCATTATGTGCCAAAAGTGTAGTTAAAAAAATCTAAATCATATTTTGGTGGCTTTAATTGTTCTGGTGATATTATTATTTGGGCCCTACTACTGTTGGAAAACCAGTAAACTGACTTTAGGTGGGTTTACCCACAACAACATATTGTGAAGGGTTATTATGGGGTAATACACATGTGAATGTAGGGTTGGTTGACAGTTCACTACTAAAGTTAATGTCTTTAATGTGGAATGACATTGTTTTAGGATTTTTCAGAATTGAACAACCAAGCAAACCGCTATTCTCCCTAAACAAAAAAACTCTCCTACTGTATTGCAGCAACTCCTTACAGAGCTACAAGGAGCCAGCAAGAGGTGACTGCATTGTCTCATTAAGGAAACATTTAGTCAGTCAAATGTCTTTTTCAGTTAGGGCTGCTCGTGAGTGGAACCTTATCCCAATTCACATTAGAAATTTTAAAACTTGTGCCTCTTTTAAATTTAACTTAAAGAAGTGAACAGGTAGTCAGCACTGTCAGCGTTAAAGTTAGACACTAAATCTTGCTGCTGTCTTGTCTCCTCTGCTCTGCCTGTTTATGCATCTTCTTGTGTTATGCCTATGAGGTTGTCTGGTTCATTATTGTTTTGATGGGTTGTTTGTGACTGTCCTAGAAATATTGGGGGGGGGGGGGTTGCGCATATTTACCAAAAATGTATGTATATCTGTATGTTTTATTTAGCCTATCACGTAATGCTTTAATCTTTTTAGGTGTGACATATTACCACCAGTCCAAGGACAGTAAAATCGTGTTATTAGCTAATTCTGGCACATTATACATTTATTTATATATTATTGGTGTGCATTGTCCCTGCTCAATAAACCTGTAATTAATTAATGAATTAATGATTTCAAGTAGGGTGGCAAATAATTATTAATTGTTGACTTGTAAATAATTTACTGTATACAATGTAAAGACAAAACCTGAAAAATGCCCATCCTAATTTCCCAGAGCTCAAGGACACGTCTTCAAATCTTCAAAGCTTGTTGTGTCTGACCAACAGTTCAAGGATATTCAGTTGTATTCAAATTAACAATGTAATAATAAAACAGGAAAACGCTGAAAATGCATGCATGCATCAGGGAAGATGGGACCAGCAAATGTTTGGTATTTCTGCTTTTACTAATGACTCAATGAAAAAAAGATAAATAAAAGTAATACAATTAATTTCTCAGATTTTAATGTAATCGATTGCATAACATTGAAACACAGTTCATACCATTGGCCATTAAATACTTGCATTAAGTTGTATTTATTACTGTTTTGGGGACAAATGCAAACATAATACAAAGTTGCACTTGTTGTTTGTTTACATGCCCACATAAATCATGTTGTTAGTCATCTAGTTGAATGAAGTGCATCATCGTGTTTCCTCCCCCTGAGTCTCAGTGTCTACTTGTGTGTTTGGCTATATAAACACCAGCCTTTACGCACATTATTCTTATGACACTTTAAACCGTGAAACAATTTGTTCATTCTGTATTGAATTGAAAATGTGCAGTATTTGGTAAATTCCAGAAATAATTGAATATGCATATTGTTGAAGTGCTATATCCTGGTTATAAGTAGAGCTTCAACTAACAGTAAGTTTCTAACAGTAACTAACTGAGTAATTGTTTAGTCTTGTAAAAGTAAAAAAAATGATGGCCACTTAAGTGCGAAAGCTTCCTTTCTCACCAATCCTAAAGGTATTCAATTTCTATTGATAGGAAGCAGAAAAACAAACCACTCCTCACAGTTGTGAAGATGCTTTATATAAGGAGCAGTGTAAGGCCAATCATCAGAAGAAGTATGTGAAAATAAAAAATCCAGAAGTTTACTCAATCACAGTTTACTCTTTTTTTTCAAGTCACTTGTATGACATTTGCTACGTTTCCTCCACCAGAAAAAACACAATTCAAGACTCTAGCATGTGATCGCAACGACATGTGAGCCTCAACACTTCTGTCCCAGATCTTCGTCACCCTGAGGAGAACTAAACAGAGTTTGGGCTGACAATGTCGAGCCGCCGGAAATCGACCACCCCTTGCATGGTGCTGCCCTCTGATGTGGTGGAGCAGGAGGAGGTGGAGGAGAAAACAGGAAGGGCAAAGGAGGAAGAGGCGGAAGAGGAGGAAGGGAAGGCGAAGGGCGCAGAGGAGGGGCCAACTGCAGGGGAGCTGGATCAGGCAGTAGTGGTTGTCCCCACCCCTCCAGATACAGGTAAGATTCTGTGTGGATGACGAGTGCCGTTTTTTAGAATAAAAAAAATAAAATATATGCAAATGTCTACGCGAATGCGCTGTGAATCAGAATAACATGGGAGAAGATCTGTCCCAGTTATTGTTGTATTATTATTATTATTATTATTGTCCTAGATGAGCCCAGTGTCTCTGCTGTAGAAGACAGCGAAGTCCTCGGCCCCTCGCTGAAGCGCAGCGCTACAAACCCTCCTGAGGATCCGAGCAGCATCCAGCCGAGCCAAGAACAACAGTGTGATGCCCCTGAGGAGGGAGGAGCAGACCCTGCCTCGGTGGCAGCCATCTCTCTCAGCAAGACCCCCATCATGAGGATGAAGACCAAATCGGAACCCAAGAGGATCGCGGTGTCCCTGAAATCGGCAGACGAGGCGGTGGAGGGTTTTGGAGGGGGCGGCGAGGGAGAGTTGGGCGGGGAGCAGCAGCCCATTGAAGCTCCTCTGGGGCCGATGACACCTGTGGAGATGCTGCTGCACGACTCCATGAAGCTCGGGGGAGGTGGTTTGCTGGTCAACTCGCCCTTAGAGCAGCAAAGGAAATCATCCACCTTAAACCCCACAGTCCTACCTGCTGGCCTGGCACAGGTAGGAAGCCATGATTATACGAGCTTGTTTAATAGACTCACTGCAGCAACATGGGTGAAAGAACACCCCATTTACCCCTAACTACTGACAAATGAATGCATGTTTTCAGACTCAACAGCAGCCTGGACACCTAAAAACAGCTGGGCAAAGTAGCCGTATCAGTCTAGACCTTTCTTATCTCCACCCTCTCTTCCTTTATTTTAGGTTCTCTCTGCGTTCCAGGCCCAGCAGAGTGCAGCAGCTGCTCAGCCTCAGCTACTGATCCCCCTGAGCAGCATCCCCTCCTACAGTGCAGCTATGGACACCAACCCCCTGCTGGGCAGCACATACAAGAAGTTTCCTTACCCCTCCATGGCTGAGATCAGCAGCCTGGCAGCACAGACACAGTTCACAGAGGAGCAGATCAAGGTAGATGAAAAATGTTTTGGGAAGATTTACATGTGCTGACAAAGCATGTTGTGTTTTGTCTTTTGGAAGTAGAAGCTCCTTACGCTGTTATTTAAAAAGCCACCTCAATCTTCAATTTTGATTTAATGTAAATCTATAATATATGAACTATTGCCCTTATTTTGTAAATGGCAGAGTCTGATGTTCTTGATCTCCACCTAGGTGTGGTTCTCAGCCCAGAGGCTGAAGCACGGTGTAAGCTGGACTCCAGAGGAAGTGGAGGAGGCCAGGAGGAAACAGTTTAATGGCACGGTGCACACGGTGCCTCAGACCATCACTGTCATTCCTGCTCACCAACTCTCAGCAGCTGCCAACGGCCTGCAGTCCATTCTTCAGACCTGCCAGATAGTGGGACAGCCCGGCCTGGTGTTCACACAGGTAGGTAAGGAAAGAAAGCAAAAGACCACACTCGGCTCTGACCCGCCTTGCCTTGACCCCGGGCAGCTTAAGACGTGTATGACTTTGACACACTTTAGTTTAGGGCTGTAACTAACGATTATTTTCATCCATTGATAAATCTGTTTAGAAAAGGGTGAAAAATAGCGATTAGTGTTTACCAAAGCCTGAGATGGCGTCTTCAAATGTTTTGTTTTGTCCACAAAAATATTCAGTTTACTGCCATAGAGGAGTAAAGAAACCAGAAAATATCAGAGAAATCGGAGAATTTCAAATCAAAATAATTGGTGATTCATTTAATATAATTGATTAGTCGTTGCAGCTCTTTTCAACTTCAGTTTGAATTAAATCGACTTGGATTGCCTGCCCATTTGATTAGACTTTGTTTTAGCTGGTCTCGTTTGACAAGACTCAACTGAAGTCAACTTGGCATGGCTTGAATTTCCCTGACTTTAATTTAATTTAACTTGAATTTTGTTTTACTTGATTTGACCTGAAACAATTTCATTGCCTTTGATTGTATTAAACAAGTTTTGACTGGACATGGAGTTGACTTTGACTTTTCCTACTTGCTGTATCTCTGTCACCTTGCCTCAAACATATGGAAGCAGCTTGAACAGGCAGTAATACCTTAAGAGTGAAGCCATAGCAGATCACATATAGGGGATACTACTGTTTGGATGCTTTTATGAATGTGATGTGCATATACCATACCAGATATCATTTACAGCAGTTTCAAAACTGCATGATTTGCATGTTTTTACCAGGTGATACAAGGTCTTAGAATTGTGACCAGATTCACTGTTAGCAGATAGATATAGCATTTTGTGATATCACTCGACTTAACTTTTAATGATCCTGCAGTAGGTCTGGACAAGTGATATACTGTTTATACTGTAGGTTGCTCGATAAGAAACTCATCTCTTTAATGTATCAGGACATTTACAGTGGGAGATATATTGATATTAACTGTGCAGGAGAGAAGCTTCCCTTGTGATGATTCTGACCATATGACTTTCATGAAACAATTAGTTTTTAGTAGTTAGTAATTGGAGCCTGGCAGTCAGTATATATGTTACATTCTCTTCTGGGAAACAACATCTATACAGTCTGTGACATAACATCTTACACGCACACACCATGCCACCACACATTACACTGAAGATGTTTCATATATCGTGAACCGAGGCCATGTACCAAATAAATGCGCAGTGAGTAGGTGAATTGTTATACTCCTTTAGCTGTGTGGAGATGAATGTCTTTTTTACTCAGCTGGATATTCTGATCAGGCTTTGGTCTCTGGCCAGACTCATATTTTACAAATTCGTGGAGAGAGGGGATGTAATCTAAAGTCCATTGACACAACTACAAAAGCACTTACACACTGCCAAAACCAGTTTTAGGGCCCTTTCCATACGGTAAGGTGACTAGACTTGCTCTAAACAACAAATACATCCCTGTCTCTCTACATCTCTAAACCTCCCATTGTGTGCGTCGTTATTTTCTGACCGTGTGTAGGTTGGCCCAGGGGGGAACCTTCCAGTGACCAGTCCCATCACTCTGACAGTGGCAGGGCTGCCCAGCCAGTCCCAGAGCTCCAGCAGAGTTTCCTGCCTGCCCACCCCGACAAACAGTGAGCTGAAACGGGCTACCACTGTCCAGCCTCCCTCGCTCTCTCCACAGGTGGGGACAGCACTTCTTGTTAACTTTCAGACAAATCCTTTTTTGCTCTTGTGCTCTCAATTGCTGTCAAGAAGCACGTTTTTTTTTAACCTTTGTCAGTGCACAAAAGTACCACACAGTGTCTCTATCAGTTGTATGTAATGTAGGTGTGAACTCTAAAAAGTCGTAGTCAGTTTGTCTTTCTCCTAGTAGGTATTTGGTACCTCTGTGTCCAAAATGGCCATGTCGAAACCCTTGTTTAATATATAACTCTTCCCTTTCTAAGGAGAACTCGGCCCTCAGCGCTGACACGTTCAGTTTGCGGCCTAAGAAGTCCAAAGAGCAGCTGGCAGAGCTGAAAGCCAGCTACCTGAAAAACCACTTTGTCACTGATGCCGAAATCGCCCGGCTGATGAAGCTCACCAACCTGACAAAGGGAGAGATCAAGAAATGGTTCAGTGACACCAGGTACAACCAGCGTAACTCCAAGAACAGCCACGTCATTGTTTTCCACGACGGAGGGGGCAGAGGGAGTGGCAGCTGTGGTAGCAGTGCCAGCACCACCATTGTCATTGACTCAAGCGACGAGACCCCCACATCCCCCAATCCTCCACGCACACCTCCTGTGAAGGAGAAGGAGTCTCGGCCCAAGACGTGGAATCCATTCCCAGATTTCACCCTGCAGAAGTTTAAGGAGAAGACTCCGGAGCAGCTGGTGGTGCTGGAGGAAAGTTTTGAGAAAAGCATCACCCCATCGGATGAGGAACTGAGCCGCCTGAGGACAGAGACTAAACTGACGCGGAGGGAGATTGATGCCTGGTTCACAGAGAGACGAAAAGTGCCATCTGTCAGCACGTCCTCCCTGGATTCTTCAGACGGAGCAAGAGATGGAGGAACGGGAGCCAGCTCTTCTTCTCCTCCTGCCTCCTCGTCCCGTAAAGGAAGTCAAACTCCTCCCGGCAGTCGCAGTAAGCAGCTGCCCAGCAGCAGCAACAAAGACATGAAAGATAAGAGTAAAAAGACTCCAGAGCAGCTCCATATCCTGAAATGTGCCTTTGTGCGGACCCAGTGGCCGACACCAGAGGAGTACGACCAGCTGGCAGAAGAGAGTGGCCTCCCTCGGTCCTACATTGTCAGCTGGTTCGGGGACTCTCGGTACTCGTGGAAGAACAGTAACCTGAAATGGTTCTTCCAGTACCAAAGCGGCAACGTCGAAGGGCCGAACGGCGGAGGAGGCAATAAAATAGGAAGCAGCACCGGTCGGAAAAGACGTGTGCGAAATCGTGGTTGGGGGCGGTCCCGCACCAGAAAGCAGCCGCGAAGGTCTGCCTCCTTCAGCGCAGATGTCGATAGATCCCCTCCGACAAAGAAATTCAAGAGCGGGAGGGAGATTCTGAAGGAGTACTACCTGAAGCACCGTTTTCTCAATGAGCAGGACCTAGATGAGCTTGTCACCAAGACCAACATGAGCTATGAACAGGTATGAAATGATTTTCTTTTAATGGGACGTGAGAAAACTTAGGTATGTGTCATTGTAACCAGTTATAATCAGTTTCTGACCTCTCAAACAGCTTCTACAGGCTGAGATGATGATTGATTAGCCTCAAACTATATATTTCATGTTTTTATTGTTTTTGTTCATTTTTAAGTCTAGACTTTTATCATGACCGCTGCTGCAACTCAAGAAAATAAAACCAGTCACACACACACTTTTCTGTTACCATGGTCTCCCTCTTTTCACCTAAAATATTCATCTCTTGTAGCTGATATGCCACTTTTCCAATGTTTTGTTTTTTGTTTAACATGAAACATGACCCATGACCCGTAGTTAATTCTGAGGTCAAGATTTCAAATTCCCCCAGCAGAATTCCACCCACCATGAAAGTATTTAAAAGGACTTTTATATTGATTTATTTAACCATTCACTTATATTTTCTGTAAATTTGATCTCCCTACATTACTGTATAAAGGTAATGTCTTCTCTAAAGGGTCAGTTGTGTAATCTAACACAGCCACGTTTTAAGATGGTTGGTCCCGAAAATTATCAGTGAAATATTTGTCTTATTGTAGAATGGGAACTTGTCTTCATGTGATTAAACCCAGCAGTTAACAGTCACAATTCCACCTCATGAACAGGCTATTTGGATGTGACTGTGAAAGAACAAAAAAAATATGAATGAATTCCCCCCACATTCCCTGAAATATCACAGAGGACATGACCGACAGTTCAGGTGTTTCTCTCTCTCCGTCAAAAGGTGAGGGAGTGGTTCGCTGAGGTCCAGCGACGCCTGGACGCGGGGGCAGATCCCTTCCTGGAGCCGGCTGTAGGAAGGACAGATGGAGGGGAAGAGGGAGAGGAGACGCAGCGAGAAGCGTCGGCGGCCACCGAGGAGGAGACCAGAACGGGGATGGGAGACGAGGATGACGATGAAGGAGATGAGGAGGATGACGGTGATGACACAGACGACAGCGAGGTTTGGGAGCCGTCACGTAGCGTCAGGAAATCCTTGTCCGTTTCTGAAGACTAGTGATTGTGGGAAGCACGGTGAAACGCTAACAGAACGCGGTGCGCTCAGTGCTGGAAGACAGTCAGCTGAACCAAGTCTCGATTTGCGTGTGTACATCATTTGCAAAATGAATTCACTAATTATTTTCAAACTGACACGACTACATGAGACTAAAAGGAGAAGGACTATTAGCTTTAGCTCACTCTCTCAGTACTTTTCTTATTTACTGTAAGTAATGTGTAAAAGCTTAGACAAGAATCACGGTAAAGAAGGAGATTTTAGCAAACTCTACAAATCTTAAGTGGCACAGCAAACTTTGATCAAGCTTAAAAAAAACAGCAGTTACCCAATTTCATCAAAAGGAATAGCATAAAGGTCAATCTACAAGCTGTAGATGAAAACTGTTGAGATGGTGTGTTCAGACACATACTTACAGCCAATTTTTTTTTTTTTTAGAAGCAATTGATGAATACAGACTGATGGAAAATGAGAGATTTTAGGAGGAATTGACAGTTTTAATGTCCACCATGCCCTGTGTTAAATTTGCACTCGTTGCTTGCTTGAATGAAGCCAGTAAAGGAAGATTTATTTGCACATTTATGCTGCATTTCCTTGACAAGGAGTGTTTGTTATGCTGTTATGAGCACACAGGCCTGATCTCCAATGTTATGAATGTTTCACCCCTGGTCCCAAACTAACAGCACACACAGAAGAAAAGAAGAAGAAAAAGACTTATCTGGTGTGTTTACTGAGGTGCTTAAAAACGTGTCACAGCTAGATGTCACTCCTGAGCAACGTCCCCAATGAAACTAGCCTACATCTATTTGTGGAACTGGAGGATTTTGCTTCTTACATTATCTTTTGTTTTCTTGCACCTGTGAAGATCATCACAAGGATCAGATATGAATCAGCAGGTTCTTTGAGCTGACACAGATTGATAATGACACTGAAAGTCAGGCATTTAATCTCTCAAAGATAAACGCCTAAAACAAGATGAGACAAATGAATGCCATGATGCTGTTAAATAACATAGGATGTCTACTCAAGTCTTCCCTTTTTAGTGGCTTGATGTTTCATGAGTATTAGTATTTTTTAAACTGAACACCTGCAGATCTGATGGAAAAATGCCACAGTATGTGTTTAATATGCATTGCTATTGATGTTTTTAAGCAAATTTTTCACCTTTTTTGATAGAACACATCTCGTACTATTACGACCTTTTTAAAGGACGTCCTGTAGATTCAGACAGCGTGAGGCTGTTGTCCCAAAGTCAGTGTTGTCTCCTGAGCAGTGAGCTACAGGCAGAGGCACCATTTGTGAACTAAATAATGGCCACTGTGATGCAAACATCTGGCTCCACTAATAGTAATAATAGATTTCGCTGCCGTGTTTCACTTTTACTGGCGGGTTTCTGATGGGTTGAATGGATGGTCTGAATTTTAAGACGGGGAGTTTTCCCCAAACCATATAAACGTAATCACCAGCTGCAGATCCAGTGTAAATTTAGAGTGAGCCAATCCACAAGTTGTCACCTTGACAAGACTGCAATCACCACCAAATCACCGACACCTTTGCCTTTAAGTTTGGGCTCATCTGCTCATGTCAAAAACAAGGCCTGTGAATCATTTGAGGTCTTGACCCGTACTTTAAGAAAGACTGTTTAACCGTATTTAAAATAATAATTTGACTCCAGTCTGCACTGAAGAGAAAAACACGAAGCACCTAAACTAAACCTTTTTTAAGAAAAATGCACTTTGTCCACTGGTGAACATAGTGGACTAAATCCTGATTAGGCACCTTAATCTCTTATTATACCATGAAATTGCTCTGAGAGACCAAATCTGTTTTTTATGACTACAAACTGAACCAGTATTTTGCCTTTTTTATCCTCAGTCTGTTTTCAGGAGGAGGTTTATCCACTTTTCTAATAATATGTGTTGTTTTCATAGATGTCTGTAAGGCTCAAAAAACTTTACAACAATCACCTGCCGCTTTCTTTCACTAAATTGCACAACTTGAGCCCCATTTTTTATCTTTTCTCCTTTTGAAAAATGCGCACGTTATATTTGTCTTGTATATGTTTTGTATTGTTGCTTTAAATTGTGGGAATTGTCTCCCATCTCTCCGTCTCTGCTCCCACATACCCCTGTCTGACTCTTTACCCGTCTCTTCAAGTCCATTTTTGTGAAATGAATGCCTATGATGTGCACTTCCCAAGACATGTTTCTGTAAATTTCAGCAGTGTCCTGTTTGTTCCCTGTCTTATTAAACTGTCTCCAACGCAGACAGACAGGTCTTTGGGGACATCTTCAAAAGACTGAAACTGTCCAGAAAATAAAAAAAGACGTTGTTGGAAAATTCACTCTCTCTCTCCTGGAAGGAATTGTTGTGATGCCTGAAGAAACAGCACATCATTCCCTCTGTGGTGGGAAGTCTACCAAATAATGCTCCTCTTTCTGACTGTTTTCCTTACGCTTTACCGCATTAAATTGACAGGACAGTAGACAGAAAATTGTCTCGCCTACAGTTCTTCACAAATAGGGGAGAGACTCTGACGAAGCTTTGCAGATAAACCTATGTGCCTACACGGCTCGTATGCTTGTTTGAACACAATTTCAGCAACTCTCGACAGAAGACGAGTAGAGAGAATGTGTCAGTACTTTGGAAATCGCACCCTGTTGGTACTGTGTGGTTGAGGCTTGTTCAAACGAAGTTGTGATGCATGACCGAGCTCTGCTTTCTGTTAACGCTAAAAGATGCCATGATGCTCTGAAGTTAACATTAGAAACTTCGGTTGTAAGTCCTTAACGGACACCTTGATTCCGAATCTTATTGTAGTTTTTCACCAGGCACTTGTCACACTATGTGTCAGCACATTTAGCTGTCCAAAAAGGTTTAATGAGTATCTTTGAAAGCTATGTTGTCTGCTAGCCGTAAGCTAGCTAGTTTGTAGCAACTGAAGAAGAGCTGAGACCTTGACACTTTTTGCCGCGATGTGACAAGTGCCTGGCTATGAAAAATTACAAGATCAAGTTAAGGTTTACCTTTTGTCTAATACTGCATGCAATAACCAAGACAGACAATTGTTCATTTTGTACATACAATATTTTGGGTTGGTATACTTGGCAAAGTAAAAGCCTAATCGAAGATTTTTTAATACCAATTTTTACCAAGTTGACTGCTACCATGGACCTGTTTTCTTTTCAAAATAGTTTTCCAATTCATGGACTCTAGGGACATTTATTTAAGTCTTGTCACTGTTAGCTTGGACAGGCTTACTTTAATTAGTTAGCTTTGCTCAGAATTATGGTATCACCAAAATTGCGGTCATTATGTGTCAGCCATTTTGGCCCTTTTTTTAACCATTTGAATCTTACTACTTCACGTCAGCAATTTGCTTGTTTTAGTCCACAGGTTAGGCTTATTCCTGCCCCCAGGTATCCAGCCCACAGTCTGCGGTGTGCTCTTTCTTTACTATAGTCAGTCTGTTTTGAATGGTTTTGTATGTTTCTATCTATGAAAACTGTGTCATTACAACTCTTTCCAGACATCAGTGCATTGTTAACAAGACAGACTTGTACAGTATGTACAATAGAGTAGTGCTGTTGAAGTAGAATCAGTTTTAGAGTTCAGCTAGTGTTGCTTTTTTGGTACTTTGGTTGCAAAACATAGAATCAGAACTCAACAGAAAAGACATGCGCTGTTAGCACTGGGGATATATTTTGCTTGCTTATAATAATCAAAATTAGAGGCACGACTACTAAGCAGTTTCTAAAGTTACATCAAATTCAACAGAAAATGTATTTACAATTAAATAATTGTAATAAATAATAATAAGTGGACATTTATGGAAAATCTAATGAAAGACACATCTGTTGCATTATAAAATATGTACAATCCAGTGTTATTGGAGTTTGACCTTTTTAAAAAAAATCCTCATACGAGTCCACAAACTTCATGGAACGGCAATACTAAATTGCTGGAGTAGCCCTTTAATTATTTTCTGAAGCTGCTACAGTAAGCGAATTCACCCATGTTAACTGTTAATATTAGGAGCATGTTAGGTGAATCATAATAGTAGAAGCAGAACCAGCCTGGCTCTGCTACCATATAACTGTCTAATAAAAATAAAAGTATAATAAAGTCACTCTCTTTTGAATATTAATCATATATTTAAATAGTTTCCCCAGGTTGCTGAGGTGCCGCGTCTGTTCCCTGAGTTGTGATTTTATATCCAACAGTCATTGTGTATCCCAGTTAACCTTGTGCAGTAGAGCTAAATGCTAACTTTGTGATCTGAGTAGTCTACCTGCTGTCCTATTATGCACATACAGTGTGTCATATTTGTATTCTTCACTATACTTCAGCTATAGTCCTCACTCGTTTTTCTGTATTTAGACATAGTTGGTTGAATGTTTCTTAAAGCAATCAGAGATTCAAATGTTTTCACTAAACAGCAGCCAGCTTTTTTGGGGGAGCAAAATAAAACACCTTGTCAGAATTGTAATATAATGTATGAAAAAATAGAAATGTTTTTTTAACTCATTTTTTCTGATCTAATTTTTAGCTGTTGACAGTTTTTACCCCAAGTAACTGCTTCTAAAGAGCGTGCTTTGCTTTTAAACACTTTTCTCTTTCTTCCTGCTTCAGTACAACTCATATTTCCAGACCTGTTTTACTGAATGACAGTGATATCTCAGCTCTTGTATTAAGTTACAGTTCTCTGCAGACACAGAGACTTTGGGGAGAGTACAATGATCTGTATACTCTACCTTAATAAATGGGTGAGTGTTAATTTAAACAGAAATATTTACTGTGCCATTTTAAAATGTGACCCCTGACATTAACTGACATTTGGAAAAATCCACCGTGAACTGGTACGCCCTACCCAGTGAACCTGATTGCCGACTAGAGGGGATTCTGTGAATGAAACTGCCTTACTCAAGGTTGGATGTTTTGCAAAAGATGTGGCAGAGTTAATGTTACCTTTTTACTATATCTACATCTTAAGTTATTTCTATACTCTGCCTGTGCATCAGAAATGTGTTAAAAACTGAGAGAATCTGTCATAAACTTTGATTAAATGGTATGTGAATGTGTGATCGCCTCTGCAGGCTTGCTTTAGAGAGCTAAGAATTCCTTCTGCAGCCCCTGCAATCATCAGCTTGTAGCTACCAGTTGTGACGCAGACCAATTGTGCAATGTTAATTTAAAAACCCAGCTGTTATTGAGGCTCTGGCTTGATTTAGAAAAGATTTATATTTTATACTTGTTTGAGGACAAAACCCAATAAATTTTGATCAAAACATGTGCACTTGTGGGCAACATTTTGCATGTCGTGCTTTGAATAAATTTGATATGAAGCAGTGTGGACTAAATGCAGATGCAGAGCGGGAAGTACTGCATAGTCTCTCAAATCTAGACTCTAGTCAGCCACTACTTTTCTTAAAATCCATCAAAAGTTCAATTGTTGAAATGTAACATGGACCTGATAAGAAAAATTATTCAGTTATAAACCTTTACCAAATATTTACCCAGAAGCATGGGAAATAGATTCTGTTGAAAGGGACTGCAAAGATATTTGTATGTCTGTAAATTAGTCTAAGGGCGCTTTGACCACTGAAACAATGGGTGGACTGTGACCAGGAGAGATGATGTTACTTTTGTTTCATGTTTTTTCATATAGGCAGTAGACAGGGAAGTACAAATACAGTTGTATCTAGGAGAGGGGATCATATGAAAATCACTGTGTTGAGAGAAAAAGGCCAACAAGGTGAGTGAAGTTGTTTTTTAGATGAAGGTAGATACATGTGTACAATTTAAAAGAAACAGTTTTTCTGATTTGAATGTATTCGTGTCCCGTAGTCAACTGGTGTTGCCACATTTTCTCCTACACAGTAAAGATGCTGTGGAGTCTGTTGTTCGTCGCTCTGATTGGTAAGTAGCTCATTTTATGCACGTGCATGTCAGGGATCTCTTAAATGACACAGAATGAGATGTGGGGCAGAGCCACAAAAATGTGAGTCATGGAAAATAATAATCGTGTTTATTATTGTGTTTGACTAAACTGCTCTTCTCTAAGAAGGATGGGATATTGAAGGATGAGTATTCTGTGCTTACTGCTGTAATTACCAAGCAATAAAATTGCTGCCTGTAATGTTGACATGACTGGGTGAGGAGATAATGATGACAGGGTATTTTCATATATCCTTATATAATCCTGTGGCGTTTTCCTGTGGTCATTATCTGCAACAAAGAGCATCAATATAGTAATATAAATGGTGCTCAGATCCACATTGGGAACTCTCCTGAGAACATCAACACCACCTGCGTGTAATACCTTCATGTTACTCTGAATTGCTTTATTTCACATTTTCAGGCTCCGGCATGTCCAACATTCACGCTTCCAGTGACATTTATCTCAGCTCCAGTGACAATAGATTCACCACTGCGGCTTGATTTCATTAAGTAAAAAATATATTTTTGAACAGCCTAAGTTGTTGATGCCTCAGTCAACAGCATAATATCAGCATAAAAGAATAACATAGTTTTCTTCATAGCCCCCACAGACACTGGCAGAATTATTAAGTTACTCTCTCTTCAGTTTCTCCCTCTTACTGTATGTTCAAACTTTTCTCTCTTCCAGGTGTACAACAATCAAAAGCTTTAAAAATCAATGGAATGACATTAAATGTGAAACCATCATGTCGGGGCGCTACATCACTGTGTCCTTCCCGAAACCTGAGCCTTTGGTTCTGTGTGAAGTGAAGATCTGCGGCACAAGAGAAGGTACAATAGATGTTCTCATCCACAATGAGTTGTTTAGTTGTTGCAGTGCACACAGACAGTGACTGATGGATAGCCAGAGAAGAGTAAATACTTTACTGAAATGCCTCTTATTTGATGAATGATGAATTGTTTTCTGATGTTCAGCGGTCAGCCATAACATTATGACCACTGACAGATGAAGTGAATAACACTGATTATTTTGTTATCATGGCTCCTGTCAGTGGGTGGGACTATATCAGGCAGCTAGTGAATATTTTGTCCTCAAAGTTTATGTGTTAGAAGCAGGAAAAATGGGCAAGTGTGAGGATTTGAGCAACTTTGTCGAGGGCTGAATTGTGATGACAACCCAGCTTAACATTGCTTGCACATATTCACTTATTTAGTTTCTATTATGTCAATGTTATGCTGATGGTTTGTTGATTTTTTTCTTACTAAAATCACCATTTGTGCTGATCAGAGAGAACGAGACAGGGAAGATGCCCTGTACAACTGCAGTGGCAGGAACATGGACCTGGCTTCCATCCTTGACAAAAAAAGCCAGGCCTGGGCTGAGCTGGTGACAGAGAAGGCTGACGCTCCCTTTGTGTGGCTGGGCCTACACTACACCTGCACCATGGAGTTCTGGTTCTGGGTCAAGGATCATCGCTTGCAATTCAGTCGCTGGGCTCCAAATAATAAAATAGAAGATTGCGACTTGAGTTTTGTTTTCACATATTTTTTATTTTAAATTTGGAGTGGCATTGTTGTGTTGTGACAAAATCTTCTGTAGGTGATGAGTTCAGACCCAGTGCAGCAGTTTTCCAGAAAAGACTGATGGGATGAAGCAGAGAGCAGTTCCACTCTGAAGGGTAAACATGGTGTACGACTAACCAGATATGAACTGTTTTTAACCATTTAACAGTTTATATAATTTGTTGTTATCACTATAATTTAAGCCATGCATGCGCATTTAGTTAATGTACTTGACGTTGTCTGTGTGTTCTTCTTTAGTAATTCACATACTCTGACAGAGGTGGCCCATCCTGTAAACCACCTAAGCGGTTGCTTAAGGCCCGGTAGCCACGGGGGGGGCAAACTCATTTTACTGAATTGACTGATTGTCTAACCTGGTATTGAGTTATCTACATGGTACTTGTTTCTAATGTAATGATAGTTACTGACAGTCTTCTATAGGGTGACAAGCATAGACTGTATAAAAGAAGGGAGAGGGATTTTCCTGAGGTGTCTTCCATTTCTTCCATTTCTATCAGGAGGATAGAAGGTGTCATATGCTGTACAGATTGTAAAACTGTTACTGTTGTAAAAATGTTTGATTTGTGATATTGGGCACTATAAATTGACTTGACTGTGTGCTGTGAAAAAGTTTTTATTTTGGAAAAATAATATGTTCTGTAGCTATCAAACATTTAATATTCCAGCTACACTGTATAGCTACATGTAGAGGATTCATCTTACTTACCTTTTTGTAATGTTTGGCCTTTGTTTCCCCCTGTTAGTCAGGAGAGTAACAGGACTGTAATTATGGGAGGCCGTAATTACTGTCTATGGTAATGCCCCTCCTATTGCTATTACTATTATTTTACCAGTACTATTTTTCACTGCACTGTGGTCCTTGTCACAGTTGACTGCTAAATTAATTTTCTTATTTGCCGGAGAGGAGCTTGGGGCATATTGCATGAAAGCACATCATCCCTCCTCCATTATCTTCAGCTTATCCGGGGCCGGGTTGCGGTGGCAGCAGGATCAACAGGGTAGTCGAGACGTCACACTCCCCCAGCCATGCTTTCCATCTCTTTAGAGATTCCGAGGCTTTGTCTGTCTGTGTCTGGGAATTGCTCATAGTCTGGCCCCTCCCTTGGGGCCAATTTGTTTTAGGAGACTTTACTAGGAGCTATTTTACCTGACAACACAGCTCACAGGGACACACAAACCGCTCCACTCATGTAAGGTGGCAATTCGTTGAGGGGTCACACTCATCTCCTATATACATGTTATGAACTTTGCTAATGGGTGTCACTAAATAGTCCTTGAAGAGCAACTGGTGCTGCACATGGTGACCTTTAACACAGACAGCACAAGATACAAACACCCTGTTGGCCTCATTAGAATTAATATTACCATCTTGATGAACAAGTTTAGTAAGGTTTCTGGTAGGAGTTATAGAAACACATGATGGCGCTGTTCTTCATTTATCATCTGTGAGACTGCCAGATTCACCACCCCATTAGTAATTTGTTTTAAATTGTCCAACCTACTCTAACACATTCCTCTTATTTCGTAATGTTCATATGTTCAGTCTGGTAATTGAGCTTTTTCTTGCCGATAAAGCCAATTTAAAAAGTATGATAACATGTTGAAATAGAGCTTCTTTGCTTTTTTGGTAGTTCCTCGGTTACTGTTTCATACCTGTAATATGATGATAACTTACAACATATCATTGCTTATTAGCAATGATATGTTATAATAAATATAAGTCATAAATATGATATATGGTATGTCTCAAATTTACAAAAATTGAAGGAATCCATTTATGAATCAGATGACCGCCCATATTAATTAAACGTTTTGTATACCTTTGCTGATTTAATACAGTTGCATTTACAGCCTTTTGATTTACTGTGTTATTTCCTCTGCCTGTGGGTTAACTGTTTAGGGGGGACACTTTGCAGACGCACACTTGCCATTCACAACATCTGTTTTTTGGATACCAATATCAAGTCTAAGTAAAAGTGAAGATGCAAATGAACAATTTATTCTCTTATGTTGATGTGTGCTTCATGCGTCACAAATTTCCACCATCGGCCGGAACCTTTCTGCCCGGAACTAATATCCCTGGACCCTGTATGACTCGTGCACTTTACATTTGCCGACTGTGTAGACACGAGCGTGTAAACAAACAGCACATTAGCTGTGTGTGTGTTTTTTTTATATACAGTCTATGGTTTTCAGACACGCGTACCTGTTGAAATCGGGGGATTAACTTAATCTTCTTTTCCGGGTCCGGATGGAGGTATTCGGGAGCACGTTTGACGACTCGGTGTTTTTGGAGGCGAGAGACCGAGTGTCGGTGTCTCTGTCGTCTTATAACGCCAAACTGTGTGAACCCGAGGTGACAGACTCCGACTTCACTGGTTACATTAACGTTACATAAAGCTGTACGTGCTGTACCGTAATGTGGACGAAGTGAGACTGTCTTGAAGGCTTAATGCCTTGTAATAATCATCATTATAAATAAGAAAAGACGCTGCTAGCTAACGTTAGCTCAGGTTGATTAAACTCGCTTAGACAGGTTTTGCACACTTGTCTAAATATAAATATCACATCACATAACAAGAAAAAAAGAAAGCCAAAGTATTAATAGAGTTTCTGATGGGAAATTGAACACATTTACAACATTTAATAAAATAAACAGCATAGATAGCATGTAACTTAAACAAAGTGGTATACACTACTATTGAAGCATACACACAGTTAGCTAGTAGGTTGCTGTAAGTATATTCAAAATGTAGTTTCTTCCTTGTGATTGTGTCTAAATGCTTATTTTGGCAGCAGAAATTGATGAACCTATTTCTAATGGCATTATAGATTATTATGGATATGTAATTTCTTAGTTTCTGTATTCGGGGTAAGTTTTTAAGATTGCTCCGGGAAGTGTTTTAAAATTGTCCTGTTTTTCTCCTTTTGTATGTCTCTGCAGTGGTTTTGCGGGAGTACCGCCCTCGATACAGATGATCCTTTGGAGAAGCAGAAAGTCTTTAAGTTTAGAGGTGACTTGGCTGTGAGACGGGGGAACTATCAGGTAATAAAACATTCAACAGACAGTCAAATACTTTTGTAGTAATATGCAGACAAATTACCAGTGAAGTTGGACTAGATTAGATAGATATTCATTAAAATATCTAATTGCTGTTGGAATAAAAGGCCTTCGGATCCATTCAGTAGAACACCAGGGCATCTTCAGTCGGCCACTATTGTCCTAAGGACACTGTGGAGTGGATGATCTACAAGAATCATGATATTGTTTAGTTTGGCACTCATTCTCTTTTCTAAGATGAGCTTGCTTTTCAAATCAACTTGTTGATCCTATTTCTATGGTCTAAAGTAATGCTGCCTTTCCAACAAAGAAAAATAAGAAAACTGGTCATAGTGCCTTGATTAAAAAGTATAAAGCAGATTTCTGCTCACATCAAAGGGTCTTAATTTCCTCAGGAAAAAAAGCCTTGACTGGGCCTGCTTGAAAACAATGTCGTAGTGTTCTTTTTACAATTTAATTTGCTTTCAAGACAAACACCAAGATACTTATAAGACGGGAAAGTTTCGATTTGCTGATCACAGGAGGAACCTCCTCCTTCTTCCTCCTAAAGTCAATAATCAGCTTTTTTGTTTTCCCAACATTTAGTTGGAAAAAGTTTGACTCACACTAATTCACAAAGGAGGCAACTTCATTTTTAAAGGCCTAGTCATCACTTTGATGAAGAAGTTGGTGGCAATTTACAGAAAAAGAAGTGGAAGCTCTCAGCTCATTTTCCTTTAGAAATGTACATTTGAAGAGCCAACTAAATGTTCAGCCTTTATATTTATTATAATTAGCCTCACGGATTTGACACCATCATTTCCAGACAACATGAAAAAGACTGCTGAATGCACATTTAACCATCTCATACTGAATCACCTCGGGGGGGAAAAAACAGGTTGAATTACATTACATAGCACGTATACAGCTGTTGCCTTGTTTCTGCACTTACGGTGTGGCCCAGAAAGCCTTGGATGCATACAGCAGCTGCCTGGAGTGGATCGCTGACAACAACCTTACCATCAGAAGAGATGTGCTAGAGGGAATGTCGCGATGCTTCACCAAGCTGGGACAGAAAGAGAGGGCGCTGGATTTGGCTGACATACTGGTAATTCTTGAGCTTTTCCTGAAAGATTGTCCATGCAGAACAGTGTCCCATACAAGTGACTGTAGCTGGAGCAACCTGCTGTCATTGTGAAATCCTTTATATATCACTTGGTGTTATAAAAAAAGATTATTTTGTTCATTTAGATAACATGTATATTTGATTTTACTGCCATAAAATCCTTTTAGTACAGAATATGGTATAAGTATGTGATAACACAATTTTGACATACTCCACTCCAGCGCCACTAATGGTTGTTTGATACTGGTTGGGAGTAAAATTGGCCACCTTGCATGCCATGGACAAAATGTTTGCATGTGATCGATCTAATCTGAAACCATTAAAGGCAAAAAGAATAGATATTTTGTCTGATGTAGGAAGTGAACAGTAGGTCAGTAAAGGTAGAGGTGATTATTATTATTATTATTAAAGATTTGTTTAAAATACACATCTTATAACATTTATATAACTCCTGACCATTTCTCAGAGCATCATTTTAATGTTTCCCCACTAGGATATTTGACGTACCACCCCTGAAGACTTTGCCGTCTATGAAATTATAACAAAAATAAAGCTGAAGTTGATGAAATGTTCTCTGGGATAGACAGACCTATCTGAAGGAGCAAGTTTTAGTCTACTAAAATGACTTTGAGAAATCAGTCTGAGCACAGTAGTAATGCGTACGTGATCTTTCTCCAGAGCAAAGAAGCCTCCAACACCAGTCATCTGACCAGCCTCCTGCTGCTCAAGGTCGGCATTAACCCCCATGCACAGATACAAACACATTGCCCCCCTTTTTGTTGGTTACAAATCATTCTGTGGATAATGTCACGTCAACGTTGCTATTTAATTAAAATATAAACTTTTACTAAAGGTCAGCATCTACCAGCATTTTGGAGGTGTGGGATCAAAGATGTCGTCTCTGCAGCAGCTGTGTAGCCTGCTGCCCTTCAACCCCTGGCACTGGTACAATCTGGGGCAGACGTGTCTGCAGCAGCTGGAGCGCGACAGAACCACGGGTAGGACAAACCTCCTTCCCTCTCATGTGACATCCATATAATTTCTTAAAAGTCAGTCTTATAAAGGTGAATTGTTGATTTTTTGTTTTTTTTATGGCAAATAAACGCTCTTGTTCTTTTTTTTTTTTAGCAAGTTGTTGTAACAAACATGTAGATGAAAATGACATGATTTGTCCTCTTGGTCTGCTGTATTTATCTTTACCTAGGATCGTGTTCTCCACAGAGGTGTGAATCAGGAGGAGAGCAGAATGATAGAGAGCCTGAGGAACAGGAGGAGGCAGAGCTCGATGAGGACAGAATATGGCTGAAAGCGTGCACCTGTTTCATCAGGACGAGGTACAGTATTTTTTACATTTCTTAAAACATCAACTCAGTGACGAGGTGTTCTGTGATGCCCCAATTGAATGTGTGCCCAAATGAGAGTCGAGGATTTATGATCAGATGTAAATCAGTCTCTGAATGTCTCCTTTGTTTTGGCTATCTCCGTCAGACTCCTGTTGAGAATCCTTCGGCAGCAGCAGTCTTCCTTTGTTTTGAAGCGCAGTGAAAGCACCCTACAGGCGACAGATGAGGCGATACAGCGTCTGAGTCCCAAAGAAACTACCCTGCAGTCTCTCACTGAGGTGAGGGCATGCTCCTGGTTTTGTGCATACACGCTGTATCCAGGCCGGTGGGTAGTTTTTACACAGTAACACACTTTCAGTTTCTCTCTTCCATTTCCCAGGTGATGTCAGAAGACCTGATCCCGGAGAAGATGAGGGAGGACTACCAGGATGGGGAGAGTCTATCCAGTGTGTGTGTGCAGAGCTTCAGGGAGCGCTGGTGGAACAAGGTCTTACTGGCAGGAGTGTTAGAAACTGACGGCCGTCAACATAAGATGCAGACAGACACAAAGTCCTGATGCTCCAGTGATGCCTGTTTACAGAGAGGCTGGCAGACAGGAAGGGACTGAAGAACACGCTGCCGATGGTCCCGTCACTGTATAGATCCCATCAAAGAGACTGGATGAACTGAAAGCCAGATCCAGCTCCTAAAACACTTACTGATATCACAACAAGACCCCATACATGTGGAAATACAGGTCAAATGCTAACTTTTAATGCTGTCAGTCTCAAAAATACCATGACAAAGCACACTATTCAAAAGTATAAATCTCATTCTTTAAAAGGTAACTTTCTTATGTTTGCTTCTCCACCCAAGTGAAGTCGAGGGAGAACTGCTCAGTGAACGTAGTCGTAGTTAATCCTACAGTATCAAACACAGACCTACTGATGTTTCATCCACTTCACACTGTGTGCTATATGATTAATGACAGTGATTATGTTCTGCAGGAAACAATGTGAGACATTTTAATTATTTTAATATTCTGCCTAAAATGTAAGTTTTGCCTTAACGTGTTCATATTTTAAAACGAATAAAAAAATTACATTTTTATTTACTTATTTTTTCGTGAAATATTTGAGCATTTTGTGCAGAAGTTACCGTAATGACATTTTGAAATGTCATAGCAGGAAAAACATGGGTATGTTATATGCTAATGTTATTAATTCCACCTGTGCTTCTGCTATGACAAAATATCTGCTGTGGGAAAGGCCTATTTTTGTAACACTAATGATTTACACGTTTATCCCCACAGTTTAGGAGCTGTTTGCCTCCTCACATTTGCGGGTCCCAGACCTAGCTGGCACCCTTTTTCTCACCCCTCAGTAATTTTCCTCTATTATACACTTTTCACTTTAGCAGTAATATAGCCAGCTGGTCTAAGGTTTTTTATAGCAGAATAATAAAACATGGACTTTCTATAAAAGAATGAACAGTGAAAAAGCAGTGAGTAAGGAGCAACATATCTCTTATTACACAGACCTACACAGCTGTTTTCACTTCACTGATTACACCTGTTCAGCAGTACTATCCGTGTGTACAGACATTATAATTGACATCTCCCTCAGAACTCCCAGCAGCACCCCACCCAACATCAGCCTGAGCAGAGGTCTAATTAGCTGAATATGCCTGTTTGGGTGTGCAGGGCCTACGACAAAGGAACACTACAAAGTCACTTGAATCCCCTGCTAAAGTCTAACATTTAATAAGTCAAAAGCCTTGATTGTTTTGCTAAATGCAATGTATATATGTGTGTGTAATGCTACACACAAAAGTTGTGCACACATCTGTCTCATCTCAATTTTGTAGAAATAAGAATACACTTGTTCAACATAAATTTGTAAGCTTTACACAGGAGAATATACTGTAGATTTCACATTAACAGATGAATACACTCTTTCATTGGCATGTATGATTATATCTCCGGCCGCATAATAAGGGAAATTTCTGTCAGGTCCTGGTTATATTTGGGTTACAACCTGCTCCATTAAAGCCTGCTGAGTGTATCAGTCATGCTCATGCTCCTTCCTAATGATGTATTCTTGCTGCTTTGAAGTGGCCTCCAGCCCGCCTCTCCACCCGGATTCTGTCCCGTCCCGTATGTGGCGGTGAAGGAGCTCTGGCGAGCCACAGGTCTGGGTCTTGCAGCGTGACTCTGGGGCATCCAGTTTAGTCTCGGAGGGGGCTTCACCTGCTGGGAGGTGTGAAGCTGTAGATGCAGTTTGGGTCCTGTGCCTGGTAAAAACAGCTTGGAGTCCGGGTGGATCTGAGGTCCTGGATGACTTCCCATGGCTGTCGATGCTGGCTTTGAACCTGGAGTCTCTGTGGGTGGGTGTGACAGGAGGGGGGGTGGGTGGTGCCTCTGGTGCTGATCTTGCCTCCTGGTTCCTAGAGAGGACATTTGTAGCCCTGATGTGTGTGCTCTTGGACTAGTTAAAGGGAACCACAGGTCTGTCCCTACTTGTGTTTGCTGTGATGTGGAAGGAGACGGGACTTTGGCATTATCAGACAGAAAGACCATCTTTGGTTTAAAGTTTAGTGAGCAGTTCCATTGTCGTCTTTGTGTATTAAGACCCGCAGCAATCCCTGAAGGCTTTGTCAATCGGTCTCCATTCCTCTGCTGATAGAAAAAACCTTCAGTACCCACATTATGCTCAAGATTTGAATTTATCTGGAAGGGTGTTTGATAACGGAGAGTCCTGTGCTCTCCGTGTGCGGGGGAAGAAGTGTTGAGGGGGTCAGACGCTTGAACCCTTGCATTCTTTTCAGCTGTAGTGCTGACTGTAAGGCTGGTAAGCTGAGACTGAACGTGTGAGACTTGGGTCTGACTGAGAGGCTTAGAGTGACTCTGGATGTGGTTTTGATTCTTCTCCAGAGGTTCCACATTTGTTTGTCCATCATGCTGGGTGCAGACAGCTCCCACTGTATGTTTAGCCTTTCCCATAGATTCATTCTGCAGTGCTCCTGGTTGGACCAGAGGTTTTGGGTAGAGTTGTGGAGGCTTTCCATGCATCTGTGCACCAGGGAGAGTGCGAGGCACAGTGATATAAGTGACAAAACCGGGGACTGGTTTGGAGCTGGAGTATAGCCTGTGGAATTCCTGATGGAAAGGTATGATCGCGCTGCCCCTTAAAAGAACAGCAAGACCACGATGGACCTGCCAGGAGAGCCAGGAGAAACTGAGGACACAACAGACGCACACAGCATTAATGTTTGTGCAGAAAACTAAAAAGAGAATATACAAAGGTAATGCTGACAAATAAGATATACATGTACAAGATTTGCTATTTTAATGTGTGTTCATGTGCATACACACTGTGCGTGCATGTTTGTGTACCTGTAAGAGCCAGTTAACACCTCAGTCCAGTCAGCGATGACAAAATTCTCAGCAACCTGACCAGTCAGCTTCCTGCCTGTCTTGGCACAGTAGGTCTGTCCATCCACACTGCGTACTGACAGTTTCTATACAAATATACATACACACACAAGATTTTCAATATGTATAATTTATCAGTTTTTCACTCGTGGAGGAAGCCAGCTAACTAGCCGAGAAGTTTTGATTGTAATTTGATAGTTTTTTTTTTTTCAATATCACATCATTTTATTGCACATCAATAAAAGTGCAGTTATTTTGCACTAAACACCTACAGATCTCTATCAACCTATCATCCTTTCTAAAGGTCGACCGATTAATTGTCCGACCGATTAATCGGCCGATTTTTGGCATTTTTTAACATAATCGGCATCGGCCAATATCCAAGTATATCAAGCCGATTATTAGGCAGGCGCATCTGTGGGCAGCCTAGTGTTGTCGTGGAACACGTGTTTGACGCGCGTTCTGCCGCTAGAGTAATTTTCCAGCCGAGTGAGCAGCAGACCTCATCCAGTGCCTAAGGAGCTAACGGTAAGGATTCAATTCTTATTACTCCTTTATATTTAATTAAAAACTTTTGATATGTTACGAGAAAAAACCTGAATAAGACACATGACATTCGGCTAATTTGGATCGTAGTTGAAGTTGCATTATCACAGAAGAGTTGCTATCATGTCACAATAAGTAAGCAATAATTTTGCAATTACAGAGTGAATCTGAGACTTTCATTTGTTCTGTTTGTGTGTCTTATATTTGAGAGGGTTGTCACTCAATGCAGAGAAATAAGTAATAAAAAAGAGACCAACGCACTATAGGCTAGTGACAGACTGGCTTTGCTTTGCTAACGGGTAGCTACAGACAGACCCAGTGCTAATACGGCACTGGAAACTTAACGACCGTTATCTACCGCACCGAATATCAACGCGGATTTCTGTGCTTCAGTTCGGTGCAAATAGAGGTTAAAAACCAAGCAAATATCGGCCAAAATAAATCGGCAGCATTATTCGGCCATCGGCCGACCCGGATTTCAAAAGATCGGTATCGGCGTGAAAAAAACCATATCGGTTGACCTCTAATCCTTTCTGCAGGTTGCTTTCCCTCGTTTGAAAAACAAAAAAAACCCTTGGCCCCCAATGTTTTATGAAATTGTAGGCCCATTTCCAAGCTCCCATTTTAAAAAGTTGTTTACGACGGTTACCCTTTTTTAAGCAAAAATGAAATATTCCTAGAAATCTTGTTTTAGGGAGCACCACAGCACAGCATAGGCTCTTGTAAAAGTTCACAATGATTTGTTGCTAGTTTATCAAATGTATCACAACAGTGACTGCCAAGGTCCAATAACATTTTGGCACGTATTTAAAATAAAACTGTCCTGTGACACATTTGGATCCAAAACTATGGTTAAAAAAACAAACAGATTTTGTACATTTGCTTGTATACAGTACACATTAAGCTCCAGCACAAAGTCACCAGTCATTTGGGTGACATGCATCAGCAGCAGCACTGTGTTCTCAAAAAGTAGCCTGCTTTTTCCAAGCACAGACTCCTGTGCTTCATCGCCATGCTGACGATCAAAGGTTGGCTTGTGAAAGAGAGCAAGAAAAGAAGGGAGCGTAATGACACCAAGAAGTCAGTAGCAGGGCAATCACGTACAGTCTGGTGCTTCCCATGTACAGCATGTGTCTGGTGTTTGCAGGGAAGCTGTATCTGTTTGGTTAGTAGATACAGAGGATGACTAAACAATGCTAATGACCTAGAGTGGATGAAGGACTCCAGCTGACGTCACATCCATCCCAAAAACTGAAGCTTAGACGCACCTTTCTTTAGGCTATATATTCTGTGTGAAAGGTTACGTTTGGATTTTGTGAGTTTTTAAACCTGAAAAGCTGCTATCCTGGTGTGTGTGTGTGTGTGTGTGTGTGTGTGTGTGCGCGTGCGTGCGTGCGTGCGTGCGTGCGTGCGTGCGTGCGCGCGCGCGCGTGTGTGTGTGGGAAGGCGAGGCATGTACTGCAGCTGAATGACCCTCCGGTGCAGGGCTTGGCTGCAAAGGAAAACCTGGTAGTAAAGAAGTTGATAAAGTGCTCCTTAAAGTATAAAAGGTCCCCAGATAGCTAAATGCATTTCCAACTATTTTGATGCAGTCTGATTAGGTCACAAGACCAAGCTTAGGTAAAAACAGAATGAAGCCAGACTCAGACACGCAGGCGGTTGGAAGGGAGATGATGAACAGACTCACAGGAAAGTTTTTGCTGTTGAGTTTGAGGTCCTGCCACATGCTGACAAACAGGTTCAGGTTGAGATGATCCAACAGCAGATGAACAGACACATTCCTCTTTCTGCTCGCCTCCAGAAGATCACACAGCAGCTCTACGTCACTGAAGCTATCCATCACTATGGCCAGGTCCTACACACACACACACACACACACACACACACACAAACAATGTATCTGGCTTTTCAGTACATATCATCCCCACATGTACAGGCATGTATGTCACATTCCTTTCTACACACACACACACACACACACACACCATTCCAGCATTTCTGATGAACTCTCTGACCAGGTCTTTCATGCCGGCTGCCCTGCTGTCACACTGGAAATAAACCTCAGTGTTGGGCTTATTCAGGACAGGATGGGACCACATCACATCTGGAAGGGACACAAACATTATCAGAGATGACATTGGCCAGACTTGCAAAATAATTTGCTTCTATGAAGGTTTCGTACTCGTGTAATACCTTTTAGGCTGCTCAGGTCCAAACTTGCCACACTAGGATCTCTGTCTGTGGACATCGCAGGACATCGTGTGGCAGACTCGGAGCCAGCAGACAAGCTCTCAAAGTCTTTGTCATTATCAGATGCACCAGGATCAGCTGCGTAAAGCACAAAAGCTATGATAAATAAAAAGTAATACCACCTGAAAAAAAAATTATTTACCCAGAGAATCAATCTGATGGCATCTTCTGCTTTCAAACACAGGCTTCAGGACAAAATGTGTAAAAAAAACATGTACAACCTGTGCTGACGTCCTTCCCATTTTCTACGATGTAAATCTTCTCCGGCTCTGACAGAAAGTCCACTTCCCCCTCTGCATTCAACACCTTGTGGTACCCCTCTAAGCCCCGGCTGAGCAGGGAGTCCACTGCCAGTCGAGCACTCTCATTGTGGCTCAGGTCCAACGTGGGTCTGCTGGCTATAAAGTCATAGTAAGAGGAGGAAGAGAAAGGGATGCGGAGGTCTTGAACCCGTCGCCTCACTTTCCCCAGTGGTTTCGACCTCCTGTACCACAGCACGGACACACTGCTATCATCCATGGAAGACAGACTTATATGCAAGTCTTGTTTACTTGTCAGTAAGTTGAACAACAAGCAGGCCGGTGTTAAAGCTGTGCATGATCCTCAGAGCCTAGATGAGACCTGCATTCCTCTGACAGTAAAGAAAGAAGTACTGGTTGAAGCACACACAGAAGTAAAGGAAAAAATTGTAGACCTGCCCCTGCTTAGGGCAAGATGGTTTCAGCAGTGATGAGGTGTGACAGGTGAGACCTGAGAGCAAAATGCAGTTGTATGTTGCTGTGACCTCCCAGGATCTAAAAACAGAGAATACACAGGAACGTATGTCGAAGTGTAGCAAATATTCATGCATCTTTACGTGCATGTCGTCATGTGTGATGCAGCAGGTGATTTAGTGAAATCTGGCTTCAAGACATACCTATACATTTACGAGGCACCAAGAGTGTTGATCAAGCTGGTCAGCAATGATATGACAAAAAAATGGACTGATCTTGCTGTTTTCCTTCCAGGGCCTGAGACTGAGTGATGCAGAGCAGGTGAGCACAGATAAAAGATGGGTGGAGGGAAAGAACAGAATGAGTGACAGGAATGGGGATGGCTGTCATTTCCACTCATGTCAAGCAACACCTGGGTGCTTATAGGACCAACAGCAGAGACAAGACAGTTGCAGGCACACCCAGGCAGAGGTACACAGGCCCTCATCTGTTTTTACAGTAATTACACTTAGGCTTCATGGCCGTAGCAAAGTCCACCCAGATCTGTGCCTGTATTTTTCTTCACTCTATTTATATAAACCAAATTGCAGATTGTGTTAAGCAGAAACACAGACCACGAACACTCCCTAAAGTATACAATCAAAACATGATACCTCAATACAATTTAAATTATAAAGCTTGCAGTGGAAGTCCCTTGAAACTGGATTTGCATATTGCATGTTGCATATTTTGTAAAACTAAACTTCTACGCAATATAGGAAATAGCACCTGGAGCTCCTTTCCTGCATGCCGACGTATAAAATGATCATTTCATTAATTTTCAAAATATGTTTGAATGGATACCAAGAGTTTGGAGAGCTGCATTACACATCAGTTACTGCTACAATCACTGTGCTGTTGCTTAACAAACAATAACAGAAATGATTCATGTATGTCTTAAAAAGACACAATGAAACAGAGGATTGAGTCAGGATTTTCAAAACTGGTTTTAAATAAGAAAAAATCATAAAATTCATTCAAATAAAAATTCAAAATAGAGCACCAGCGCAAATATAAAAAATTAAGAAAAGACAACCATGAATGTATAGTGTACAACTGAGTACAGAGTGAGTGCCTACAGGATTCTATGTTGCATCTGTTTGGTCATGCAGAGTAACATTCATCAGCTACAGACGGACTGCGATGATACAGGATTGGCCTTTTTGTGGCCCTGTGTCTGGAGTGTGCAACAGACGGAATTGAGGTAAAATTAATGAAACTGTTGTTGCTTGTAGCGATATTATCAAAGAACCTACTCATGCATTAAAGGTAGACTTGGATCCTAGATATGCACATGACATGAAGTACAACAACACAGCCCCTATCTGGAGATAGTGGTTGATGATGTACAGGTAATGTATTGGACTCTGGTTGCATTAATAATCTGTAGTTGATGGAGGGAGGGATGGTATACAAGCACTTGGAAACATATAGCAGCGAGCTGGTACGCTCTTCAGTCTGCGCCACTGTTTCTGTTGTTCTAGCTAGCTTGAGACAAGAATATGTATTTCTGACACTATGATGGCGGGGAGGAGTTCATGGTCACTGGGAGGACAGTGTGTGGACAGATTGTGAGGAGGCAGAGCTGCCCTCTCTGGCTCTGGCCGCCAGCTTCTGTCTCAGATCTCTGATTTCCTTCAGCAGTTCTCTCTCGCTGCTGTCCAGCTGGGCCCGGCCTCGGTCCAGGGAAACTGCCAGGAAACAAAGAAAGGAAGACATACAGGAACATTATACTGTAGATAAAAAAAACTCAAGATAATGATGGTCGCATTATGTAGAGCTGCAACAGTTAGTCGATTAGTTGACTGAAATAAAATTAATTGGCAATCCATTAATCGTTTAAGTCAATTTTCAAGCAAAAATGGAAAACATTTCATGGAGGATTTGATGCTTTTCCCAGTTGCCTTATAGTGTAGGTTATTTTATTACAGTGAAGCCAAGTCAATTGCAATAAAAATTTTGATTCTCAGGCTCCCTCCAACATTGCTCAAACAATATGTATAAAAAGAAAGAGAATTTTGAATCTGTATAGATAAAATAAAATATATTTATAATAATAATTTAATCAAATATAAATAATAGTAACATTAACATTTACTGACAAAACAACTGACTGATTGAGAAAATAATCTGCAGATTCATTAATAATGAAAATAATTGTTAGTTGCAGCCTTCATATAAAGCATATATTAATGAAATTGAATAAAAGTAATTTTAAATGGCCCTTTTTAGAAAGAGTAGAAGGAAGAACGCTTTGGAAATCTCTGATCATTATGCTGCTGTGGCGGCACCAGGAGAACACGCCGATGTGTCACCGATCACTATCTTGCAACACAGCTGCAACACTGATCACACAACAAAGCCCTGTGCTGCTTTTCATAAACAGTGACTGCACATCAGAGAGTCCTTTCAACAGAAACAAACTCAGCAGAGGAAGTCTTGATCTTCCCTTCTTAGCATAGCCTTTAGAAAACAAGATTATATTTACAAAGACTCACAGTTGGTGGAGGTGCTCTCTGAAGGTGAACTGCTGTTCAGACACACCATGTTGGCTCCTGCCTGCTTTGGGGATGTGGCAGAGTTGGGTCTCACTGCCGGCCCGGCAACATAAACAGCAGCGGTGGCACCTGGTCTATGAGGAAGTCCCCTGGTCCAACACGGTGACCTTCTCCTTGTCTGTCTCTGCCCGTCTGGCACAAAGAAAACACGGTAATATTAGATCCATGTCTCACTGATGGACAGACAACTGGCGTGCGTGTGTGTGTGTGTGTGTGTGTGTGTGTGTGTGTGTGTGTGTGTGTGTGTGTGTGTGTAGTAATACCTGCATCTGCTGAAGACAAAGGCTGTCTCTGCTCCTGTAACTGGGTTCTGGTACTCATCACTTCATCCCACTGCAAATTGACAAGTACTCGTTTGTCTAATTGAATAAGACAGCTTATTTTTCCAAATCCCACAATTTGCTTTTTCATAATTAGTATTAGACTTAGTGAAAATGACATCTATAAATAAAGAGCTATTTTGTAATACTGATTTTAAAAGGTAACAGAAAAGCCCATAAATTATGTCATAGTAATTGTACATAGACAAGCCAGTACATCATTCAAGTTCACGTGTTGACAAACATACTCTTGTTGTTCTCACCTTCCTTCCTGCCACATCTCTCACGGTGTTAGCCAGTCTCTCCTCCTCTGCCAGGGTTTGCCTGTGAAGCTCTGCCAGCCTCTCCCGCTTCATCTCCTGCTCGGCTTCGACCTGTTGCAGGCGCTCCGCCACCTCTCTCTGCCAGTCTGACTCCAAGCCCAGCTGGCACGCCTCCGCCAAGGACTCCTCCAGGGCCTGTGTATTTGTGTGTGTGTAGAGAAAAAAAGTGAATGGATACCAGAGGAGAAGATCACAGCTACCTGCGCCAAAATCAGTGTTTGGATGGCTGTGTGCCTATGACACTTTCTTGTAAAGCCAGACGGATGTACTAGTGCATCAAGAGCGCGTGCAGACATATGTCAATACTATTAGACTGTCTCCATACTGGAATGTGTCACTAACCTGCATGTTTGTCTCAGTGTTGTGTAGCAGCTCTGTGTAGCTCTCCTCCTCTCTTTCTGCCCTCCTCATCCTCATCTCCACCTCCTCCTCAACCTCCTGTCCCATGCGCTCCTGCGCCTTCAACAGGTGCTGAGGGAAATGATCATGGAAAAACAACAAACAAAGAAAAGTGGCTGTTACATTAACCTAATCTTTCTCGTTTGACTGACCTCAGTGTCAGATTGTAAGATTCCCAATGCAGAATATGCATGTTATTCATTGATTATGATCAAACCCTTGAGTCTACAAGAGGCGACAACACTGGGAGGACTTGAATTTAAGCACAAATATGAGTGATTTTGCTTGACTTCACTTTGTTTCAAACTCTCAAACTTAGAGGCAGACCTGTAACTGCTGTCAGACATTTTTTCTCGGCAATGTTCTATGAGAAAGCAGTGGTAACATTTTATGCTTCTGGTTATTTCAATTGCAGTATGTGTTCTAGGTTTAGGAGGGGGATAAATGGCAACACACGTCAGAGAGAGAGAGAGGAAGGGAGGGAGAAACGAATCAAAAGAGGAGGCTGGGAGAGAGGAGGGAAGGTTGAATGCACCTGTTCTAGTCGTCTCCTCTGAGCCTCCAGCTCCATCTGTCTGACTTCTAGATCCTCGACTGCTGCAGCTGTTTCTCGCTCCCGGAGGTCCATCTGTAACACAACACATAAAGGTTACTGTTGGTTTAGAATTCAAACATCAAGGTTGTTAAGTCCATGACTAGCAACTCTACATTCTTTGGAAGAATAATCATTTTATCAAATAGACACAAGCACATGAATAATGCTAAACTGTGACCAGAGGAGCTTGGGATTACACGATCTCTGCAGTGGCACAGTGTGACTTTTTTCTTTTTCTTTTTATGAATAACTATTTTTACATCTAAAAAACACAGTTTATCAATGAGAGCGTCTTGAAATAAAAACGCATTGAGAAATATGTTAAAAAGTACGTGGCTAAATGTTTAACAGATAGCCTGGCTGCTTGATGTTTGGTTTCTTTATATAATAAAAGAGACTACTTTCAATCTTAATCATCAGGTTATGTTTACCTTTCTACTGATTTCCCGGTCTAGCCCTTGGATCTGTGAGGCTCTCAGGTCCTGCTGGTGTTTGAGGAAACGTCTTCTAGTTGCGTCCAGCAGCTGCAACTCCTTCACCTTCAGCTCTCGCTTCATGGCTGCCAACCTGCAGAGGGCGGAGCAGCGTCAGCAAATAATTGTGCTAAATCACATCATTCTTTTTCCCTCCCCCCTTTTGCTGTAACACAACAATGGAGGTGTGAAGTGTCTTGTGCTTTTACTTTGCCCTCTGCTGTGTTAGTTTTTCGTCTTCCTGTGCCAAGATGTTTCTGCGCTGTTCCTCTGCCTTTTGCAGCAGCTCCTGTGTTCAAATCAAACAAAGTACTACGATTCATAATAATAATAATAATTTCGATTTCAGGCTTGTGTTTTCATATCCAGCTTAACATATACATACAACAAGATCTATGCTTAAAATGAATCTACCTGTTGTGCATGATAGGCCTCCTCTTCAGCTTGGCGACGCACAAAATCTGCACGCAGGGCTGACACCTCCTGTCTGATGAGACAAACAAACACGCTTTATCTGTTGCATGTTTTTCTCACTAATGCCTCTGAATGGTACTTAACATTAATTTTGGCTAATTAAATATGCATTTCTGTTATCCAATTAACACTGTAAATACAGCATCTGTAATGTCACCTCTCACGGAGATACTCCATCTCCTGCAGCCGTATCTTCTCCCTCTCCCGGCTCTGGTATTCCACTATGAATTCTGGGTAGTGGTTGAACACAGGGTACTGGCCTTTAGTCAGTGGTGTAAAGTCAGAAAGCATAGTCCTGGGATGTATGTCAGCTGGTGTGCTGCCCATGAGCCGGTAGGCCTCCTTTATCATGGCTCCCACATCCAGGTTGTTACGGTGGTGGAAAAAATACTGAGAGGAAAGAAAACAGAAGAGATGGAGAGAAACGTTCATGAAGGAAGAGAGACAGAAAAGTTTACTGACTGATGGGACTTGCTTTATTTTCAGAGAAGAGGAGAACATAGTTACCTCAAAGTCCTCTTTCTGCGAGCAGAGCAGCAGAGGCTCACGGCAGCAGGTGATGTAGGCCACACAGGCCATGAGCAGGAACGACGGATGGTTAGAAAAGACGTTATCAAAGAGTCTGAGCCACTCATCACGAGTCAAAACCTCTGAGAACAAGGTCTCCAGCAGGGGCCACACATAGAACTGGGACAGACACAGAGATGCATAAAAAAATGTGTAAATGTATACAGGGCAGGGACTTGTGATTCTGTGAGCCTTGAGTTGCAGAGCAGCCTGCCTAAGCCCTCATGCACCCTTCTCCTCCAGTTGTGCGTAGCTGTGTACTGCTGTTACCTGTGAGGTGATGCCACAGTCCACCAGGTGCTGCAGGAGTTCCTTGTCGTGATGAGCCAGAACGTTCTCCACCATGCTCAGGATGTTCAGGGGAGGGTTGGGGAAGTACTCGAACCAATGCTGACCCCAATTCACTGAACAACCAAAGACTGATAAGACCTTGACTTTGCCTCAAGACACTGAGATGCTTAATAAACGGAGCCACGAGTGAAAATGTTTTGTTTTTTTTACCTATTACAGTGGCCACCACCTCGAAGCAGAGCATTGGGTTGTTCTGGAAGAGCTTGACGAAAGGGAAGGCTACCAGGGGAAGGTACTCCGCCTCTCCAAAGATGGCTGCCCAGTGGGCTAAGGCAGACAAAACCCTGCAGAGCGGAGGAATGGACCCAATAGATAAAAATCCTTAAGTACCAAAATGTGTTTAAGAAAATGTGTGTACTTATAATGAGTTGTAATTGTGTGTGTTAGTGAGAGGGGGTACCTCTGCAGTCCCCTCTGCAGCTTGTGACTTTTGATGGGGTATTTATCATTCAGAGTGAGGTAGGCTGAATGCAGGCCTTTATCAGTCAGACTGCTGTACGCCGCATGGTTCTCTGGGAGACACAACAACGATCGCCACACAAACATCCTGCAACACAGATACACAAATCAATCATGCAAACGCAAAGCGTTTTTCAGTCATCAAATACATGCATGAATCGTTGTCCTATAAAAAATATCTTCACCTGTATTTAGCGGGATATTCTCCAAACGCCTTGAGCAGAGCCACCAGTCTTTTTTTATTCAGACCAGCAGGTAGTTCATTCTATTGATAAACACAAAAGACTCAATTCAATTGGGCACTCAGTGCATCTGTTTATTTGTGGTTGAACATCTCTACTGATAAGCAAATGATTACTGTATATAAAGAAAATGAAGAAAAAACAATGTATTAGGACAATAGTGTGTGTTGTTCACACCTCTTTATCCTCAGCTGTAGATCCAGCAGTGGGTCTGAGTAGCTTCACCTGTGTCCGCCTACCCGAGCTCTTGGCTGGTCTGTGAACAACCTCTGACCTGACCTTGACCTTTATGTTAGACAAGTCCTGATCAGCTTCACCGCCAGAGACTACTACCACCTGGGAGGGAGGAGGCTGGGTGAGGGCAAGAGAGAAAGACACACACATGCTCAATATGAATACACATGCAGAACGATATCTTCTCTTGCCACCTTGTATATCATCACACCGCAATCACAACTGATTGTCACCTTGTTTAATTCCTGTGTGAGACTCTGGATGCTGTAGACATTGATGCTGCCGTTATCCATGATGGCCACAACATGGCGGCCGTTAGGACTGACTGCCACTGTTGAGATGGCGTCGTCGTGGGAACCCATGTGGAACAGCAGCTTGCAGGTGTGAATGTTGATGAAGCGCATCACGCCGTCCTGGCTCAATACACCTAGCGTCTACCCAGACAAAACAAATAAAGTCTCAACACACATGTTTACTGTGGAGAAACGTTGCACACATACTGTACATACAAATACAGAAACGGACTATAGGCTCATTAACATGCACAGAAACACAGACAGGGCCTCTTCCAGGCAAATGACATCAAATGAGTCTAAAACAGAGAGTAAAAAGAGTCCACAGCAGGAGAAAGGAGGAGATGAAAGAGGTGTCCTGTTGTCTGTGTACCTGGCTGGCTCCTCTGTCAAAGCTTTCGGGCAGGAATTCCAGCTGTCGGACGGTTCGGACCTGCGTGGGCATCTGAATCACCCTCACCAGCTGTTTGCTGTCTAGACACCACAGATGCAGCAGGTTGGAGCGTCCACCAGCAGCAAGGCTCTTACCATCACTGCAAACACAAGTCAGGTACATCAGTGTTAGATAAAGACTTCTGAACCCAATTTACTACTTCTGACTTCTTCTTCTGCTGATGAGTTTAGAGGCTAAGCAGGGCTGTGATGTAAGAGACCCACCGTGTGACAGCGAACGCCTTGTAGGAGATTTTGGGACCGCAGTCAGGGACGGGGAGCTGGTATTTGCAGAATAGTGTGTCGCTCTCCCAAGCAAAGATGGAGTCATCACTGAAACAGCTGAGGATGGTGTTACTGAGAGGCAGGAAAAACACCTATGACGCAAGCAACAGTGAGCAAAGACCATGAAAAATGAGAACAAATTTAGTGATACCATAAATTTACTAGAGCTTAAAATTAACCAAAACCTAAATCCCTATTTTTCATTAATCCTCACATGGATCATTACCTTCATGTAGTGATCACACTACACTCTGTAAACGTTGTTTTCATTTGGTATGTCTGCATGTTTACCCTCTGAATGCCAACAGACTGCCTGATGTTGAGCTTCCTCTTCCTTTGGAAGGTGTCCAGGTCCCAGAGCTGAGCTGTGTCTGAGGACGTGCTGATGGCGTAGCGACCTGAGCTGTGGACAGATATGGACGAAACTGCTCCCTCGTGACCCCGCATCCAACTGACCAGCTGCTTTGTGTCTGTGCAAAGAGACAAAAAGCCAACAATGGAGTTTATATATAGTTAATATGGTGGTGAGTGACAGACAAAAGTGGGTGACACGCTCCCTTCTGGCTTTTCATTAAACTGACCAGGTGCTCTGAGAGAAAGACAATGTGTGGATGTGTCCATCCTACCTTTGTCAAAGCACTTGATGGTGTAGTCAGCCAAGGCCACAAGGAACTCTGTGGTCCTGCGGAGGCTGAATGCCAGAGCAGTGCAGGCCTGTCCTGTCTTCTGCACCAGACGAAATCTGCCCCAAGAAAGAAGCAATAAAAAAAACAAAATACACAAGGTCAGATAAATGTGGAAGCTTGTTGAGTTTAAGGGTAAGGGCTGCTAACTTTGAGGTTCTGTTCTAAATGTACAAGTATTTTTTCCCGTCTTTTTCTGCTGCTAGAACATATTCAGGTGAGAGAAGAGGTGTGTCAACACTAATTGGCTATGGCTGGCATTAATAGGAAATGTGGGCACAGTAATAACTGGATGGACCATGTTTGTGAATGTGTCATAATGTACATGTAGCTAAGTGTTGAAAAGCAAATCATATTAATATAAGAGATAAACAAAGAAACACTTAAATGACTAAATTATTTTGGGTCCTTTGAGCTTAATCACCTGTTTCTGCTGATGTCAAAGACATAAATGTTGCCATGGTGATCTCCAGCCAAGAAGGCATCTCCTGTGGTGTCAAAGGCCACATGGAGGAAACGCACCGTCTTGGCCTGCTGAGCGGTGCGGACCACCGTCACTAACACACTGAGGAAGACAAACAACACCTTAAAAGGGGAAACGCACAGATAGATGAAGAACAGCACATTTCAGTGAATCATGGCTGCTCTCTAGTGGTTACAATACAGCCCGAAAAAAGTGGCACAACAATGAAATGCCGTTTTCCTTCAATGAGGACAAGCTCATGGCGTAGCAACAAAGTATATTTGATGCTGCTCAGCTGGATGCAGCTGCAGAGGACAGATGGTAAGTGATAAAAACGAGCAATATATTTATACTGCTTTGATATGCCTATAACTTAAGTTACTCTGGGTGAAATTTAAAAACAAAATCGTAAAAAGTCAGCCAACTATTTAGAGTTGTTACCTGTGTGAATGAATGTACATGGAAGTGCAACAAGTGTGTGACATACAAAAGGTAAGGTTAACTAAACTGAAAGCAGTTGGCCACCTTGTTATGTTATTTTATGCTGGAAAGTAAATGACAGATACATCTCACAACGTCAGATAAATGTGTCACTGCTTAGTCAAGCATCATTTACCTAACGTTACTTCAGACCTACCTCTTGCCTGGTGTTGGTTTTCGATGCCAGACCTTCCCCTCTTCTTTGTTTCCGATGTCTGTCACCTCCATTTTGAAGAAGTCTGTGGAAACTCGGCATACATTTAAGAAACAGAAGGATCCCCCTTGTGTAACTTAATTTGACTGCCCCAGTTGACAGTAACAGGGCTAGCAAACGGGCTAATCTCTTTACAGGCGGTGCAAACAGCGCGAAGTTTGAAAGAGCAACAGTCAGTATATTTAGTTTCACGTTACAACCAGATAAGAAGTAAATCTCAGCACCACTCAGTGTTAGTCCGAGTTAAACTGTCCCCTAAACGTTTAAAAGACACTACGCCAACATTTTACTTAAAGTTCAGGAGATTATTTTTTGTTTTGATGACGGTTATTTTGTCGCCCAAAATTGACGTAAAGTAAAGCGTGCATTATGGGAGTTGTAGTTCAGCACTGGGTTGCACCGTTTTACACAGTCAATGCGCAATGTTCTCTCCCAGGTTAAGGTGTCAGGTCGACACTAGAGGCTGAACTACTATTTAGTTAAATCAGACACAAAAATGGGTTGCACTACGATAGCTTGAGTCCCATTGTCATGGTTACCGTGCGCATTAGCTTTCTGGCTGCACTGGCAGCGGGGGCCCCAACTGGACTGTGCAGTAAAATGGCGTGCAGTTAGGCTAATGCAAAAAATAACGAGTGGGGCAGAAAAACTGCAGCTTTCTCCCTTACTGAGGATAATTCTGTGACATTTCATGATTTACACATCAAGTCAGCAAAAATACAAAGAAAGCCTCTAGACAGATCATGTTGTAAACTGATAGTTTGTGAAATATTAGTTTAGCCTACTTCTTTATGTATGTGTGTACATGAGTGTTTTGCCTTTGCACACTGCCCAGAACATAATGAGATTTCTGGATATTTAATGAATCCTTTATTTACTTTTTAGTCCAAATGTTCACCAATTTCAATGTATTATTTAGCCTGCTATAAAAAATACAGGATGCAGCTTATAAATAACCACCAGATCTACGAACACCGGGACACTCATTAGGTTTCAGTGTTCCTAGAGGAACAGCTACAGCTTTTACAATACCACCTGTAGGATATTTCATTTGCCTTTTAATAATTTACATTTGTTGAAATAAATATGTTGTATACATCTGGATTAAATGCTGCAGTCCCACTGGGACTGTCTTAACATGCTTCCACGAAGATGTGATTATTTTGATATCTAACATGTAAGGCCTACTGTATATTTCATAGAGGATTGGGAGGGAAACTGGGTACTCTGGTTACTTCTTTGTTTGTTTCTCTGGCACCCAGTTGTTATCATGCTCAGATTGCAGAGTGCATGTAAATTCCACATAGTGCATCCTTGAGCACTTTAAAAAACAATGATTGAAATGTAAGTGATAAAAGATTAACACTAGTGCTTTTTCAATACAACATGAATAATTTCAAAATAAAGATCAGTTTCACGTTCACTCAATGAACACTTAGGTTTAACTGTAACATAAACCAATAAAACATCTCAACAGCTCGGGAACATTAAAGTGAAAAAAATATTTTAAATGAACCATTCCTAGGGCTCATATGTATATACATTTTCTGACCATTTAATTCAATTAGCTTATTGCAGATACTTTATATCAGAAGCAATGTAGCCTATGTTGGCAGGCAGGTTTGAATTACATGTTATAGGTCAGTCTCTCTTGACTGTCTATCTGGGGGATACAAGCCCATCTCAGTAAAACTATCAAGTATAAAATGAAATCAGAATCAAAGGAAACTTGCAATATTAACAAATAAGCTCGGCAGACAAGCTCAGTGACCTTTAACTGGCATGTTATAGGGCCAATGGTCAAAACTTGACCAGGACCAAAGACTTATATTTCAAATTACACCACAATACTACAGATGGACCAGTAGATCGCTCTGGATGTCAACATAGTTACTGTTTTTATCAGATACATTCATATTTACAGGTTTTCATTTAACAGTCACACACTCACCTGAGGAATACAAGCCCACTCTGACTTGTTCCATGAAGACAGGATTTATCGTATCTTAATCTCTAATTTCCTTGGCCTCAAAAATCCAGTTATCAGTCGGACTCCTTTACGTTATTTCTGGCTCTTTGAATTGTTATATACTTACAAACCAAAGCACAATCCTTCCATCAGCAATAGTGATTAATTAAACAAAACAACAAAAACTTCTGTCTTCTTTTTTACTGAGATTAACTGGTGAGACAGCATTTGTTTCAGATTATTTACTTGGAAAAACAACTAGAACAAAGTGAAAACTAACACTACTGGTGTAAATGGTTAAAGAAAATCTGAAACAGGCTTGCATCATTTCTAGCCCATGTGTCAATATGTTCATTGAATCAGTTTATCACATCACTTCATTTAAAGTGGGCCATAAAACCCTGAAACCCAAAACCTAACGACTGAGTTGTGAAGTGAGAACAACAGGTTTCATAAAAAGGAGATAATTTGCATCTGGATGGTAAACTGAGAGTTTATGCAAATTCTTCAGGAAGCGGGCAACTCCAATAATTCAAAGAAAAACGAAAATATGTTGTGAGATAATAAAAGTACTTCCGATTTTAACAAATCTCCTTCAAACTAAGAGCATGATATGAAGCCTTCAAAATGATGAGGTTACTAACCAACTAACTAACTAAATGTACAACTAAACACAGCTAAACTAAACTAAACAACTAGGATGCAAGCAACGCCAATGAAGGCCCATCTACTTCAATTTATTTGTCCTTAAAGTATGAACAAGACTATGATTATTATGACAGGTGAAATGGCTAAAGACAAAAGAACCTGCTAATTTACTCCAGATGTTATGGTATTCTCTAACATTTACACACACGCCTTTTGTTTTTCATCAACTGGAACAGCAGTTCAATTATTACTATTCGTAGGAGTGGGGTTTTACTTTGAAAAGCTGAGCCGGAAGAGTCTGCTCTGATCTCACTAACTTAGCTAGCGCTCTGTGATTAGCCACGTCATGTAAACTTAGCAGTGGAGCAGTTCTGATATTTGGGCAGCGAGGGGACGCAGTTTTGGGGGGGTATTCCTTTATTTTCAAAAAGGAGCACTTATTTCAAGGTTATACGTCGGCAGGAATCGTAAGAAAAGATGTCAGATCTCGGGGACTGGTTCAGAAGCATCCCTTTCATCACCCGGTACTGGTTTGCTGCCTCGATTGTTGTTCCCTTTATTGGGAAACTAGGACTGGTTGATTTCAGAAACCTCATGCTGTTTCCGGAGCTGGTCTTTAACAGATTTCATGTAAGTTTTAAGTGTTCCTTGTTCCCCTGTGTGTGTTGGAGTTGCTGATATGCTGTGGTTGTTTTGTTTTGGATGTGGTCAGTTAGTTAGCAGGTAGCTAGCATGGGTCGCTCCGCAGGCCAGAGCTGTGTGACAGCCAATGAGAGAGCGCGACGCAGGAGGCTACGACTTCCGGACGCTGTCAAAATGCGACTTAATTTGGCAACACTGAAATAAGCTTTAAATATGACACCAGTGGTGCCATAAAAATAACGTAACTACCAGAGATAGTAACGTAGCCGAAATGTTGCATTTGAGGTATGATAGTTTTCAGGGGCTGTTGTGGAGAAGGTGTGTTGGACTCTGGAGCTGCTGGTGAAAAGAGCCGTCAGGCATCGTTTTTGGTTTGAACCCCAAAAGACTCACTCAGGGAAAAAATGCAAACTAGTTACTTGCTGTGGAGGAAGGTTACTCAGTCAAGCATTGCACTTAAGTACAAATTGAAGGTACTTGCACTATACTTTAAATAAGATAAATATGTTTTAAATGTATTTTATACCTATAGTTGGTGGTTACTTTGAAGAAGACGATTTTATTATTAGGTTTTCAAAATATGATGCTTTGTTATAGATCAAACAGTCAGCTCCACCTTTACCAGCCCCCAGCAGTAAAATGCTACACATTAACACTTACATCAAACCATTAATATAATAAATATAAAACTCGCACATGCCACTTGTGAGCATAAAAGCAGAATTACTGTTAGTACTTTCAATACCCTTCTTAAATACATATTTCTGTAGTTACTTCTGTACTTTATTAGGTGAGTTTTGATTGTAGGATGTGTATTGGACTACTTGATACTGCGGCATTGCTACTTTTACTGAAAGAAAGGGTTTGAATACTTCCTCCACCCCAGGTTGTTTGAGTAATCATTACACTTTCTGTAGTGTTATGACTGTGTACTGTTTAACCTGCCAGAGAGAGAGCTGGTGTGGCAGTTACAATAGGTTATTGATATCTCAGAGAAACACAGACAGGGCTGCTGCAGCTGAATCGCTTTTTATTATATTACTCTATTTGCTTTGAATTGATTTGTCACTTGGAATCCAAATAAATTGAATCTCAATTCAACGCAGAAGTCCATTTGTTAAGACGAAACATGAGAGGAAATTTATTCCAAATTTAAGTCCATCTATTGTGGAAATATGGATAATGTCAGTTGTAAATAATAATAGCCAGTTAGCAGCTGTTAGTATTTTGATTAGGGCTGTAGCTAAGAATTATTCTAATTATTGATGATATTACCCAATATTTTTAATGAACTGAGTAGAAATTTAGTCTGAAATGTCAGAAACTGTGTGGGAGCCCGAGCTCAGATTTCAGAGACTAGAATCAGAGAAGGTTCGGTATTTTTGCCAAACAGCTAAAAGATTACAATATCTAAATTGTTACAGTTTAATTTTCATTTGAGTGACTAATCAATTAATTAACTGCTCTAATTTAATTGTATTAAAATAAAAATGTTGTCATTTTCCCCCGGAGTAATAGTAATTTAACACAGAAAATGCTCATCTCCCCTCGAGTCATCTCTCATTAAATGCTGTATTGATCTCACGTCTGTTGCCATCAAACTAAAATCTTTGGATCTAATTGTGAGTTAACAGGCTATGCAGAGGAACGCTTCTTTGGTGTTTAGAAGTTATCATTTACAATCCACACGAGAATCCATGTGTGTCACAAGCACAGCCTTGAAAGTCTGGATCTGGGAACAAACACTATTTTGATGTCTTTTTTACATTTGTGTTAGACTAATGTCTCTTCTGGTTGTTTCAGCTCTGGAGACCGGTGACAGCCACCCTATATTTCCCAATAACCCCTAATACTGGGTTTTTGTACATGGTCAACCTGTACTTCCTCTACCACTACTCCACTCGGCTTGAGACAGGTGAGACTACACACACACAGTCACAAACACTGAATGGTCTTTTTGTCATACTAATCTTTTCCTTGGTGTTGTTTTTTCAGGGGCGTTCGAAAGCAGACCTGCGGACTACATCTTCATGCTCTTCTTCAACTGGATATGCATTGTTGTATCCTTTCACTGGCATCATAAAATACAAAACCCTTCAAAACCTTCAATTTTATATGATAAATTACTATCTACCTACAGTAAATCGCTCCTTCGACTTCCAAGGTTACATCCCTGTTAGCCTGTTTCCACTCCCCCGGGGATTCTAACTCTCTGCTGCTTTCTTTTCTGTACCCCGTTCTCTCTCTGCAGCACTGTGCCATGTCAGGGTGGCTCTGTGCCAGTGGCCCAGTGTCAGTCTACCCCTGCAGAGCAGAGAAACCTAATCTAGGTCACATGCAGCACCAGCAGTACAGCCCGGCCCACATCTTGACACAGTGTCGTTTTGTCAGGAGTTTAGCTCTGATTGTAATGTTGTCTGACTTTTTAGACATCTCTTGTTTTATAAGATTAATTTGGGCAAACTCCTGTTCTTCTTAAACCTGTGTGCAACCAAGTGTTCAGTTGTTGTCCCCACAGGTGATTTGCGGGAATGGGTAAAAGAAAAACAAAAGTGAGGTGAGGGAGGTTAGGCGAGGTCTGAGCTGCCAATGTCAGATGCCTTGCTCAAAGGGGAAGAGGCAGAAGCGGTGGGTCACAGTCAGGCGGCGTGAGACTTTTGAACTGGAAAACTTCCAGTCTCCAGCTGCTCTAATCTTAAGGCTCCAGCTGTCATTGTTTTGAGCCACGAGGTTGTTGTCCTTGACTCTAGCTGCAGATAGTTGGGCTGCTGATGAACATGCGGGTGAGAATCCTCCTCTCTATATTTATACCACCACATGAAATCATGAGCAATGTGTACTGTATATAAAGCTTATATTAATTGTTTGCAGTTGAGATCTAAGGAGTGTTTCATAATGCAAAACGACCACTTAAACTTGGCTTACTTAAAGGAAAAGTTTGACATTTTTAGGAAATGCGCTCACTCACTTTCTTGCCGATAGCAGGATGAGAAGATCGTTACCACTCTGTGCAAGGAGAGTGGTATCAATCTTCTCATGTAGCATTAGCTAACGTTAACTCTGCCAGGAATCGAATGGCGTTCTTTTTTTTACAAAATGTTGAACTATTCCCTAAATCAGGCTTATTTAGCTAGTTTTCATGTTTAGCTTCACCTCAGGTTTCACCAGTGCTACAGTCAATCTGCCTCAGACTAAAACTAATGGTTCCCCCATACTCCTGTGAACATGCAGCAGTTTAGACGTGCATGCTTAAATCTGCCACATTTGACATGGGCTGCATTTATTGCATACTTCAAATTTCGCCCATGTTATTTTAAATCTTAAGTATATGCACAATATCCCGTCAACAGTTGTCCTTCTAAATTCACTGAAGTCTTTGCTTATAAGGTGCCATTTTCACCATTTTAAATGTCTGCCCCTTTTAAAAATACAAAAAAATTAAGCACTTGGCTTGCTAGAGTCCTATTTGATTTGTGAAACTTGTCATGCTGCTTTGTAAATGTCTTGTACAAATAATTTAAGCACATACAATAGCAAGAATCATTACATACTACTTGGGTCAAAATCTGGCAGTTCTTAAACCAGGCATGACTTCGAGTCAGCTTTATGAAATCCTGGTTCAGTTTGTTAGCCTCATTCAAGACCGGCTTTTCATAATAAGTCCTCAGTTTGTCTATGTTGTTGTTATCAGCTGCTGATGATCCCGCTGATCATGTCGGTACTCTACGTCTGGGCTCAGTTCAACAAAGACATGATTGTGTCCTTCTGGTTCGGAACACGATTCAAGGTACCTCATGTTTCATCACAAGCACTCGTTCAGCTTGAGACTTGATTAGACTGTTTCACAGTAATATCAGAACTTACCCGTCCTGTCATCATGTGATCATTATTCCACATAATATGTACTTCCTGAATGTGAAACCTTCTTATTACTTAACATGGATGTCATTAATGATATTCTTCATGCTCTGCTCTGTTCTAGGCACATTATCTACCTTGGGTCATCCTGGCCTTCAACTTTATCATTGGAGGCTCGTAAGTAACTGTTTTTAATTAGTTCAATCAAAGATGCTGTTTAATAGTTGTAATTTAAACTGTCCTATAAATGAATAAATTAATAAGAAAGGGTCTCTGGGAATAGTCTAATAAGCTGTCTTATGTGGTATGTTTAAGCGTTTAAACTGATGGTGTTGCAACAGCACTGTGTAATGTTGTTTCTGTACAGTTCAATTCATCTTCTTCTCATTGCTGTAACTGTGCAGGTTTGTAAATGAACTGACAGGGAACCTGGTGGGTCACCTCTACTTCTTCCTCATGTTCAAATACCCCATGGACCTGGGAGGACGCTCCTTCCTCACCACACCAGAGTTCTTGTAAGTTTATCCCCCCCCCCCAGTCTGGGTTTCATTTTGGAGTTTTGGCCTTTGCCCACCCCCTCAACTTCATTGCTGAGATTTGAGGATGTTGAGGGTGTGCTAAACACAGTTTTAAAAGCAAGACTATGTCACTTTTGAATGAAAAAATAACACATTTTAAGGAATGACGTGCAGCCTTACTCACAGCAACACACTCGGGCTTTTTTCTGCTACAGGCTTACTGTCTGGCGTGACCAGCCAGTAGCTTATTATGGATTAGCTAATGCAAAGATATATATTTTAATGTATTACAATTGCACTGCTGTAACGGCATGTGTTAGGATTCACCATTGTTTACCTGTGGCCGCTGTTTAAAGTTACACAGGCATGCTTTAAAAGAGTGCACGGGGCAACTGTATTACCTAAACCACTTGTTTGCAAGACAAAAACATAAATTAAGAATTATTACCTAAAAACTCTGTATGGTTTACTTTAACAAAGAAATTAACAAGGACTTGCATTCACTTTTGGTTTCACTTCCAAAATATTTTAGATACTTAAGTAAATCTTAAATGATCCCAGGAGGGGAAACTAGTTAGTTATGACTTATTTGTTAAAATTACTGTAAATATAATCTAAATATGTGTCCCTGTTATGTTTAAAGTCCCCCAAACTATAAGAAAAAAAATCATCCTGTTTTTCTCCTGCTCAGTCGTGTGTGTGTGTGTGTGTGTGTGTGTGTGTGTGTGTGTGTGTGTGTGTGTGTGTGTGTGTGTGTGTGTGTAAAAACAGCGTTTCAGTTTGGATCTGTTTAATGTATGACGACCTTCAGCGTAGCCCCACCCACCAAAATAAAAGTACGAACCTGAAAATGAGCATAAAATGGGACCTTTAATTTAAAAAAATAAAATACAACCCTGCCACTGAGATTTCTAGGAATTGTTGTTTGATAACGTGCTTGCAAAGTAGTGTTTGATGGCTCATGTTTTAACACCTAACCGCTCATCCCTTTGCACATCTCTTTCCTCTCTCCAGGTATCGGTTCTTCCCTAACAGGAGGGGAGGGGTGTCGGGCTTTGGAGTCCCTCCCAGCAGGAGACCAGCTGCCCAGGAGCCGGCAGCAGGAGGCCGTTACAACTGGGGCCAAGGCAACCGTCTGGGGGGTGAATGAGCGGAGACAAGAGGAGAGAGAGCTACGCCCCTCCCTTTGCTCCCAATGCTCCCAATAACAAATGGCTGTGCAGCTGATGTTTCAGGTTAAAATGCTTGCTTTTTCATGTTCTTTCCTGTTTTTTTGGGGGGGAGGACCTTAAGACTCCTAATGTGATTCAAAATCATGTTTAGTTTTAAAAGATACAACAGGATGAAATTTGAGGAAACATGCATTTTAACCAAGACGGCGCCGCACAGCAGGACTCAGACTCCGGCTATAGGCTCAATTCACCAAGTAAAGCCAGCTGTACTATTACTACTACTGCGGATGTGTCCATGTGAAGCAGAAGAAAATATGAATAAATAGATTTTTTTTTTTATGTTATCATTCTTAATCTCCCCTCCCCTTTTCTTCTTCCTTTCTGTCCTCCAATGCCCCCCCCCCCGGACTGTCACGACAAGAGATGTTGCAGCTGCACACCAGCACCCTGTTTCTGTCCTCTCTCTGTGATGCCATATCAGATTACATTGTAATTACCAATGCACTGGCAGTGTGCTCTCAGCCGAACATGAGCAAAGCTATTTAGAGAGCGCTGTTTCCAGGTCGGAATTTACATGGTTGTAAAATGTTTTTTAAGCCTCTGTGGCACAGACTTGATCTTCCTCTGTCTTAAGATCTGATCTTAACCAAAATGAGGCGATGATGGGATTCTGCTTTTTTTTGTTTGTAAATATAACAATTGTTTATTGAAAGGATGAGCGAGTCTGAGTAGTTATCTGTGTAACATCCATGTTTCCTTAACGCTACACAGAGGCAACACTTGGATAAAACCTTTTATTCTCTCGGGTCAGGAGAGCGCAGCTATTTATGTACCAGTGTGGCTGGTTGAGAATCACTGTGACTATATGTACAATATTCAGTCAGGGCTGATGCTAATATTCTCATGATCAATGAATTTGCCAATTCTATTTCTGATAAACCATTTACTCTATAAATGTCAGAAAATGGTGAAAAATGCTTTCCTTGTTTGGTTTGACAATAGTCCAAAATATTAAATACTAATTTTACTATGACAAAGCTGCTGCTACTCACACTTTCGAAGTCGGAAATGGGAAATGTTTTACATTTGTGCTTGCTCCTTATCAAACTAGGCTAGTTTAGGTGCTTTATTTTTGTCAATTGATTCAGTGACTAATTGTTTCAGCTTTATAGACAATATGTAGCAATGTTCTCCAGTTTATTGCACTTCATGTGTTTTTATGCAAATTCTCAATTTTGGTTGTTCAAAGTGCATTTGAACAATATGTACATAAAGCTAGAACTATGCTGCTCTGAAGATACACGCAAACACCGAAAGCTGGTAACGGGAAGAAATTATGCATTACGCAGACCTGCACGTCAAGCGGGTGGGGTTCGACAAATGTAAACGTACAACATACAAGTATAAAATAAACATGCACGGTCGCCTACATGCAGCTCAGATAAAGAATTCAGAAGCCTTCGGGAAAAACATCTTAGATAAGCTCCTGGACGTTGTGTTGCTCAATCTTAAATTGACAGTTTCATCCATGAGGCTGCTATGAAATCAAGCATAGTGAAAGCTATTACAAATGAGTGTGGACCCCTTGTTCACATTGTATATGCAACCTTTGATAATTTGTATAGTTAGCAGGTTGATGGAAACAGGGAAGGTTTGTTATGATGTTCTACTGGCACTAATATTTTTTGACATTTAATCTGCAAATAGCAACAGACTTAAGTGTTCAATGACCCCAAAGATGTACAGTGTTTTGCACTAACATGTCAAGTCCTATTAGGGACTTTTGACTAACAAATTGTGAGATGGAATTTATGGGTGCTGCTTAAGCGTGTTTGATTTAAAAAAAAAAGGCTCTAGTAAATGCACCACTTCAAAAGATGTGAACAAGACCCCGTCAGGTTCAACCAAACCCAGCTGTTGTACAAAGTTATGGTGATCTGACAAGCCTGTGTACACTGGGTTTCTGTCTGTGCGCACAAAATAACTTTGAACTGATGTAGACGAGTAATGCTACCTTCTCCAAACTCATGTTTGAAGCACACAATTGTAGACCAAGACAGTTTTAGAGTTGGTTGTGTATTTATTGACTTACAGCAGACTTAAAAGTAGAAAATGAAAATGCAAGCGGCTTTACCGCGCTAGCCAACCAAATGTACGGTATCCCAGATACTTATCTGAACATGGAACTAAAGCAGCAGCAACAGACATTCAGCCAGGAAACAGCCATACACCTGCTGTTCAAACCAGTTTTAAATGACAGTTCAACTTAATTTTTATTTTTTTTGCTTGCACAGATATTGCAAGCACTTTTTTGAGCCATAAAGATCACAGATATCCCTTTAAATCATGAGATTTTAAAACTGAAAATTGTTGAAGCACATGCAAGCAGTTCATGACAGCTTTGGCTGTTTTTCAGAAACTTAGCTCAGGTTTGATCATTTATCTCTGACTCGCAGATTCTTTAGGTTCTGAACTGATGGTACTGAAATCAACTCAACACAATCCTGCTTTGAATAGAAGATCCTTCTAAAAGCCAGAAAGTCTAGAGAGAAGAGGTGTGTTCACAGATCACAGCTGAGCAAAATGGATATCTGAAATGGCTCAAATAAATGGAGCTTCAGTTATTTTATCATGCTTGGAACACGTTCCCCAAAATGTAACTTCAGTCAAGAATATTTTAAGACAAAGAAGTGATAAACCAAAATCATCAATACCAGTTTGTACTGTACCCAGGTCTGAGGCAGACAGCAAATGTCAGATAAGAGAGCTGAAAAAGGCAGCATGGTGCGGTCAAACAGACACTCCACTCTCTCCTATGTGATTAATCATTTCCAGAATCAGGAAAAGGAACATTTTATACTGTTTACACCGCTTAAACATGCCTCAGATACTGACGCAAGAACCGGCTGATTAGAAAAGATACTAGAAGTACGTATAGTGCATTCATTCATTCACCCTAATGTGGTTTGTCTTGCCCATGTGACTATGTTCATTTAGTGACTGACCTTTCAGCATTGAAGCTGCAGCTGTGTTCAGATTACCCAAAACAGTCGCTCCTCTTAACTGCCCATCTCACACTTTTGAGTAATTTCCACCTTCACCTGCGTAATTCTATGAGGGGCGAGTCAGGGTGACACTGCAGGGGAAAAGGAAATATTTTCCCAACAGTTTGAGCTGAAGTGGCCTACCGTGTAAATAACCCATCACTACCACGGGGAAATATGCAAGTGCCATCAAACACTACCCATAATGGGTAGTGCGCAGGTTTTGATTTTCAAAAAAATAGGACTGATTATTAGTGAATAAGAGACTATCATACACTTTGATCTTAAAACAACAAGAGAACATTCCAGGTTTTGGGGGCACCAGTCAAGATTTTCTTTTTAAAAAAATGTAACAAAACCTGCCCTCCCAGTACAACTGTACAAACTTTTCTTCTAATACAGAAAAATATTTACAAGGGTGCTTCTTTAAAAAAGAAAAGAAAAACACAACAAACAAACAAAAAAAAAGTGTAGTAGTAGCAAGAAAAATGCATCAAGTCCAGCTTTGGCACTCCTCTTAATGTCAGCATCTGCACCGCACCACACCTATCAGTGCTTTAACAGTGGAACTCCAAAGTCCCTGGCGCTTTGTGATGACATTACTGGTTCCACATTTGGTCATCTTGAGCTGTCGTATGATGGCCGTCGACTCAGCAGTCAATGATTTGCCTGGAACGGAAGAGGACCGAGACAGGAACTGAGAAACAAACACTTCTTTACACATTTTAAGTATTGCCTCCCGTGTTCTAATGAAATGTTTTATTAATCTTCTTTCCAGAATTAAATTTAAAATACTTGTTTTATGGTAATTTTAGAAATAATCAAGTGCCAAAAAGATGGTAAGTGAAAACAAAGCTTTATTGGCTACAAAAGTGCAAATTATTCTAAAAAAGAACTAAAATGAAACACCATTTGCACCCTTTGTTCTGCCTTCCTGTGACAGTAACGATGTGTAATCGCTGTGTGTGTGTCTGTCTGTCTGTCTTCGATGCTAATGATGGTGTGGTCCAAATATCATCCTGCCACCTCAGCATGCCATCTTTCTGAAAGACCAATCAGAGGTAATTACACCCTAATAACTTCCTGGGGAGCCTGCAGCTGTGGCATCTTTAAAGGAACAGTTCACCATTTATCTATCTATTTATTTATTCAAGCCAAGTAGCTAATTGAAGCTTTCAAACTCCATCTTCAACCTCCATCCATCCATCCTCTATTGCTACTATAGTTATTCCTTTTCAGGGCTGGAACATATCCCAGCATGCATTGAGAGAAAGGCAGGGGAACACCATAGCCTACAGAACCAGAGCAGCCATGTCCTACTTGTCTTATTGGTTTGACCCACAACCATTTTGTGATTGGTACAGAGGTATTCAAATCTTCATTTGAGACAGTAATCTGTAGTTTTACATTAACAACAGGTCAAATAACTGCGTTATCTGAAAACAGTTGCTCATAAAACCCACAATTGTCCCTGGACTCTGCAGATCCCTATGGCTCAATGGGGCATTTTAGCATCTTATAGCCAATTGTTTTGGTTTTACAATCTAAAACTCAACTGTTTTGTTTCACTTCCATCAATGTTGTTTTCAGCCACAGAGGCACCTGTTCAGTGATAAACCCACTGCGCACCTCCTCCATGTCTTCTAAACGTGTAAACAGGCAATAAGATATTAGCCTTGTAACCTTTAAAAATGCCATAAAATTTTTAAAAGGCCAAGCAGGAACCAAAAAAAGAATGCTTTTTAAATGGATGGCTGGATTTTTTCATCAATGTTCTTTGTGGGAAAAAAAAATATTTAAAGTGAATATCCCCAATATTTTGAACATCCAGTATCAATGTCTAATGCTTTTCTAGTCTTTAATAAATCTTTGGTGCTTTCATGGCACAGAATAGAAGGTATAATCAGAACTACTGTCTCTTTCAGCCTTCTCACTTGCTTGCTCTCTACATTTGAACAGTAACCTACACATTAGTTTAGCTAAAAAACAATATCTGCATCAATGTTTGACAAAAAGCTTCAGCATAATATTTAACAACCTGCTGGTTCGATAATAAGTGCTTCACTGAAAGTATGCTCGGTTTGGGGAGCACACTCTTCCCATTGACATCAAATATGATAAGAACAGCTGATCTCAGGCGTAGTGGCTCAATGAAAATGTCCACTGGCAATGGGCAAACATGAAGTAAAGTGGTCACAGCAGTCTGATGGCAGTAAACTCTTACAGCTCCCATAGCAACTGGTTTCCACACATGGTGCTTAAGGGAGTAACGAGTCGGGGCTACATTCACTACATCATTGAGGGGGGATTTAATTTCAGCCAAGGATCCAGCAGGGAGCCAGCGGGGAATCTGCCACAGATCTACATGGGCCCTGTCACAGTCAAGCCAGCATTTCTAGATGCCAGCATCTGTACTAGTTTTCACCAGTTTAACCTACCATCAACCAGTGACCCTGCCAGGTTGCTCCAAGGTCAGGACATCAGTGTCTGTTGCCAGCCTCTGTCTTTCCACTCCTTCACCACTCTCCTCTCCCACTGCTACGGTCACCTTTACCCACCTAGAAACAGAGACGAAGTTTAAACACAAACAGACTTCTTCTGGGAACTAGAATCAAAGGAAGATTTTTCAGAGAACTGTTCAATATGAAAATAAAAAAGCAATAAAGCATACATGAAAATCTAGTTGACAACAAATGCCAAATGCAAATAATTCAACAACCACAAATTATGATTGCCCATACTGTACGGCGCTGTATTTTTAGACTGTTTTCACAAAAAAATAAAATAACTACTCAGATATTCCTCTAATATTAACAGTCATATCTTTTTTTTGTCTTTATAACGAATATGATAAATCTCGCACCATAAAGTAAATATAGGATAAAAATAAATGTTTCCTTCTCTCCACCCACCTCCCTTTGTCAGAAGTGCTAGAGCCGGTCTGGTCCGATCTGGTCTGGCTCAGGTCCGTAACACTGTGGGCTAATCTGTCAGTCAACCACAGGACTTTGTCTTGGTCAGACAGCTGGGAGTGCTCTGTAGCTGCTGCTGTGTTCTCACCAGCCTCCTCCACTGCACCAACAACTGTAGAATTACAAACGTGCACAACAACAGAGAAAACACAAGTGTGTAAATGCTTTGCAAAATTATATTAAGAGGAAAAACAAAATCAAACTCCATGTTCTCCTCCAAAACTTGCCTTTCACAGCCTTGACTTCCAAGGAAACACTCTGGTTTTTCTCAGAACTCTGGCCGTTCTGTTCTTGGCCTGCTTTCTGTTGCTCTGCAAGATTCTGGTTTTCTTCCATCCAGTCCAGAGATTCTCCGTTCTTCAGTGCCGAGCGGTGGTCTTTGAACCAGCGGACAATGTCGGTTCGTCCTAGACTTGTTTGGACCTCCAGCTGGCTGTACTCTTCAGGAGATGGCCACTGTGTCCGACAGAACATCTGTCAAGACAGATTATGTAACACATTTTACACCATTAAAAACACATATAATTCAAAACAAAATGCAGTATTGAGCCTGTGTAATGAACACACAAAGCTCTGAATTCAAAAATCCGCAACTGGGGAAAATAAAGGTAGTTTGTGCCTTGCGCTTCAATAAAAAGGGCACATATCTGGGAGCCTTTTGCAAGCATGCATGAATAAAATATGCACTAATAACTAATCAACAATAGGAGATGTGAAGTGTACAATTTCAGAAGTACTTTCTTTTAGCCTGCTAGCCCCGTGGCTCTAGGGACGGCAATGTTGGTTGATTCACCACTTTGATCCAGACTGAAATCTCTCTACAGCGACTGGATGGATGGATGGATTCTGACTCCTCTTGACTTTGGTAAGCCTCTGACTTTTCTGTCTTCTAACTTTGTTGATCCGTGGACTTCTCTTCTAGCATTATCATCAGGTCAAAATTTTCCAATTTGTCCAACACTTGGTTTATGACCACATATCTACAAAACTAATGATATCAGCCTCACCTGCACAAGTGCTAATTACCAAATGCTAGCATGTTATCAAGCTCAGTGGTGGAATTTAAGTACATTTACTCAAACGAGACCTGTACTTAAGTAAAATTTGAGGTACATTATACTTGTAATTGTATACTGCAATTTAGAGGGAAATATTGTACTTTATACTCCTATGTTTATTTGGCTGCTTTAGCTACTGGTTACTTTACAGAAAAAGATTTCACACACAAAACATACAATCAGTTTATAAAATACAATGGCCTGTTACGGATTAAACTACCTAATCGTATATAATGCAGTTATATACTGTCAAAATCTACTTCCACAATAATGGGGTCGTTAGGGCCCGAGCATGAAACATGCCTATAGGACCCTATTGAAATGCAAGGAATTATTATTTCATGCAATTAATTGCATTTTTGGTGGCCTAAATTATGCTTGAAAAGTCACGAAACTTTGCACAAAATTAAAATGTTGCAAAATTTTACGAATTGTTTGATTTTCATGTATTTGGCATGGGAAAATTAGGTGATGCATGAATTATTTTGAGCAATGGTAGAGAAGAGGTATCAAAGAAATACAGCACACTGCATTTTGCTAATAATACATGTGACATTTTCAATGAAGGACTTTTACTTGTAATAGAGTATTTTTATACTGCAGCATTGCTATTTTTATTGAAGTAAAGGATCAAAATACTTCCACCACCAGTAAATATGCTAAACTATGATAGAAAACATGGTTAACATTATACCTGCTAAACATCAGCATGTTAGCTTTGTCATTGAGAACATGTTAGCATTTAGCTTAAAACAATGCTGCGCATAAGTACAGCCTGAGGGCAGATTGTGGTCCAATCAGCAAAACGACCTCTGGAGGTGGTCAGGGACACCATGATCACATGGACGCAAATGCATTTTCAATCCACATACACACAAACTACTTGGGGAGAAATATGTACCGGTCGCAGTCTTCGGCAAATAAAATCCAAAAGTCTGACAGCACAGACAGGTGGCTAGCCAGTGTGTCCATTCTGTGTTGTGCATAAACATGCTCAAACAGTGCCAATTATTGATCGCGCTGATGTTTTTGGTGAACTGATCGTGTCCGTTTATGAATGTGAACTATGGCTGGACAATAAAAGAATAATCATCGTGATACAATTTTTCTCAATAACAATATAACAAATGTTCAATAAATATTTGATTTAATTCATTTGAATCATGAACGTGTTTGTCATGTTCTGACCATTAAGAAAACACAATTAACTATCTGGTTTCTTCAACTTTCTCTCAGGAGCAAAAATCAGCCTTTAAACTTATAATAATAAAAATAAAGATTTGACATTTATGGTGAAGTTTTTAATCATTTAACATTTTTGGCCATATCACTTTCTAACTCATGCACTGATATGTTAAACTCAATATAAACTATTAAAATAACAGAAAAGAGTAGCTTACACATTATAAAGAAAGGTAGGAAGCAAACGATGCCCACTTTAACTTTGCGGCTGAGCTAATACATAGGCGCATTGCCAAAGAGAGGGGTAAACATGGATAATAGGAAAACTTATCACGGTGAAAAGAGACACTTTAGAAAGCTATTTTAATCTGTAGTTAAAGATCATTTTTTGGAACTGCGCAAATGAAAGGAGGATGTGATATACAGTTTTGCAGCCATGACTGACGATAATGAAATATGACATGCAGCCAGACGTCTGCAGCTAACAGAAACGTAACATAAAAGTTATATTAATGGCAGGGTCTCACATTGTCAAGTACAATGCAATGTCAAATAATTTTTTTTTTTTTTTAAATCATACAAATACACGCTAATTAGGTGTTTTAGGTGACCAGCCTTAAACGCACTATCGGCAAATTTAATACCTACAGAAAATTTAGGGTAAATTTAAAACCTTAATTTCCCTGATTTTATTTTAAGACCTTTTACAACTTTTTAAAGGAGCCGCGGGAACCCTGTCTTTGTCATGTTTAAAAATGCTTTATGTAATTTATTCCTACCTATCCTCACCCAGTTGACATAGCCCTTTAGTCATAGTCATATTTAGCAAGTTGTTTGAGAATTTTGTTTAAAATCCTACAGATTTAACATAATGTACTATGTGGGTTTAGGTGATACGATAGATTATATTTTTATAAATATATATATATATATATATATATATATATATATATATATATATATATATATATATATCTATATATATCTCTGGCTGATGGACTTTCTTTTTTAATCTGCCAAAAATATTTAAATGCAGTTGAAATATGTGGGTCATCATTAACTGACAGCCGGTGTTTGTTTAATGTGTTCATAACAAAAAAAAGTACTGTTGCTGTTCAAGAGATATCTCATGGATATATGTTCCATTTATAGGCCCTGTAATCCTATGGGATAGTGCTGTTGTCTAGACACAACACTACTCCAGTGCCTTCTCTTTAGTTTGTCAGATCTGACCTTGTAGTCACCTGCTGTCTATTCCACCTTCTAATATTCAACTATCAACAAATCTCATCATCACGTGTCAGTCGCACAGCTTTTCCTTAAGTACCAGGACAGTACCTTCTCAAGATTAATCCATTTTAAAAAACATCTCACTTCAGATTGTATTAAAAAAGGTGCCATCTCATCAACTAATCTCTTTACAGTCACAACTAATTAATGTCATGATTAAGTAGCCCGTCTTCAGTTCATTCAAGTTCTAACTTGTGTCATATTTTAATACACTGTCATCTAGTCAGCCGTTATGTTGACATGTTTTTGCTTTTTTATTTTAGGTTTTTTTACCTCTCTGAGGAGGGTGAGGGAGCGGCTGGTGATGGGAGCCGGGCTCGTGGAGGCCGACAGGATGGGAGGGTAGGGAGAAGAGGAAGAAGACGAAGTGAGGATGGGAGGTGATGCCGAGCAGGAGAGGTTTGGTGGATGAGGGGAGGAGGCTGCGAGCACAGGAGGGGAGGAGGAGGAGGAAGAGGAGGAAGAGGAGAGGACAGGCGGACGAGGAGAGGAGCGTAGAGGTTTCCCGTCCTGCTCCCGATGAGAAGCCCCGTTCAGCAGCGCTCCCGGCCGGTCTACTCTGTCCTCTGTGTTCTTTGAAGCCATGGTGAGTAAAGCCTTCTCCATGTTGTCCCTCAGCCCCCTGCGCTCTAAAAACCAACAGTCCACCTCCGTCTTGGACAGCCTGGTCTCCTGGGCTAGCTGGTCTGCAGCAGAACAGAGTTCAGTGGATCAGATCATTTTTTTTGTAAACCTGGGAATTCAGCCTCTCCAGGGGACTTAAAAATGGACTCATTAAAAACATTTCTGCTATTCCTGTCACGCAGGCACCCACCAGAGACGGGCCTGCTGCTCCTTTGGGGTGAACGAAAATTCAGTCACATGCTGTGAACTAGTATAAATAGATGAAAACACTACTAGACTTCTTTAAGTAATTTTAACGTCCAAGTTACAGAGTGAGAATATTGAAATTGACAACCCGTTGCTAATTAGACCAGCTGACCCTCACCCAGTGTATCCTACTGCAGTCACAAAGTTTTTACTACATAGTTTAAAAACTCTGCAATATATTTCTACTCTGGAATTCAGAATGTGAACTGAGCCTAAAAATAGATATGGCTGACAAACCAATTTTGTGCTTCATTAGCTACGAGCCTGCAGGAGGGCTGTCTTGTGTTTCTGTAGCCAAATATAATGTGCCCCCATCAAACATAGGCATTTAGGACTAGAGCGGAGACCACCAGGAAGTAAGTAAGTAAAGTAAAGTAACGTAACACTTGTTTGAATGTACAGATAAGCATCCAGTACATGGCAGTGGTTTTCAACACATTTAGTAATTCTTAACTGAAGCGGTTAATGTTTTAAGTCATTTTGATCTTTGACGTTGTTCACATGGTACATATAAAACCATATATGTAGCACATAGTGTTCAAGACAAATTGAACTTGAAAATGAATAAATATTATGTAGGGCTCGACCCGAATATTCGATCGTTGGCTACACATTCGATTTCTAATTCTGAGATTTGAATATTGAGGCCCCCCCCCACGCCTGACCTCCGCTCACAGCAGTGAACGTAACGCTCCAGTTCACATCAAAGGGAAAACAAAGCAAATCCCTCACCTGTGTGGGAGCACTTTAAACTGAGCGATAACAACGCCAGTGTGGCAGTTATGGTGTTTAATAATTTTATAATAATTGCTTAATTTCATTAGCCCACAGATCAAAACATTGAAATAGCCTACATTTTAAAGTTAATCAGTAAACTGTAGGCTACAACAACACATTTAAATAATTATATTAGGCCTATTATAGAAGAGTAGTCGACTATAATAAAAGTTTAAAGTGAATTTTTCATAATAACGTGTTGTTTTAGTCCTGCTACTGGAAATAGCGTTAACCCAGTCTGCTCTCCCAGGATCCCCACCAGGCTGAACTATTCCCTTATTCTACTCCGGACCTGCTTAGTTTCCCACACTCTGGACTCTCAGCTACAGCTTTCCCCCTGCTCTGCACAGCAGCCACCATCCCAGTTTGGTACACACCTAATCTTCCAATCTAACTTGCTCCTCCCTGGCTCAATATCCGATCCCTTCGATAAACAGCACTAAACATAATATCCCTCTTTTACCTAAGTCCTCCGTCTCTTAGTCACGTGCTTGGGTCTACTAGTTTTGGTAATAATAACTTTCTGTTTCAGTTAGCCTATGCTATGAGAATAAAGGACCTCACGCTCACACCTCTGCCCCATCTGATTCTCACTCACTGATGTCATTGCCGGGACTTATTGGGTATTTCCTTTTTTGCTGTTTTGCTTCCATCTATGATATATATAGCTGTAGCTCATGAAATGACTTCAACAGACGTTTAAACAATCGGCATAACACTAATGTTGAGCAAAGCTCAGAAAATGACATTCGGGCATTATGTATAACGTATGTCTAATGTTCTATTACTTCCCGCTGGTACAAATTAAAACCACAGAAAGTGAACAGAGATATATTTTATTGCTAATCTGTATTTTACAAATTATATGATGTTGTCTTTTAGCTGATTACTTCAAAATTGCCACAGCCCTTGATATCGCTTTTTCTTCAAAGATAAATACGTTAAAGTAATGTGGAAAAACCATATCAGACACAAATTACTCTTCAAAGATTTCTAAAATTACATCTACTCCTTCTACCTCATTGGAAAACCCAGAATCAATGGAGACTTTAATGCTTGCCCCCTTCTTCCACCTCTCTTACGTGTTATATCCTACGAACCAAAATACGAAGGAGGCAAACACCAAACTGTGACCAGAGTTTTGCGAAAAAGTAGATCTGCTTGTGAGAAGGCTGTACCTAGATCTGCTTCTGTTGGAGAGCTGCTTCTCTGGAAGCTCTCCTCCAGCGCCTTCAGCTGCTCTGATGATTTCCCCTTCACCCTCTCCAGCAGGGGAAACTGGCTGGGGACTGCTTTCTTTACAGGTGGCACCTCTGCTTTCACCAGCACTGGAGGTGGAGGCACGCCTTCAAGAGAGACATACACAGAGAGAAGAGACTTTACACAGCACAAACAGTGCTTACAAATCATTATTGATTACCGACTATGATGAAGCAACTTGCTTTCTCACTATGCTATGTTTTTAGCAATTAAAACCCACCTCTGAGAACCAAAATAAGCTTGTTTAAACCCTACAGAGAGACTTATGATTAATCACAGTCGGGGTGTTTTATCATTTTAGATGTGTGGCACTGATCACACCACATACCTTTGAGATTAAGGAGCCTCTGTTCACTGAACCACTTCTTTATCTCTCCTCTGGAGAGCCCAGTGGTCTCTATCAGTCTGTAGATCTATCAACATGAAATGAAAAAATTTATTTTTATCTGTGACAGTAGTGTGTTTAAGATAAAAAATTTAATATGATTAAATAGAAAATGACTAAATTAGATAGTAAAAGCTGCTACAAAAATGTCAATGCCAAAAATCCCTAAAATTAATTTTGACCTAATAAGGCATGGCACAAAAAAAATGTCATTTCACTCACTTATTCTTACCTCATCTTCCTCAGGAAAAGGACACTGTGTGTAGCTGGACCTCAGTACTGATAGCTGCTCAGCTGTTTTATTGGGGTCAACGGTGAAACTCAGCATCTTGGGTGAAACCAGTTTGGATGTGACCATGGGCGCGGAGATGGTTTGAATGATGGAGGGTCGCTTACTCTCCGCAGCGACCACAGGAGAGGCCAGGGGTCGTTTGAGCGACTGTGCCACCTGTGATGAACATGGTGGAAAGTTTGACTACCTTACATCAGATAATCAAGAGGAATCAAGCATGTCGCATGAACATTTTTTCATGAATTGATGTTTTCTCACAATTTATTGAATTTGTGTAATTCGTCTGCCATACTTCACTAGCAAACTGTTCACCGTTCTACATCAAAATTCACATCAGGAGAGGTGAGATTTGTTCAGACTCTACCTGTTAAGATTACACTAGATGGGACTGAGATTCAAACTAGCCACCTTCTTGCCAACTCTCTGCCCTTGCCAATGCTGTGACCCACAGTTGGATAAATACTTCTTTAACTTGTTTACATTTCTGCCCCATGTTTTGTACCTGGTTAGCCACGGTGAGTGCCAGCGGTGCGCACGTGACAGTGGAGCCGTTAGCTACAGGAGTGAGCACCAGGCTGGTCTGTCCCAGGAGCTGACAGGGGAGGGACTGCAGGACAGAGGCTGCCGTCTGCATGTGTTTGGAGGCTGTATTGGGGGTAGACGGGTGGGTGGACGACTGGGAGTTGAGCTGAGGTGCTACCACGGTGAAGGTCTGAGGCACGGAGGAGATTGTGCCGTTGAACATTTTCTTCCTCGCTTCTTCCACCTGTCGTAGAAAGAAAATACGACATCACCTTTATGTCTCGTATCTGTAGGTATGACTGCCAAGCTGCAGTTTTGGATACAATTATAACAAAAATTATAACTATTTAACAATTAGAGTTATTATCTGCAGTAATTGTTTATTTACAAATACAACAACTACTGACAACTAATTTCACCATAATTTAATATTGCTTTTGAGTGATATAACATGAGACAATGCATAGCCAACTTAATATGCAGTTTAATATCTCAGTATTTTGAATATTAATGCAGGTTAATTAAGACATTTCAAACAAATAAAATGCAGTTTCTATCACTATTATTATTTATTTTAGTGCCTGGGAAAGCAGCCAATGCATTATTTGAGCTTATGGATTTTGAAAAAAAGACCTGAAAATGCAGTAAACCACACTTGAGGTAAGAGAATTGAAAGAGTGCCTGAAATGTTATTATTACTATAATTCCTACCTCCTCAGGAGACCAGCTAATGCCCTGTTTGAGCCTCTGTGTGGTGAACCAGACTTTGATTTGCTCCTCTGGATGTTTTGAGGCTGCGGTGAGCCAGGAGAGCTCAGCCTGCGTTGGGTATGGGAATTTGTTGAAGGAGGAGATGAGTGTCAGATTGTCGTCCAGCGAAGGATTGTATTTGGTTGTGTTGAGGGGCACTGCGATCTTCGGCACCTGAAATGATACAGCCATGGTGACTGAATGACTATTCTGTTCCCAAAAATAACAAAAGCATCAAATTTAGCATGGTGGATATTAATAAACAGAAATGGTAACATTTATGAGTCTGTAATTTCCTTATAATGTCCTAGGAAGATCCTGAACAGAACTATGAAATTAGGTAACATTTAAGGAAAAAAATAAAAAGAAGCTAAATTTGAACCCAAGTAAATATGAATGAATGATTCATGTATTATTGTATGCTTGCCTTGGAGACAAATTTCTTATTTTTGCATGTTTAGCTGACAAGCAAAACTAACTGTCAACATATGGTTCTCTTTTAATATCTCTCTCTCATATCTCTCTCTCTCTCTCTCTCTCTCTCTCTCTCTCTCTCTCTCTCTCTCTTTATCTCCATCTCTCTCCATCTGTCTATCTTTTATAGACTACCCCTGGGAAAGTTTTATTATTTGTGTCTTCTTGTATATTTGTACACTGTTCAGTATACTTCTTTATATCCCAGGTACACTTTATTCCTGTTTTTGCAATTGGGATCTGATTATTCCAATACCACAAGAAGTCACCATCAGTCACCGCTCACCCCTCCCCATGTAAGCGCACACTTCTCTTCTTACTTCTAATAAACCAGAGGACTACTACGACTACTACTTCTGCTTGTTTTTCGTAGGTATTCAACGTAGTGATGAAACACGCTCTGTCGAACAGTTTGACCGTTTTTAGCTACATGACGGCGTAACATGCAGATGTCCATGTGAGAAATGTAGAAATACAAATGGCACATTCTAAGGTAATAAAAACAAAATGGTTGTTTACATAAGGTCTTTATACACCACTGAAAACATAGTTTTGGATATTATATTGCATTTCTGTCAATAGATCCTCCTAAATATTACACACTGAAAAAAAGCATACAGGCATATTTCATAAAAGATAATCATATCCTCCCTCCGCTGTGTCCTACCTGGGTATAGTTTAGAGGCCGCTGTAGGGAAGGCATGATGTGAGAAAGGCCGTCTGCTTTGAGTAGAGTCGCCTCGGGGATGATGACCGTCCCGTTCACGTTGACCGCTGTGATTGGTTTCTTGGCCAGATCGGATGTCAGTTTACACATCTGGGACTCTGTCCGTTTATTATCCGATGACATTATTTTTGGTTTACCGATCTTGACTGTGGCGGGTTTGCTGAGTGGCATAGTGCCTAGCTCATCCCCTTTGCCAGAAATGGCACTGGAAGTGTTGTAAATGACTGCATTGTTACTGCAGCCCTCTATTGTCTGTTCCAAGATTGTCTGATTGTTCATTTTGATGCGTTTGAATTTAAAGTTGCTCTCCCCTGGGTGACACCGTTCGTTGTGTTCCGTCAGGGTGTCGAACTTCTTTGTGTTGAAGTTACAGACAGCACACAGGTACAGGGGGTTGAGGATGACGTTAGGGTGGTTGGCGTCGACATGTTCTTTGAAAGTGTTGAGGTTCTGTGTGGAGAAGGGGCAGTATTTACACTCGTAGCCCCCCTGCTGCCTCCGCTGTGGCTTGGAAAGGTCTGGGGGCTCGGCTGCTGGTTTGTCTGGAGCTGACGGAGGGTCCGAGGCCTTGCCCATCAGGTCTAATTCCACAGAAGGCTCTGCCTCCGTTGAGAGATCTGTTTCCATAAGCCCCTCCTCCGTCTGGTTCTCCGTTGTTGTCTGATAGAGAAGAAAGTCAGTTTTCAGATGAAAAGGACACAACTATAAATGGTATTTTTAACCCTGTACACACCAAACACACAAATATATTAATTGCGTTTGCATCATATTCATGAAATTAATCCTTCTGAAATCAGTCATTCACTGAAATATACAGAAACAAGTAATGTATCCAAGACGAATTTGGATCAATTAAAATGACAAATTAAAATGCAGTATAATACACAAACCCATTTTAAAGTTACAAAGAACAAGAAATTGTTCAAACATTAAATTATAATTTGATATTAAAGGGTTTTAGTTCAGTCATAGACATAACGTGTGAGTATATTTGTAACTATAATTTTTTATTTATTTTACAAAATATAAAAATATAGAGTAGTTCAAATCCTTCAAATTCGAAAGTATGAATTATGTATTTATTTTGTTCAACCGAGTGCTCTTGCTAGACATACTGAAAGTACCTCCATGTCGTTTGATTCCTCTGCCTCGTCATCCAGCTCCACCATGGTCTGCTCCGGTCGGATCATACAGGGGGTGGAGGCCTTCCGTCGACTGGACATGATGACGGAAGATGCTGGGTTTGTCTGGGTGGACTGCTGTCCTCACTTGGTGCCTGTGCTTGGCCAGTGATGATATAAAGGAGGCTGAGGTGCCCAGGGTGTAAGACTACTGTCACAGAGTGGCGGATGGACAGACAGTATAAGGTACTGAAGAACAGCCAGGAGGACTGGCTTGTAGTAGGAGCCAGATGCAGGCCCGGGATCGCTTTTATGTTAAAAGAGGCAGCCAGCACAGGACAGTTTCTGGGACGGGAGTGAGCAGCCAAGGCGTCTGAAGAACGGTCTTCCCCTGGGGTAAGGTTAGTGCCTGGAGAGAAGAGGGCGGTGGAAGGTGAAGGTCTGGTAGGGATGGGACTGTTTTGGTGCAGTGCAGGCTGGGCTTGCTGACAGTGTCAGCTCCAACGCTGGCCGACCTCCTGGAACTGCATGACAGGATGCAACCTGGATGGTAAAAAGACGACAAGAATTAGACAAAGATTAGAAAAAAAATGATTATTGTAAACATTTATTTGGTCTACTTATCTTCAGACCCCTTTATTTTAACCTTGTCCTTAAATTCCTCTTCTGCTATTTATGACATAAGTGCATTTAAGTAAAACCAGTGAAGGGTCACAGATCTCATCTGGATTGATATGGTTAGTAACACAAGTGACGGAAATGAAGATGGAGCAAAAAGTTTGTATGATGTATGCAATGACTGTACAAAAATCAATTTAAAGCTTTGATCCTTAATATTTATTTGGGAAAAAATGGTTAAGAAAATGTATAGAAATTTAAATGTTTGAGACAAGAGATACGCAAAGGAGAACGAACAAACATGGGCAAGGAAAAACCATAGATAACCATTTCAAGGGTACCAAACAGGCTGGTTTGAGGGCGTCAAGTAACGCAACATGCTAGGTTATCTAAGCTCAGCAGTGTCCTGAGTGGATCTGCAGACTCGTCACCCAAAAGAAGCAGAGTCAAACAGTCAGCCGGGGAGAGCAAAAAAATGAAAAATTATCAAAAGGAAGCTGACAAACAAACAGTGCTGCTGCTGGAAAGAAAATATTTCCTATCCAACACCCCTAAGAAGAGCTAGGAAGTATAAGAAGCTAAATCACTTTACACTGGAGGTCTGAAAAGGCATTCATCAGTATTTAATGTCCCATGCTGATGGAGGCGAGAAACAGTGTGTAGAGACAACCAGAGTTCATGCACCCCTTGACTGGACCAGCAAACCTGTAGAATGTTTCTAAAACCGTACACAAATCTTGAAGCAAAAAAGGATATACGGCAATATTATCAATGATTCTTAGTGTTGTTTATCTCAGTGTACAGGAATACAACTTCAAATGAATGAAAAAAATCTCAATGGAGGAGGCAGATGTGATGAAGAAGAGACAATAGACGAGCTACTGTATAAGTTGCACAAAAAGGCTGATTGTGAATATGCATGCTTTAGTGTTTTACGAAAGTAAAATGAGGATCTTTGGGTTTTGGACTGTTGGTCAGAGAAAACAAGCAATATGAATATAATAATTTGGGCTCTCACTACTTTCTGACATTTTGCAGACTAAACATTTATGGTCAAAATAATCAGATCAATCATTAGCTGCAACCCCAAGCAGTTGCATGATCAGGGAAACATGAGCAACAATCTTTAGCCATATGAATTTTGCCCACTTCCACCTGATTAGGGCTGCGACTAACGATTACTTTCATTGTTGATATATGTTGCAGCTGCACCTTCACCGGTAATAAAAACAACTTAGCTTCATGGACCAGTATTTTCTGTTAGTCAAGTTTTACAGAAGGACTTTTCTAGTGTCTATTTATGCAGTGAAAACTTTCGCCATCATAGTTTGGTGACAGTGATAACATAGATGCTATGCAAATATATGCAGCTGACAGGTCTGCGGCTGTCAGTACGACAAGTTGTCCTGAGAAATATTGACTAATCATAAATCAGATCGTGCTGCCGGGGTGTGAATACAGCAGGAAAAAAACAAACAGACAAAGCAGCTTCAGATACATATCTTAAAAAGCCAAGAGCAGCTTTATTTGGGTTCTGTGAAGTGACACCTCCATCAAGAAAAAGCAGCAATGAAAAGCTGAGGGACAGCGAGCAGAAGAAACTTTCATAGGGTGATACTCTAATGAGACAGGAGAGAGACGCTTATCTGCCTGAAAAAAGTCTATTGATATTCTGGAGGCCTCACGCTGAAGCTTCATACTGATATTCACATGAGTAAAAATCCAATGAGTCGATGCAGCAGCGGTGCACTTCTATCAGGATATAATGAAGTAGCACAGAGGACGAGGGGAAAGTCTAAACCAAAAGCTTCTTCCAAATTAAAATCTCCTGTACACAACACTCCTCGAATGTGTGATGCTTATGAGTAAATATTGACAGAAGAGAAACAAAGGGGGAAAAGGGGTAGGGCAGCAGTAAATATGTGAGAAGTAAGTCTCTTCTGTCAGCACAGCAGATTAGGACTGTACTTTCTATTCACACCAAAGTGTCACATACTTAATGTGGGCCTCTCCAACAGCTACGCATTAATCAAATGGCACTCCACCCTCCCAGGCTCGAAGGCTGTCATTCGCTAGTCGACGCATTGTCCCGACACATCTCAACTCCTCGAACAACCCACTGAGGCGTCATTAGGATGCAGACTCATTACCATGGTGTCGCTATGGAAACCATGGACCATAGAGCTGTAGCCAAGTAGCTGCTACATCCGAGACAGTGGCTGTATATACACAGGGACGACCCGGCTGCATGTGGGACTGTGTTTGGGGTTTTTAGAGAGGGGGGAAAAAAATAGAAAAGCTCTGGAAAACCAAAGGTCTTGCAGAAATAACTGACAGGCCACGTGCCTGGAAAGCCTGGAGAATCCGATTCATGCAGGATGCAGAGTGGTGTGTGGTGCATTTGTGTGGTTTCATCAGTGCCGATGGGGAAGGAGAAGACTATAGCTAGTCATGAACTGCACATAGAAGATATTTTAGGTTTTAAGACCTTCTGAGAGCAGACGTGGTGTGAACTGCAGTGCAGTGTACAAACTCACTATGCACTCACTATCACACAAGGCTGCCTCAAAACCAACAACATAGCCGACATCTGGTAAGAAGGAGCTGAAGAAGCATCTGTCAGCTGCGCCTGAAGTGCCACTATACACGACCTGCCGAACCCCTGCAGCACGACTGCTGACACGGCCTGAACACTTTCTGGATGTGCCGATGGGCGACAGTGGCTGGAGGAGGATCTGTCTGTGAACCAAAACGGAGAGAAAGCAACGAGCTGTAGCTGGACTGTGTTACCTCCTACTGGTGTGTTGAACCCACACAAGCAGAGGGGGAGAGGATGAGCAGTTCCATTTATGCAGCATCTATATTAGTAAGCTGTAAACACAACTGATATGGCTCACCAATGTCAGTGTTGTCAACTCGTTGCTCATAAAAGCTGAAAGTGCTACATTTTCTACAAGTCACTGGATGACATCAGACGCTGGTCTGTATGTTGAATGAGTGTCTGTTGAGTCATTTATAGAGAAAGTGTTCACAACATGACAGGTTTTTTGAGCAGAAGCTGACTCAGAAAAAACAACATCATCTTACACAATATAAAAACACAAACAGCTCTACCGTCAGAGATGTCGCATTTGAGTTAAACTTGTGTGCGCTGACTATCTCAAACAAAGAGAAAAGCCTGTGCAAAGAGTTCTGAGCACTGAGGACACACTGGCACCAAAATCCTCATGCTCACTCTATTCCCATCATTTCCAGTGGAGGAGGGAGGGGCCGCTCTCTCCCGCTGCCTTGACTGGCTGCTTGGGAGCACTGAATGCCATCATGGAAAAGATAATTGGTACATTAACAACAATGGCAATGTAGAACTCCATTTAAAGGGTCGCTGGGGTAGCCTTTATCAAAATAACTTGTATAATAAGTTTATAATCACAATTCTAATAGGATCCGGACTCAGATAGAAAATAATCATTTGGTGTCCTTGAGAGAAGAATTTTATTATGGAGCTGTTGGGCTGTAAACATCTCAGCTGTGGAGCTGAAAGAAACTATTGTTTCACATTGTTAGTCAGCCATCTGAGCCTTTTCACATAATTATTTTCACTTTCTTTCCAGTACAAAAACTAAATCAACTAATTGTGCGCTTTGCTCTCTAGCTTGGCTGCTTTCGGCAAACAGTCTCTCACCTTTTCGTTAGTGTCTAACCTAGCCAGCCAGTTAGCTTCTGTGTGCAGAGTGAGCTCTGTGCCGGAGCCACAAACTCCCTACTGTCTGGATGCTCATTAAACTTGTATGAATGCTCAGCCTGGCAGCCCCTTGCCTGCCCGTCTGTCTGCGCGCCTGTTGTCTGGCTGTCTGTCTGATTGGTGCATTATATTAGTGGAGCAATCTTTCTGCAGCAGTTACCTTTAATGCTGCCAGGCAGCAAATACATTTATCAGCCCGGGCAGTAATCAGTTTAGGCTACGCACTGGCATACATACTAGAGAGAACACTGAAAATCAATACAAATACTCCGTACCACAGAGTCTGTCTAACGTATGAAGACAGAGAGATGATCTAAAACAGCAGAAATATAGTAGCGCTATAGGAACGACATCTATCCAAGCAGCAGCGAGAACAAAATGAGACTGAACAGATGAGTCACAGCAGTGTGCTCCACTCAGCTCCCATTTCTGTGTACCACTAATGTAATCTCAAAGTGTAGCAGGGGGGAAAATGTGACTCAGACTGCTCTCACAACCTGGAGTTTCAGAAAAGCATTATGGACTTGTGCTGATATCCTCTGTTAAAAACCATCGATCTGAACCAAATCACTCATCCAAAATGTTCATATGGATCACCATGGTAACCTGCAGTACGTGCGGCTCAGATGTTAAGGTAAGAGGTTGCAGTGCTGTTTTCACTGAGACAATAGGCATACAAAAGCATGTGAGGTTAAAGGCTTGCCCGTGCTTCATGCAAGGCAACAAGCGCACACAATGCTGATATCATATACAGTATCTATAAAATGACTTAACGCAGCCAGACTGAGGTGCACTCGAGTATCTTGCAAGGCCATGCACTGCCTGTAATGTGAAACAATGTGTCTTGTGGCACAGCTCTCTCCTGCCTCCTCCTGCAGCCTGATCAAAGATCCAGCCGAACAACTGGCAGATTCTGGTGGGGTTCACTGTTGTTGCTTTATAATGAAGAGAAATGAATGTGGAGACACAGCCAACCGAGTGCCAGAGTTTTTCCAGGCGTGCCTTCGTCACTAAACACAAAAGGCATATGAATGGCAACCTCTGCGGCTCCTGCACTTGGAAGCCATGCGTGAAGTACAAACCAGCTAGTTCCAGTAGAGCTCTGAAATAGCTAGCACAGGACAAGAAAGCAGCACTGAAGCTACAAGCTGCAGAAACACTAACAGTGACATGACTTTACACT